TAGCTATAGTAACTTTAGTATCTTAAAAAGAAACTTCTTAACATATAAGTTCTAATAATAGCCTAGAAGAAAGACTTTATTAAGATTACTCTAGAAAACTTTTATAAAAGGTAGAAACTAAAAGTTCTTTACTATATCTACATAATATATAATCTTAAGCGTAGTATTCTATTATTTTTATAGCTATAGTAAAGAACTAAGAGACTTATAGGCATAGATAGAGAATAGATAGGTAGATAATAGTAAATGTAGATAGTAGCTATAGTAGTTACGCAATATAGCTACTACAAATATAGCTAGGCTTATAAATAATTGCGCATAGAATATAAGTTGCTAGTAATTATATAGGTGTCTTAGGTTATCTTAGAGGCTTTATACTAGTGCAGGTAGACTTGCTAGGATTTCTTTTAGTATTGCGCAATCGCATAGAGTAGGTATTAGTGCTGCTAATTAATAACCTAGATAACTTTTAGTAATGTGTAATAAATATAAAATAGTTAGCGTGTTGCAATTGCGCGCGTAGTAACTATTGTGTTAGTAGTAATTATAGAACACAGCGTAAAGTTGTAAGTTACAAATCTAGGCTTGCGTTAGAGATTTTTTAAGTTTGCTTTTAGAGTCTAATGTAGTACTGCGTTATTGCGTAATTACGTTATTACGTAATGATTACGTAATTTTAAAACAAGTACACTATAGGCTCTGTCCCTTAGGCCTAGGGGGGGAAAATCTAAGTTATAAGTATCTTAAGGCTATAAAGTAAGTAATTTTATACTTATACTAAACTTACTATAATATAATATAGTATAGTAACTATAATAGTCTAGATCTAATAATTACTAGAAACGTATTCTTTACTAATAATCTAGAGACTTGCTAAATTCTTATAGATATATTACTATACTATAAAAAAGAATAATCTTTTAGAAAGTAGCCTATTAAAATATAGTAACTATATTAACTACTAAAGCTAAGCTTCTTACTCTTAAGTATATAATAAAGAAAGAAATAGCTTTCTAGCGTTTCTTCTATAAGCTTACACTTAATCTTAGAGACCTATAGACTATTTAGTATAATAATTAGTAGATAATTAGGCTAGTTATAAAAATAAATAAATAGATAACTACTTAGCTTAGGTATATAGATATCTAGAATATATAGCTATAGTAAGAATATACTAAAGGATTATTCTAAGTTAAGTACTTAGAAATAGTCATTATAAAAGCTAATAGATTAATAAAGACGCTTATCTAATAATAGTTTTAGAAGTTTTAATAGCTACTTAATCTATAGGATTTAGAATACTTAATTATTAAGAAGTAGATAGAGAGAAGAACTTATTACAGTAGAGTGTTAATGCAGAGCAGAGCAATAAAACGTAGTTAGGTAACTTATTATAATGTTCTTAATGTAGGTATATTTTCTAAACACCTTATACTTACTATATATAGCTATAGAAATTAATAAAACTCTATCTATAACGTTTACTATAGATCTAGTACATTAATAATATAATTATAAGTAGTAATAGTAATAGAGGCTTTTTATAGACTTAGAAGTAGACTTATTATAGTAGAGTGTTAATGCAGAGCAGGGCAACAAAACGCAGTTAGGTAACTTATTATAATGTTCTTAATGTATTTACATTTTCTAAACACCTTATACTTACTATATATAGCTATAGAAATTAATAAAACTCTATCTATAACGTTTACTATAGATCTAGTACATTAATAATATAATTATAGGTAGTAATAGTAATAGATGCTTCTTATAGACTTAGAGATAGACTTAGAGGTGTATATAGTTAAGCTATAGAGCTATATTCTCTCTTTAAAGAAATTAACGTAGAAATAAGCTTTTAAAACAATAATTAGATTACGCTAATAAGAAGAGCGAGCGTATTAATAGACTAATATTAAATAGAAGCCTTTCTATTAATTTTAGAAGTAGGTAGGTTAGAGATAGCTTTAAACTATAGTACTACGTAGGTAAACTATAGGTTTAAGACAACGTTGTACTATAGTACTATAAGTCTAGAGGTATTTTGCGTAGTTAAAATATAGTTTAGAGAATAGCTACCTTATATAGTATTTATATATAAGGTCTATACACTTAAAGAATACTTCTCTTTATTCTATATTTTTCTTAATACCTCTATATACTTTAAAATATCTTTAAATATCTACTAATATATCTATTAACTACTAAGAATATATAGTATAGATTAACTTCTCTTTTATACTTATAATAGAGGCCTCTATTTTTAAAAATACTTAAGCTATTAGTATAATAGAATATATAACTATAGTAGAGCTTACTACTTATAAAAGTAGCTTATTTAACTTTTTAGTCTTTACTAAAAACTCTAAAATAGTAGACTTAAAGGCCTTAGCTATATAAATAGAGCTAGTAAAGAGCTTCTAATATAATAGTATTAGAATTATAGTAGTAATTAACTTAAACTAAAAACGCCTTATAGACTTATATATTATAGCTATATAGTATCTAGCTTATATAGATTTTTTTTCTTTTACTATATAGATAATTATAGAAGAATAGTTTAGTTAACTTTTAACACTAGATAAGAAACTAGCTAGTTTAGTAGTTATACTAGTAACCTAAAAAGAGCTTAAGTTTATTAAGATTACGCGTAATAATATTTCTATTAGCTAAAAGTAAGTAGTACTTTACTAGCTCTAGAAGGCACTAGAAAAATAGTATAGTATTAGACTATACTAATAAACACGTAATAAAGAGTAGAGTAAGTAATTAAAATAATAGAGAATAGTATAATATAGCTAATATAGCTAGGCTTATAAATAATTGCGTATAGAATATAGGTTACTAGTAATTTTATAGGTATTATATCCCCTCTAGACCTAAAGAACAAGGCCTATAGTGTACTTGTTTTGAAATTATATAATTATTACGTAATAACGTAATCACGCAATAACGTAGTACTATGTTATCTAATAGTAAACTTAAAAATCTCTAATGTAAGTATAGATTTGCGCCTTATTATAATACTTACACCTATACTACTACTACTACTACTACTACTAACACAATAATTACTACGCGCGTAATTACAACGCGCTAACTACTTTATATTTAATATATATAACTAATAGTTATCTAGGTTATTAATTAGTAGTAGCACTAATACTAGCTCTATGCAATTGCGCAACACTAAAAGAAAACCTAGTAATAGCAAGCCTATTGCTAGTATAAAGCCTAACCTAAGACACCTATAAGATATCTATAAGATTACTAGCAACCTATATTCTATACGTAATTATCTATAAGCCTAGCTATATTAGTAGCTATATTATGCTATTCTCTATTATTCTAATTACCTACCCCGCTCTTTATTGCGCGTTTATTAGTATAGCCTAATACTATACTACAATTCTAGTGCCTTCTAGAGCTAGTAAAGCGCTACCTACTTCTAGCTAATAGAAATATTATTATATATAATCTTAATAAACTTAAGCTTCTCTTAGGTTACTAGTATAACTACTAAACTAGCTAGTTTCTTATCTAGTATTAAAAGTTAACTAAACTATTCTTCTATAATTATCTACGTAGTAAGAGAAAAGAGGTCTATATAGACTAGACACTATACAGCTATAATATATAAGCTTATAAAGTGTCTTTAGTCTAAGTTAATTACTACTATAATTCTAATACTATTATATTAGAAGCTCTTTACTAGCTCTATTTATATAGCTAAGGCCTTTAAGTTTACTATTTTAGAGTTTCTAGTAAGAACTAAAAAGTTAAATAAGCTACTTCTATAAGTAGTAAGCTTTACTATAGTTATATATTTTATTATACTAATAGCCTAAGTATTCTTAAAGATAGAGGCCTCTATTATAAGTATAAAAGAGAAGTTAATCTATACTATATTTTCTTAGTAGTTAATAAATATATTAGTAGATATTTATAGATATTTTAAAGTGTATAGAGGTATTAAGAAAAATATAGAATAAAGAAAAGTATTCTTTAAGTATATAGACCTTATATATAAATACTATATAAGGTAGCTATTCTCTAAAGTATATTTTAACTATATAAAATACTTCTAAACTTATAGCACTATAGTATAATATTATCTTAAACCTATAGTTTATCTACGTAGTAGTACTATAGTTTAAAGCTGTCTCTAACCTACCTACTTCTAAGGTTAATAGAAAGGCTCCTGTTTAACATTATACTACGTTCTAACTTCTAGCTCTTCTACTAATAAGAGCTTATCTATAATTACTATTAGCACCTATATTATTTTAAAAGCGTATTTCTACATTAATTTCTTTACAAAGAGAATATAGCTTTATAGCTTAACTACGTACATCTCTAAGTCTACCTCTAAGTTTATAAAAAGCCTTTATTACTATTACTACTTATAATTATATTATTAATGCACTAGATCTATAGTAAATGTTATAGATAGAGTTTTATTAATTTTTATAGCTATATATAGTAAGTATAAGGTGTTTAGAAAATACACCTATATTAAGAATATTATAATAAGTTACCTAACTACGTTTTGTTGCCCTACTCTATATTAACACTTAACTATAATAGGTATCTTATAGCTGTCTTAGGTTAGGCTTTATACTAGTAATAGACTTACTAGGTTTTCTTTTAGTACTGCGCAATTGCATAGAGCTAGTATTAGTGCTACTACTAATTAATAACCTAGATAACTATTAGTTATATATATTAAATATAAAGTAGTTAGCGCGTTATAATTACGCGCGTAGTAATTATTATATTAGTAGTAGTAGTAGTAGTAGTGTAGGTATAAGTATTATAATAAGGCGCAAATCTATACTTATATTAGAGATTTTTAAGTTTGCTATTAAGTAACATAGTACTACGTTATTGCGTAATCACGTAATTTTAAAACAAGTACACTTTCGGCTCTGTCTCTTAGGCCTAGAGAAAAGAGAGAAGAACTTATTTATTACTACTATATAGAAATTACTAATCTCAAGCTAGCTCTTAATTACTATAAGAGGTAGCTAGTTGTAGAGAATTAAGTAAGAAGAATAAGAAACTATAATTAGTAACTAAACTATAGAACTTTAAACTCTAAATTAGAACTTTCTCTACTTCTTATTCTAAGTCTTCTTAATTTTATAGTAGAGCTAATTTTTACGTATATAAAAATTATAAATGCTAAGCTTAAGCTTATAATACTTATACTTACTTTTAGCCTTTTTATACGCGTGCTAATACCTAGTATAGCTACTTAATCTAGTACTAAAGAGTAAGCTCTTAAAGGCGCGTAGAATAATTAAGTAAGAAGTAGAGAAAAGTAATAAATAAGTATAGCGTAGAGAACCTATATTAAGTAAGCTAAAGTATATAGCGCTAATAAAGTTAAGCTTATAAGTAAGTAATAGCGTTAGCTTAGAGAAGTAGGTTTTCTTCTTAAAAGAACTTAAGCTCTTCTTATAATATATAAGAATCTTAGTAATTAACTTACTCTTAACTTTAGTAGCCTTAGTAGAATACTACTTCTATTAAAAAGTTAGCTAAAAAATTAAAATAATAAAGATTATTAAACTTATATAGCTAAAGCGCTTACGTAGCTAATTATACTTAGTAGATAGATTAGTGTTAAGTAGATTATATAGATAAGTATTATACTTAGTATACTTACCTAATAAGCTAAGACACTTATAGTAGTAATAATAGAGCTAAAAATTATAAAGTAAATACTTAATATAGCTCTTACACTACTTATTATAAGAATAAGAAGAATTAAGTAGAGTACTAATAACTTTAGTAAGTGTAATAAGTAGATTAGATAGCTACTTACAGTAACTACTACTCTTACTTAGAGTAACTAACTACTAATAATTCTTAATTTTATATAATAAATAATAAAGTAGTAGAAACTATAGCTCTTTATACTACTTACTATTAAAGCTAATAAGCTTAGAAGGCTTAACTTAAAGAGTAGAGCTAGAGCTTATCTTTCTTATTTATACTTTACTCTTAGCGCGTAAAAACTAGTAATAGCGCTTATTATTCTTATAGAGCTACTTTTCTCTCTTATACTTACTATTAGACTCTATACCTTAAGTAGTAATTCTCTAAGCTAGTAAAGAAGTATTAGTATAGCTAAGAAATTAATAAGGTAAAGACCTATATAGAAGACTTTAAAAATTATAAAAGTAATTACTTATAACTATCTCTACTCTTAACTAACTCTCTAGTAGATAAGTAGCCTTAAAGAGTTAGCAATTCAGCTCTTTATTATATTCAGAGAAGGCATATTTATTATACTTATAGCCTACCTAAGTAATAGAATCTTAAATAATAAGTTACGTAGTACGCTTATAGTACTTATTACTATTATAGTGCTAACGCTTACTACGTAAGCAATTACTAATAAGAGAGTTAGGATAAAACTATAATAATATATTAGTAAGTAAGTTAATTAGAAGAGTAAGAAACTTACTAAAAGAAGATTAGAAAAAAGGCTTAAAGAAAGTAGAGGTAAAGTAAGGTAGCTAGAGGCTTAAGCGCGCAAGAGCTTAAGTATAGTAGGTAAGTAAGTAAAGTAGAAAGACTAGATAGATAGCTTAAAGAGCTAGACTAGAAACTTAATACTTTTAATTACTATACTAGAGAATTATATAGTATAATTAAAAAGAGAAGAATTAAGAGTACTATTATTCTTAATAAAAGTCTTTAATTATAGTCTAAGTACTTTAATATATACTATAATTACTAGATTACTATTAAGGTAGTAATAATAGAGATAAGTAGTAAACTTTACTTAAAAAAATTAAGAGGTAGGTAAAAGAACTAGGTCTTACTACTAAAGAACGTAAAAATATAAGACTCTTACTTATATTCTCTAGAATTATAAGCTAATTTCTTACTTACTAAGACTAATTTCTAGCTAATTAGGCTCTAATTAAATAACTAATCTCTTACTTCTATTAGTATTAAGAAAGATTAGATTGTAATTTAACTTTAATTTACTATACTACTTTAGGCTTTGTAATCTAGGCCTTAGAGAAGTAAAGTAAGTATAGTAAATATAACTAGATTAATTTAATTAGAATAAATTAATAAATCTTACTGTTCTAGAGAGTATATTAGAGTAGAAATCCATAGACTTCTAGTCTTTTTACCTAATTATAACAATCTAAGCTACGTAATTGCTTAGTAAGTAGATATATAGTAGAGGATTTTATTCTAAGTTCTTTTTAGTAGTTATCTAATTAATACACTTATTTCTAACTAAACTAATTAGGTCTCTCTAGCTCTAACATTAATTAAATAAGTAAAGTTTATATCTATAAAAGAAACTGTTATAGTTAAAGATTACGCGTACAAAGTCTTTAGAGCACTAATGCTAGAGTATAGTATACTAGAAGATTTAATAATAGATAGAGATAAGCTGTTTATGTCTAAGTACTAGACAACATTTCTAGTAAAACTAAAGAGAAAGAAGAAGCTATTAACTAGCTTCTATTCTAAAATAGATACCTAGATATAATAATTAAACTAGATACTAGGATAGCATCTAAGAATATACGCTAATAAGCTATAAGATAAATAAGTTAAACTCTTACTAATAGTTTAATTAGCTTATAATTTTATAAGATAAGTAACTATAAAGTACTTACTAGACTACGTAAACTATAGATATAAGCTAGTTACTTATAAAGATCTAAAGAATATAGAAAGTATAATAGTAGACGTAGAAGGTAAAGCCTATCTTATATAAGAACTATATAAAAAATTAAACTAAAATATTACTTATAGAAATCTTAGGAATTTCTAGAGTAGTAACTAAACAAAGTATTAAAAGACTAACTTTTAAGAAGAGAAATAAAGTTTTTTAATTATAATAGAACTTAAAATCTTAGTAGCTAAGTAGAAAACTAGATAACTTCTAAATAGGACTATTTAAAACTCTAGAGAAAACAAGTATAGTAAATTAAAAATCTAACTATTATTAGGTATACGTATCTACTCTATCTTATATTAAAAGCTTCTAGAACTAGTACTTCTAGATACTAAGCTAGTAATAGATATAGAGCTTAAAGATAGTAGATATAAGTTAAAAGAGATTAGAGACCTAAAAAAAAATTAGTTATAAGTAAAAGTATTTAGTTAAGTAGTAAGAATAGCCTAATAGTTAGAATATTTAGACACTAAAAGAAGGCTTAAAAAACTATAAGTTACTAATACTTAAATACTACTAGAATTACTTAAAAAAGTAAGAACTAGACTCTTAAGAGACTAAAAATAATTAAAAAAAGAATTAAAAGAAGCGTTAGTCTATAACTAGTCTAAGTTAGTTAATAATATAGGTAGTAATAGTTTAGTTGTTAGAAAGTCTATAATAGAGGTAGAATTCTTCTTAGCTTACTCTTTTGCATAATCTTAGAGAACTAAGATAGTAAGATCTTAATTTGTAAATATTTATTCTTACGCCTTAGCCTCTAAGAGTTCTAGTTTACTCTAAGCTAGCTAAGCTTTTAAACGCGTAATTTTAAAATATCTTTAATACTTCTTCTTAAAAATAAATAGACTATACCTAGCCTGTATAAAAACATAATAAGTATAGTAGCTAGTTATAGTATCTATAAAATAATAATAGTTCTTCTTCTTATAATACTTATAGTAGAAGAGTATCTCTAGACTCTACTCTTTTATATAGTTAGTGCGAGCACAACACTTAGAAGTTATATTCTAGAGATAAGTATAATAAGAAATTAAACTTTAGGAATAGTTAGAGACGCTAGAAGTAGAAAGAGTTAGCTATAATAACTTAAGGCCTACTAACCTTATATATAGGTAATGCCTTAACGCGTAGTATAGAAAAATAATAATCTAAAGTATTATAATAATACGCCTAAGAGAGAAAATAATATTATAAGTAAGAAAGACAAATTTTCTCTATAGTAAAGGCAAGAAGTTAAAAGCTAACTAGAGCCTCTAATAGAAGGTAATAATTATTTTAAGGCTAAGAGTTACGTAATATTATATTTTACTAAGGCTAGCTATTTAAGATAGTAGAGTATTATAGAATAGCAACGCTATTTTAGAACTTGTACTAAGTTGAGAAAGATAGAGTAGTAGAAATAGATTATAATAAGTATAAAAGTGTATAAGATCTTATTATTATACTTATTATAGTTAACTTAAATAGTTTATCTCTTATATAAATTATTAACTAGTTATTCTATAATAACTCTTTTCTATATAAATTGCTAGACAAACTCTATAGACTACTACTTTAGTCTACCTCGCCTTAGTACAGACTAAGGTTAGAGAAGTATAGCCTAACTCTATGTAACAAACAGTTGCCTATATAATTAGGTCGCCTGTAGAGTACGTTAATAAGCCTACGTAATATAACGTACAGCTAAGTAAGCTGCTAACGCTGCTTTTGCTCTCTATATTTACAAAAAGTATAAAATTCTCTATAGTTTTTGTAAGGTTGACTGAGGCCTGCTGTTCGAACAAGGCCCTTCTAAGATTCCCCTTCAAGAGGGCGACTATTTGACGGGAGAAGAAATCAAGCGATACAGAGACTCGAAACGATGCTTCCTGGATAACTCCAAGTCTCTTTGATCGATTCTAGTCATCTTCCTTACACTTCCAGATGCTCAGATAACGTATTTCAACGAGTTTCACTTCAGCGATACTCGCTACATCATCCGGCTGCATCTCGTACGGGTGGATCACAGTCTGGCTGCGCATCGCAATCCGATCAGCTTCGACGACTTGGCGGTGTTGTGCGACGAGGTCAGAGCATCGTCATGGCACTCTATGTTTCGAGACTGAGATGCCGTCATGACTTTCATGCCCTTGGTGCAAGAGAGACTGATGAGTTGCACTGGGGATCCAGAGCTAAGGTTTCACGCTTGTTGGGATTGTTGGCCGCGTGGAACGTTACTGGATTTCGGATGGACCCGAGAAAACAAGGATATGCCAAAAGCCTGGTCATTTTTTGCCTACTGCAAGCCGGAAGACTTATTGACTTGCCTTGTTGAAATTATGGACACGATTACAGAGTTCGAAAACCAGCTGGCTGGTGAATGGGTGTATCCAAGGTTCCAGCCATGGAAGCTTATCACGGTAGGCCAGGTTCTCCATTGCCTTTACAGGAAACGCATTCTAGTTGAACCCCAGTCGCCAGACAAGATCAAGTATATGGAACATGTTCTGTATGTCCTCGCATGTACTTAACTCCTCAACACATTCTTCAAAAGCGAGAGATCAAATATTCGGGGGCTCCAGGTTAAGCTCACCCAGAAGATCTGGTCGGAAACAGAACTTGATGACGTGGACTACGTGGACGAAGTCGAATTTCTGCTATCACTGCGACTATCTGAGCTAGCAACGCTAGCGTTGCGCCCAGAGGACAATCTGATACCTTATTGTTATTTCGGACCAACAGACGCAGAGGTTTTTAACCCAAGGCATCTCAGATTGAATCTTCTAGTTGGCGTTGGGGGTTTGAAAATAGAATGGACCGAAGACCTTCACGAGCACTTGACTCTCAACGCATCAACCTTGACTGTTTACATTTTCTGGTTTGCGTCACACATCCGCCAAAACTCCATGTTCCAGTAAGTTGTCATTGTTGCACCATGAGGGGCGTCTTCTAATTTCGTCAGGATGTACTGTGATCTCTTCGATTGTAAACTTGATCATGCAAAGATCGGCCAGCCTAGCATGTCACGATTATCAATGTCATATCGAAAGCAAATACTCAGGTCGTACTTATGGATCTTTCATGAACTGGCATCTAGCTCGTCACGTAGAGAGGCATACTACGACCTTCCGCTGCCCTGGTGGCTTGCTCCTCTTCAAAGCGCCCAGCAGCAGCAAGTACCAACAAAGACTTCAGTGAAAGGCTTGTTTGTATGGCTAGGGAAAGCTTTGAATGCCTTGGCTACGTTGCTCCATTTCAAAATGCCGCGACCCAAGGAGCCGTACGGGACTATCCGCTCGCTTCTCAAAGATGGTATTGGCAGGAAGTGCAAGCTACCTATCGACTGTCTTCTACAGCTTAGGCCTTTTAATAACGAGCGTACAGAGATTGCGGAGGGTGGACAGATAAGCGAGCTGTACGAGGACGACTCGGACGATGAAGAAGAAAGCCTTGGCGTTACACACCAAGTGTCGTACCAGTTATACCCAGCACTAGCTCCTCGTATCAAGATACTGATTGAGCATCTAGAAAAGCAGAAGCCGAAAGGGTTCGACGCCCTGTGGAAGGATCAGAGAGATTCCAATACCTGGTATACGTTCTGGGCAGCGGTGATCTCTGGGGTCACGGCGTTGGTCCCAGCCGCAGGAAGTTTAGCAGTGTCAGCTGCGCAGACTTGGGCAATATTCAGGGCGGTGTATATGTGGCATGAAAGATAATGCGTAGTCGAATCGCTGTAATTTTAGATTCTTTCGGAGCTGCGTAGATAGCAACCCAACTTGACGCTGTAAAGCCTAGTGATAGCATAAGTCATGAGTTGATAGACTCTAACAGGATACTAGTCCACGACTTCCAAGAACTATAGACTTCTTAGCCTTTAGATTTTTTTACCTGATGTTGCGATATCGTAGACTTGCATCTCGTGCGGGGACATCAAATCGTAGCTTTCTTCTTGTTCGTATTGTCCCACCTCGTCGCTAAGCTGGTGAAGACAGTGATGCCACAGGATACGATGGTGATTGCGAACGCAACCCTGATACCCCAGGCGTATGCGAGGATGACGCCGTTCAGCTCGGCTTCGTGAAAAGCTTGACGCAGGGCTGTGGCGCCGGTAGATATGACTAAGGAGCGATTGATACTTGGTGTGGTTGTCCGAAGCTTCTGCAAGAGCTGGTTCTCGAAGCCGCACTGTGCGGCTGCGATCATGAATGTAGCACCAATAGATCGCGCGACTATTTACGGGACGTACCATCAGCTTCGAGATACAACAAATGAACGGGAGCCGGCCGCCTCATCGGCAATGAAGCGGAAGGAGACTTACAGATAATGATCGCGGTCACAGGAGCAATATCGCTCGGTTCGGCGAAAGCCTGCGCAATGATAAGCGGGATCTGGAGGCCCATTCCGTATCCAGTGCCCGCCAACATCTGTTAGCCGACCCATTTGCCGGTCGATGTTCCGACATCTAGGGTATATAACAGACCAGCCGAGATGGTCACCATCACCGAGCTGACCACGAGGAATGGAGCGGCGATACCCGTCTTCGAGATGGCTTTCCCAGATGCAAACGTGAAAATGCTGAACAAAGCTATGAGAGGTAAGTTGCGAACACCAGAGCCAATTGCACTTTGGCCATCAATGCTCTGAAAATATATGGGCAGATAGTACAGCGTGATGAAGTACGCGCCAGCAAAGAAGAAACCCCATATCGAGCTGACCCAGATGGTCCTTTGTCGCATGAGACGTGGTGTCAGCATAGCGCGCTCACCTTGCCAGATTTCTACGATGATCAGTGCGATGATCATGAGCCCGAAGCCGACGAGTAAGCCTATGACGAGACTGGACTTCCACGGATGAGTAACTCCTCCGTACTGGAGAGCTAGAAGTAAGCAGAGGGATGCGCCCATCACAAGCGCAGTCCCAGGAAAGTCCATCTGCAGAATCTTCTCCTTGGCAGTGGCTTGTACACGTGGAACGGATGCAGGAGTCTTGAAGGTGATCAAAATGACCAAAGCTGCCAGACCCCCAACTGGAAGGTTGATATAGAAGCACCTATAATTGATATGGAGTCAGCTCGTGTCACGATAGAGGTCTACAGTTGTAAACGACATCGGTCTCGCAACGAAAACGAACAGCGCAAGCATCTTTACTCACCATCTCCAAGATGCTCCATCGGTAAGCCCTCCACCAATGAGTGGTCCAGCGACAGCGGCGATGCCATATGTCATTCCGATGAGCCCGGTGTAAGTGGCCCTCTTTCCAGGCTCGGCGGAAAATGCGGAAAACGTGTATACTCCAGGCGCTACTCCCGAGGCACCGAGACCAGCAAGGGCACGGCCGACAATAACTGTAGTCGAGTTTTGGGCAACAGCGCTGACCAGACTGCCACATTCGAATATGAGGATCGCCACCAGGAAGCTGTATTTAAGGTTAAAGAATTTGAACACTTTGCCCCACTGCGACTGGAACGCGCCGAGCGTCAAGAAGTACGCCGAACCGTACCATGAGATGTCTTGCATCCTGTCGAATCGGTCGGTAATCTTTGGAATAGCGGTCGCAACAATGGTCTGTATAGGGAGTTTCAGCTTATCGGCCTAGAATACGTTGACAGAAGATAGGTCAGCGTAGGAGGCTTGTAGCACCAGAACATACCTGGTCCAGAGCACAAAGGGTGATGCTGAGCACGAGCGCGAGCATGATGAAGAACATGTGAAGACCATTTGGATATTCTACGGTGTTCGCCGGCTCCTCGAGAGCTTTTTCTCCAGCAGCGGGACTATTGTCTTCAGAGTTGTCAAGCTGGCCATTGCTATCGCCAGCTGGGGACGCTTCAGTGAACGGGCCGTTCTGTTCCATAGCTTGCTTCTCCTTCTCCGGCTCGGTCGAATATGGTACGTCTCTTAGGTCGTTGAGCCTACCATCCTGTAGCAAGCGTGGCGGGTTTGTTGATGTAGCCATGTGTACGTGTCGTATAGCTCGACTGTGCAGATTTGCTGTCTGACTCTGTGAGCATTCGATATGGGGCTCAAAAGTAAACGGTATGCAATCGTCTTACGGGTTCAGATGGGCTAAGATACGGAGATAGTCGGTGATAGTGTTGGGTACAACACAGTCAAGGGGCGCACATTCTAATGTCCTTTTTTGTGTACCTCTTGGCGCTCCTCTTCTACTTCATCTGGCTGTTGCATAGTGCGACTAAACCTGCTCCCATACGCCGTTAAGTCTGTAAGCCCGCTAACCCCGTTCATTTGCGTTAACGCCGCTTTGTCCGAAAAGTGATAGTAGCATCACTGCTAATCATGCTTGCAGGAACGTGCCGACCTAGGTGCGCTGGCATTCAGAGGGTTTTGACATAGGATGACAATGGCTGCTATATAATAAGGAGGATGAGACTGCAAAGTTGATAGTCTACTCCACTATCTACAAGCGAACTTTGCAGGTCTTCGTTCCAGTGACAGACTTGTCGCTTTCACTCGTAGCAACGAGAGTTATTGTAGCTTCCTTGGAACAATATCCTTCGCAACCAACAGCAACATTGACTGTCTTCTGCTTACCCGCCTTTGCGTAAGCTAACGCATTAGGCACAGCAACCTTCCAACCAGCGCCTTTGACCTCCGCCTCCAAACGGTATATATCCGACCCAAGGTAGGCGGACAGATCCTGTGGGTGAGGGTTTGTCGCAAGCGAGGCCGCTTTACCGGTGTTCTTCAGCTCGAAACTGCAGTATAAGCCATCCGCGGGGCTAGTAGCGTTTCCGTTACTGACAACTTTGCCGGATCCGAGTTCAATGCCATGTTGAGCAGACGTAGTAGCGTTGGTCGCTGTCGAGGCCGCGCCTACGGTGTAGCGCAATACCCCATTTTCGTCAGTTATCTTGTCGAGGATGTACAGATGCAGGCCGTTCTCGTGATCAATGTGCTCATACTCTGAGCCCGAGTTTGTACCAGCGTGGAACAACGCATCGACCAGTTGCCTGTAGTCACCAATGGTCCAGTATCTTGCGGTTCCGTTGGGAAGGTAGAAGTCGATCTGGCGCGCATCCTGTGGGTTTGCGTCAATTGTCCATTGGAACGGCTGCACACGATCGCTGTTCTTGGTCTTGCTAATCATGACGCCAGAGTCTGGGCAGAAAGAGTCCGCACCAAGTCGCTGAACAACTTCAACATTGTAGTTGTTGTAACCACGGCCGTCGCAAAGAGCATCGAGGGACGCATTACATGGGGGCGCAAGATCGCCCGCAGCGCCAAAGGAAATGTTGAATCCCATAAGGCTGTCCACTGGATCGACAGAGCGAGCGGTAATCTGCGCGATGACTGGGCCAGAGACGGCAAGGCCTGAACGGGAGATCTGTAAGATCGGAGATGTATCGATGAGCCCGATCTGGTGCTTGTCTCGCATTGTGTGTAGAGATCCCATGGACGCGCCTTGTACTGGAGGGATTTGCCAGCGCGTGTGAGGCCCTCCCGGTCCATTGAAGCTGCCTCGAGACAGCATGCTCCAAGGGCCAGTGTATGTTCGTCGCGGAGGGTCGCTGAAGGGGTTATTGTAGTTATCACCGATACCGAGCAAGTGCGACAGTTCGTGAGCAAAAGTAGCCATTCCACTCGATTCTCCCTGGGTTGAAGAGCCGCCACCGGCGTTCGGCCATATCGTAGAAGCTGCAGCCCACGATGACCACTCGACATAACGTGTACTAGCCCAGTTTGGGAGGGAAGAGTTGTCCGGTGGTCCAAACTCCTCAGGAACGTCTTCCTTGGAGAGGAATTTCATCTCACCGAATTCCTGCCATGTCGAAGATTCGTCTTGGCCGGCCGAGAGGATGAAGGCCAATTCGTACGCGTCTGCCGTCTCATTCCCAACATCGGCACGCCATGCTCCGAGCGCATCGGTCCTAAGATCGACCGAGCATGGCGGTCCCTCCGGGCAAGCGCCTTCGTTAAAGCCACCTTCCTCGTCGTCAATACCGTATTGGTAGCTTCGCGCTGGCATGCGATAGGGACCAAACACGGTCAAGTCCACTCCGTACTTGCCGAATGAGTCGCCCATCCAGTATTCGTGAAGTGTGTGGCCTTCGTTGAGCTCGCTGGGTACGTTGAGAAGGTCGTGATAAAATTTGGGCACATCTTCACGGCTCAAGCCAGCGGCAAGTGGCTGTGGGTTACCGAAGATGTCCGAGTTAGCCGGCAGAGTGACGACAAATGGAGAGTCGGGGTAGTCTATGGTCACCAAGGCGATGTTGAAGTTCCGGTCTCTGCCCTTGCGTGCTGGGTCAGCCCAATTTGTCGTGGGTGGCGCAACATAATCTGAAGAAAGCTTTAGTAACTTGCTGCATACGCGTAGTTATGCTTGGACGTACCGTCCCAAGTCATGTTATCCGGATTGACCCAATTCTGGGGGTCTATAGGCGCGAATGGATTCACAGGCGCGCTTTGGCGACGCACGACAGCAGCTGCCGCAAGCTCAAGCATCGTGCTCAAAATGACAGCCATTGAGGCGCGATGAGGGCTTCGGATCGCCATCATTTACCACAAAGCTTTGGAAGGCAGATGAGCAGGCAACAGGAAGAGCTTGGGAAGCGGAGGTGAGAGGAGACCCTTGAAGTATGCTAACGAGAACCCGGACCTGCATCATCAAGATTGAGTTGCCTACCCATGATGCCGACTACGTAAGGCAAGACAGATATCAAAGTAAAGTGCATATGCGGCTGCCTCTTCCAGCTAGGTTAGTCCGTTCCACCGTCTTGGCACGCGCGCACCTGCTGTTCCCAGTCTCCGAGGCTGGGGTGGACGATAACGGCGTCGCTTGGTCCTGCACTTTCGTCGATCTGATGGGTAATTGCGTCCAATGTGACGGTTACGTACTTGACGTAAGCTTTGGTGGTGCCGTGAACCTTGGTACTATGGCTGCTAAAGCTTGTCCGCACCGACCACGGCGATCCCTTCCGCCCCGCTTGAGACTTGCCGGAAAGCTTCAATGTTTTATCGTATCGCGGATGATGGGTGATAGCACGGGTATAGCTCGGCCGCTTGATTCTGCGACTACGGGCGGCCCAGATGTTGTGTTTACTTTCTCACGCCACGACGTACGTCATTGTGCGGATGCCTCTTTCTTGTTCGACATCCTTTCGTGCTTTGGCCATAACGCGGCCACAGAGCGCCCTGCAACTCAAAGTCTGTGTCAACCGAGAATCTTACGGCGCCTTGGTGCTGTCTAGCTGACGTGAGACAATTGCAGCACAGCGAAGTACGGCATCTCTGGCAAATCTCCGATGCACTTCCTTGTGTGTCAATAAAGGATGGCCAGGGGCTGGGAAAGGAGGGTTACATTGTCTTCCCAGACTTGGCTTAGCATGTCTGATTCCATGAACGGCAGATTCTCACGGAATTTTTGATATTATAGACATACATCCAAGATATGCATCGCGATTAGGCCTACTTTCCAACGGCTACGGCGACTGACTGTGATTAGCCAGCACCACGCAGATGTGGCGACCTTACACGTGGGAACACAGATGTATGCACACGGATTCTTGCTATGTATCATTTCCCCTCCAGCGTAGCATAGGCCCTCTTGCTTGTCAAATGCTGGATGGACGATGCTCAATTCACCCCAGACGACCCTTACCGCCCCCATATTTCCCTTCCGGGCCCTCGAGATGCGCATCCAAAACTGCCGATGTCCCACTGAGGACGCTCTTAATGGCATCTGGTAGCAGTCTACTAAGCTCGTCCGCAGTGGATGCATGCGCAGCCCATATCTGGCCTCCACTTGCCGCCTTGGCGATGCCTGAGTAGTCTGGAGTCGGCGCGAAACTGATATTGAGCTCCTCGTTGCTGACCTTAGATCCCTCTCCATCGGGATGTACCAGTAGCATAGACCGTCGTGGAGCGTTCCAGCCCTTGTTGTTGAGCACGACGGTAAGAATGGGAATGTTGTAGCGCTGCGCGATCCAGTATACCGATCCGGGAACGGAGAACAGATAAGTACCGTCTCCAACAATTTGACACACGAAACGCTTCTTTCCTTCGGTGTCAGTTGCAAGCTTGACGCCAAGCGCACCACCTCCAGACCACCCAAGTCCGCCACCACCGCAGTTTATCCATGAGCCAGGAAGCGTGGCCTGGATCTGGTCCGCAACAAAGCCGGTCTGAGTAACGGCCTCTATGGCCCAGATGGTGTCATTAGGGCAGAGTTTTTTGAGTTGAGAACAAAGGTACGGGGTGCTGAAATGGCCTTTATCGTCGACCTTTGCTTCGCCGGCAATGCCATCAAGCTTCTTCTTATGCGACTCCTGTAACGCGGTCCACCGTTGGTTAAAGAGTTGAGCAGAGATCTTGTCCTTGAGTTGCGATTCGAAATGTTCATTGAGCTGCGTTAGTGAGGTATGAGAATCGGCTCTGTAGCGTTGTGTAGCGTTTAGGTAGAAGACAGGCATCTGTTGTTTTAGGGGGTCGACATCGACATGGAAGATCTTGGCATTGTCCTTGGGATGACACTGAGTGTTGATCCACGGCACGTCACAGTCAAGGACTAGGATGACGTCGGCCGTTTTGATGGCAGGATCGTTGCCGTATCGCAGGCCGAGCCAGGCTGGGTGGTTCGCGGGGAAGCACATGTCACTGCCTCCGGTGTCTAGTACGCGAAGACCCTTGACGTTGTCTGCTAAACGCACGAGCTCTTGCACGGCATCGTGGTTTCGCCCCGAGTATCCGGTGATGATGAGGGGCTCTTGAGCGTTCACCAAGGCCTCAGCAATTGTCTTGACACCCTTAGGAGGAAGTGCAGCGGGCTCGACAGGATGCCAGAAGTCCATCTCGAGCTTGTACGGGGTCAAGTCCTCTTCCATGGGCTCGCGCGCGCCGTAGAGATATACAGGCCCCTTGGGATCACTCATGGCAAACGAGAGAGCCCGATTGACCATCTGCTTGACGTTCTTGCCCGACTTGATTTCGCCTGTGTACCTGCAGTATTGTGCGACAATTTGCTTCTGGTCCGGCACGTCTTGTATCCAATGGATGTATTCCGTTCTGCTGCCGCGCATCTCGCCCTCGATGGTGAAGGGCGACAAACCGGCGAAGATGAGGACAGGCGCGCGTCCACATGAGGCATTATGTACGGCGGCTCCGAGACCTTGGGTTCCGACGTCGACGTGCACGATAACACATTGGGGCTTGCCTGTCAGTCTGGCATATCCATCCGCCATGGAAAGGGCGACCATCTAGACGCGTCAGTCTCTGGGCACATAGAAGTGCATCTCAAGTACCTACCTCGTTCGGACATGTTATGATCTTGGGGAATTGGCCTTTCTTCTCGTTTTGGCCTTTGACGATGGCTTCGATGATGGAGGGATGGTCGGACCCAAGGTTGACAAAGACGTGGCTAACGCCATACTCCCAGAGCGCCTCGAAGAAGGCAAAGGACGCTGTGTAGCTAGCAGCAGTCAGTACATTATACGTGCGTGCATGCAGAGGCGGTGCTTACACCATGCTGGCTGCTGTGCGTGGTCTATCTGTCGTGCCTCCAAGCTGACTTGAGGGCAGGTGCGCACAAGTCCGATGACGGCGTGCGTCGGAGGATTGAATGCCCCATCGCTCTTGCTGCTATCATGGGATGGGTACGGAATGGGCAGCGGCCCCACCAGAGCGCGGGGAAGCTTTGCTGTCAGGGTTGGGGTTGACGGCAGGGCGACTCGATTATCGGCAGTCCGAGGGGCGAAGGCGGCTGTTGACGGCTTCATCAAAGCCGCATCGCATTCTCAATTGACAGTCGTTTCGGCGTCATCTCGCCCGTCGCTGAACACTGGCGACATATATGCGACGGTGGCACGCGTCTAAACCGTGGCAGATAATGGAGCTTGCCCTGTCGCGCCTGCTCGTTATCGATCAAGTCGCGGCATGGTTCCGCCGTGCGGAAAAGCCACTTCGTGACCAAGACATCTTCATTTGCTTGCACCGCACTACGACCCTCGCCTTCGCCAACTCTCGTCTTGTCGTCTTTCACTGAGATTGCGAAGCCTTGCTCAACTTTGCAATGTCTGCACCACCACCACTGCAGGAGCGCGGCGCGGCGAGATATGCGTATCAAACGCGTTTCATACCAAGCACGTATACATAGTCAGTCAGGCCCGGCTACATCATGATCGTTCCCAACGACCGCTGGCCATTTATCCAGACTTTACAACATGCGCTTTCATCCCATTCACCTTTTATCATTCATTGCCTCGTCAGTCCTTGCACATCATCCCGAAGAATGCCCATCCAATGCCACACAACACATTCAATACCCGACATGCCTTGGCCTACCGGGGGTCTATCTCGTCAAAGCAAGCGAAGGAAAGGGCTTGGGCGTTTTCGCTACGCATGATATGGATATAGGCGATATCGTTATGCGCGAGACGCCTGTCATCAAGATTCGTTTGCCAAAGCTCGCCAAGGGGAGCCCATATCCCATGGCAGCCGTCGCTTTGCTACTCCAAGAGCAATTTGACAACCTATCGCTAGAGTCACAGGAGGAGGTCCTTTCTTTGACACATGAGTCAAATGCTGTAGACAGCAAAGCTCAAGATACTCTAGGCACCATCTTTCGCAACAATGCCTATAACACTGGCGATCAAGTCGGCCTATTCCCCAAGATCGCTCGCATCAACCACTCGTGCCGACCGAATACGAGCTACTACTGGAGCGGGAAGCTGAACAAGCGCATCGTCTACGCCACACGCAGCATCAAGGCAGGAGAAGAGTTCTTCGTGTCTTACATCTCACTGTTGCTCAGTCGGGAAGATCGCCAAAAGCAGCTCGATCGATATGGCTTCAAGTGCGGTTGTGAAGCATGCGCACACGAGCGAGCCGCTCAGATAGCTAGCGATAACCGCCGTGCCACCATCAAGAATGCCTTCTCGAAGTTCGAACCGCAACTTGTGCTGGCAGCTCCACAGTCCAAGGCTGGGAAGCGTCAGGCACAAAAGGACGCTGAGGTGAGCGTACAACTCGCTCAGCTAGTAGAGGAGGAAGGACTTGCCGACTACTATGCCAAAGCTTACAGAATTGCCGCTATAAGCCATGCCAGAGTTGAAAATTGGGCGACCGCTGCGAGGTGGGCGAATCGAGCCTATGAGATACGTTACATGGAAGACCCGGAGTCAAAGAGCACGTTAGAGTTGCACCACCTCACAAGCAGCTTTATCTCAAACTGGGAAACTGAGTTGCGAAGTCGTGCTTCAACATGAGATTCTGCAAGCGGCTTTGACACTCGCGTCGCAGTGCCCTGCATATCATGCGGAGGATTGGCCGTTCCAGACCTGCGGTTCGCACATGCGGCCCTGTTCACCCGGTCGCCCGCTTATTAGCCTAATGCATCACCAGGCCTCTGGAACTTCGCATTACAGCAAACGTATCTTCACCTAACAATCATCGCAATCATTCACAACCATCCAGCAACATGAGTTTATCGCAGATTACCCCCAGCATGTCCAAGCAAAGACTCATCGATCGTGACGAGCGAACTCGCAAAAAGCCGATGCGGATCCTGGTTCTGGGCATGTGTCGGACGGGAACAACCACTATCGCCGTCGCACTCCGTAAACTTGGGTATACCTCGCATCAGATGCGCGATGTGCTTACCAAACCATCTGAACTCGCGCTTTGGGAAGAAGCTGTCAACGTCACTCTATTACCGCCCCAAGAACGGCCTTCAAACCAACAGAAGATGGAACCGTATGGCAAAGAGGAATTCGACAAACTGTTGGCCGACTACGATGTTGTTATGGATCTACCCGGTTGTGTGTTCGCATCGGAACTGGTGAAGGCCTATCCCGACGCCAAGGTCATCCTGACGAAGAGGAGGTACGAAGACTGGGAACAGAGCATGCAGGACAGTATATGGTGTCTCGATACGTGGCGGCTATTTACTCTCTGTCGCCAACTTAACATCACACAATTGGCGCCATTAATGCGACTCGTGCACTCTATATTCCGAGTGCACAACAATAACAACTACGGTGGCCCTGCAACGAAGACGGCATTCGATAAGCATTACGACACTGTTCGCTCGTTGGTACCTCAAAGTCAACTACTGGAGCTCGACACCGACAGAGACTTGAGATGGGAGCCTATCTGTGAATTCCTGGGCAAAGAGGTACCGAAAGAAAGTTTCCCGAAAACGAGCGAAGACAAGGCCATGCGCAAGGGTCTTGAGAGCGCATGGTGGGGCATGGTTCAATACTTCGTCATGTTGGTTCTTCTTCCCGGGCTTGTCGTGGTTGGGTCTGCTATGTTGTACACGTATGCGGATGAGGTGAGGGCGTATCGAGACGGGTGGTTAATGGTGGCAAGGAAGTACATGGAAACGGGAGAATTGTAACATACTGCGAGAGCCTGGTAGCATTTGACAAAGTCGTGATCATTTTAATCTGTGCCTATCATTCTTGCTTCAAGAAGGCTTTCTATGTCGTATATCTAGTTGTCTTAACTCATTCAACAAACTCATCGTTCAGTATTGATCTGTTTCATGCCAGCTGCTCAAGCCCTCCACCTCAGCAGAGTGAATGAATGCTTTCCGAATTTGAACTTGCCCTGCCCGTCCCAGCTGTTTTCCTTGATACCAACATTCTGCACGCCATCAGTGTTGACCACATCGACATTATCACCCGTCACAGTGTGCACCTCGACCTTGTCGGCCTTCAGTCCGGGGATGTCAACCTCAAAGTCCTGCTTCTCGTTGACATTAGTGACAGCAAGGTTGATGAACCCATCGTCACTGATCGTGGCACTGCAGTCCAGGTAGGGCGTCTCGATGGTGTTGCGGATCCAGCTCGGGTTCGTGCGGCCGGTATATTCTGGGGCGCGAACATTGAGCGCAATAGTGTGGCCACGCATGTACTTGGAGAAGAGGAGCAAGGGCCACCAAGAAGTCTGTTTGACGAGTCCCTCCTTCGTGGTCATCAAGGGTGAGATGACGTTGACGCTCTGTGCGACAGTCGCCATGCCCATATCCTTTGCTTGACGGATGAAGCCGTTCAGGAAGATGGAAACGGCGAGAGCGTCGGAAAGGGTATACTTCTCCTCAGCACCGAGCTCACCGGGGGCACGAACAGGATCCCAAACGTTCCATTCGTCAAAGCAGATAGTCTGCCTGGGCACTGTCTCGGGAACCTTGTTCTCAATGCGTGCAAGATCGATCAAGCTCGCAGTCATCTGCACTGCTCGCTCAGCTGCCCGGGGTGCGGTAGCATTGGGCAGATGCTCCTTGTCGGCAGTGTAGATGTGGATGGAGTGCATGTCGATGAGTGACTTGGTGGTGTCGCCACTGAGACCGTGGACATCCCACTTCACGCACTGGTTAAGGACATAGTAGTCCCAGGAAGAGTAGCCAGTCTCGCCGCAAAGAATAGTAGTGATGGTTGGGTCGAGGAGTTTGAGGGCTTTGGCCCATTGATACGCCTTCTTGGCATAGTCTTCTTTGGTCATCTGCTCAACCTGCCATGGACCCCAACATTCGTTGCCGAGGGCCCAGTACTTGACCTAGATGGTTGTCAGTATGATCGAGACTGTAGGAAGAGGAAATACAGTAGTCATGAACATACATTGTAAGGCTTCTCGCGACCATTCTTGCGACGAAGGTTGGCGTAGTAGGTGTCGCGATCCGAGTTACAGTACTCAAGCCATCCAAGAGCTACATCTAGTCAGATCATGTGCGACAACACCAATTGGGTCAAACGAACCTTCGTCCAGAGTGCCAGTTCCGAAGTTGAGGCAGAGATATGGCTCTGTGCCGACTTCTTCGCACCATTGCATAAACTCATCCGTACCGAATGTGTTTGGCTCGATGCCAATCCATGCCAGCTCAGGCCTAGGCTCAGAATTAGCTTGCTGTAGTGGACATGCTGAACAAATGGTGGCTGGGTCCATGTCACATGAACACGCTTGTGGCGCCAGTATGACCAACGGGACATGATCCTCAAGATGCATCGGTAGCCCCCAACGCAGGCGCGCAGTCAATGATCGCCACGCATGAGTGAACATACGTGACAACTTACCTCTTTGGTCTGTTCTCTTTGGGTCCAACACCATCAAGCCAATGGTATGTTGCTACGAAGTTGCCGCCCGGGTACCGCACTACAGGCACATTGAGTTCCTTAAAAGCTTCAATGACGTCCTTGCGGAAGCCTCTCTCATCGGAAAGAGGGTTGCCGGGGTCGTAAATGCCGCCGTAGATGCAGCGGCCCATGTGCCTGGTGCGTGGTCGGTTAGCCGAAAAAGAAACACGCATCCAGCGCCATCCGCAAGGCGTCTATCCTGGAGCTTACTCAGTAAATCCTCCATAGATGTTGTCGTTGATCTTAGCAATCTTGTGAGAGGGATGTATAGTGATCGAAGGCGTCTCGCTCTCTTCGATCTTGGTGAAGCTTGCCATGATGATGAGGGTGAATGAGAACGACGCCTGAAGATTGAATTGTGTGGTGTTTCGGAAGAGAACTTCACATGCAAGTTCAAAAGTCACGATGATAGTGGCCTGATCTTCGCGATGTCGTTGAAGGCTTCATGGCGTTCATGCGCACCTCCGGCTCGGCGTCGGTGTCAACGCCAAATTGGTTGACGCACCCGACGCTGATACATGCTCCCATTCGTGGAATTTACCCAGCGGACGCTAGCTGCTATCATCTCGGAGACATGCCACACTATTGTTGTTTACAGAAGAACTGCCGCCACAACCACGGGGAGCCAAGAAGACTTCCACCAGTGGAAATGTAGCGCGTTCTGCATTTGCATCCTGAATATGCATGTGCTAACGTTGTCGCGTTGGTAGCAAAAGTAGCAATTCGGGCTACGATCTACCGAACAAGTGCTGTCGCCTCGGTACTGACGCCGATGGCTGGTGATGCAGGGATGAAGGGGCGGGTCGCGGAGAGAATAAACGCGGAGTCGAGTCAGTGTCCCCGCTCTTTGCGGAGACCGTGGAGTAGCCTCGTTCGATGCGTTCCCCAGACCGCGGTCAGCCATGGGTGGTGACATGGTGCAAGGGAGCAGCGCAGAAGGATCAGTAATGCCTTCAAGTATAAAGGCCCAGCAGCCTGCCAGTAGTGGGTCTGTCTACGCATCGCATCCCCCTCCGCACTGCAGCGCTCAATCCCTCTGCAGCAGCCATGGCGCTCCCTCCCAAAGTCTACCAGTTCCTCGTGGGTCTCTTTGCATCCCTTGGTTCGCTACTGTACGGTTACGATCTCGGTGTCATCGCCCAAGTCATCTCCTCTGGAGCGTTCAAACGCGAGTTCAACGATCCTGGCGCAAATGCAAAGGGAGCCGTTGTGTCAGTTTTCACGGGCGGTGCCTTCTTCGGTGCCATGTTCGGTGGCCCTGCCGGTGACTACCTCGGTCGACGACTTACTATCCTGATGGGCGCCTGTGTAAGCAATTCCCAAAATATTGACTGGTTCGCCCCGTTTCTAACCCAATGATGATCGTAGGTCTTCATGCTCGGTGGTGCTTTGCAGACTGCTGCCGTGAACCTCAACTACCTTTACGCTGGACGTGTCCTTGCTGGTGTCGGTGTCGGTTTCCTCGTCATGATCATCCCTCTGTATCAATCCGAATTGGCTCATCCCAGCATCCGTGGACGTATTGGTGGATTGGTGCAGTTCATGCTGGGTATCGGTGCCCTAGCCGCCGCCTGGATCAGTTATGGCGTTGACATCGGGTTTCCGGACAGCGACAATGGTCAATTCCGAACATCACTGGGTATCCAGGTCGTACCTGCCTTCTTCTTGGCCGCTCTTATCATGATGTTCCCCGAGTCGCCCAGATGGCTTATCAGCAAAGGCAAGGTCGAGCAAGGTCTAACGAATCTGGCCAAGCTTCATGCCCATGGTGACACCAACGACGTTTGGGTTCAAGCCGAGTTCCAGCAAATTCAGGATGCCCTCACTTTTGAGCGAGAGCATGAGGCCCAATCTTATCTCGAGCTTTTCAAGGACAAATCGTGCTTCCGCCGTCTTTTCCTCGCCTGTGCGCTTCAGGCTTCCGTTCAAATGACTGGTGTTTCGGCTATCCAATACTACTCAGTTACCATCTACGAGCAGATGGGTATTAATGGTACCGAGGCGCTCAAATACCAAGCCATCTCTTCTGTTCTTGCTCTTTGCGGACAAGCACTCTGCATTGCCTTCATCGACCGACTGGGGCGTCGCTGGACTCTGATCGGTGGTAACCTTGGTAACTGCCTTACTTTCATCGTATCCACCATTATGTTGGCTGTCTTCCCTCCAGGCTCAACAGGAAACGCAAGTGCTTCGTGGGGCTTCATTGCTGTCACCTGGCTGTACAACTTCTGCTTCTCGTCGACTTGTGGACCACTATCTTGGATTATTCCCGCCGAGATCTTCGACACAAAGACCCGTTCCAAGGGTGTATCGATCGCCACCATGACATCCTTTGCATTCAATACTTTGATTGGCCAAGTCACCGAGCTCGGCATGGTATCCGTGGGATGGAGATTCTACCTGCTGTTCGTTGTAAGTACTCTCGCAGCTTAACAAATTGACCGTAAGCTAATCAAATCCTCAGATCTGCAACTTCACCAACGCCGTCTTCTTCTACTGCTTCTTGCCTGAGACCGCCAAGCGTCCGCTCGAGGAGATGAACTACCTCTTCACCAACGCTCCCCTCTTCGTCCCCAACATGAAGTCGTCAGAGTGGGGTCTCGACATCGAGCGCCGTGTCGAAGAAGTTGCTGCTAAGCAAGGCTCGGTCTCCCACGCCGAGCATGTAGGCACCAGCAAGCACGCCATGTAGGAAGCCCACAATAGTTTAGCTTCCTTGTCGAATTGACGTCCAATGCTGCATATCTTCATCACTATTTCAACCGTCTAAATGGGATTGTGATGGTATAGATAATGAAGCAATTCCCACCAAAGCTTTCTTCCGTCTTCTTGTGAGATTAACGTAATTCTGAAAGTATGCCTCAGTGACGATGCAACTTCTGGACAATTCTGATGTCAATTATCAAGGCCACTGCAATTTGCAAACGCGATTCTAAGCATTACCGAGCTTTATTTCGTACAGTGTGGAGTGGGAAGTAAAATTTGGGTTATAAGAAGCTGTATTTCGGGCAACGATGTACAAGACTTGGCTGGGCACGCCTAGACTATATATTGTAAACCGACCAAAGCGCTAGTGAAGATCGGAGTGGTGTAACTTCTCTTGATGCCTCAGACTGAGTGCACTTACGTCGAATAAAGTCCTCTCTACTGATCTTTTAATGTCTTTTCTAGATACAGATGGACCCTTGTTTCACGAATCGGAAAATCCGGCGACCTTGCCTATCACATCAACCCCAGGCTATGTGCAGACATGCCAGCTCTTCCAAAATTACCTTGCCGCAACGAAGACGTAATCTCTCATACGGCAGGAGCGCAATGTCCCACTATTCGACATCCTTATGTCTACATAGTAGTCGGTACCGTCATGGGTGTAGCTGCTGTATTGCTGTTCGTCTTGTGACTGGTGCATAGCGGCACCCCACGGTTCAGACATTCTCCCGCCATGGAGATTGTGCGCATGAATGCGTTGCGGAACAAAAGGTTATACCAAGTTGTTCGCCATGTCCGCGGGCTGCGTAGCAACTAAGGGATATCCGGGCAATGGCTTCGGAAGATGAGATCCGCATGCGCGTGCGTTCACTGGCTCTTGCTAAGACTTCAGGCAGTACTTTTCCCATCGAAAAAGCTTGTTGGGAGAGAAAACATCATCGGTACTACATCGAACAAAGTGTACAGCAACTCTTGACCCGAAAACGACGCTGTTCACGAAAATGAATTCGAGTTTCATCCAACATCACACGAGACTTTCCACAGCAGTACGTATGCAGGCAGTGATATTAGTTTTGATACTACAAAGCTACGACTACCCTGATAGATGAACTAGTATCAACATCTAGATACGTGTGGTTGTTCGCACTTGGTCAATTTGTGACAATAAATGAGGGCGCTTGTAACTATCTTTTGTATAATATATCTCTTATGTCGCGAAACTGGTGTTTTATATCCATTTTGTCTCCTTCGTCCGTTCATTTAATCCGCGAGAGACTGCGTAATGTCTTGGACAATGTATCAGTAGACAAGCCATGAGAAGCATTGATACCGAGTCTCTGGTGTGTGATATTCACTATCATTAGTCGGCGTTGTGAGTACACGAGGTCTCGTCTGAAGACGAGCTAATTCAATCGTCTGATTGGTACGTTGTAAACAAACTAGGCTCATCCGTACTGAAAACAGCTTCTACTGCATGAACCAATGCACTGCTTATAATCCCCCTCTTCCATCCCACCCTACAACAGACGACCAACAAGACAAGAACCCCCCAGACGAGACAGCTCACTACGCAACAAAGCCAAACTACTTTCACACTGAAACCGATGGAAAGCATAGCACAAGTAAAGGTGGTCGTGCTTACGGAGTATACAACTGTGTACCCCACAGACGTTGCCCAGGCTACGTTCGAGCCGTCCGCATCTCTGACGACCGCCGTTAGTCTTTCCACTAGCCTGAACAGCAAGATACCTGAACCCACGATTTCGGTTTCATCGGCTGTTCCCTCTCAGACATCGCGGCCTACTTCTTCGCCCACTGTTATCCCGCTAGGTCCAAAGCGCCAATTCAACGATACCTCCGTCATCGTTATCCTTTCACTGTTCATCCTCTTTGCCATTCTTCTCATTGCAATGGTTGGTTACCTAATCCTCATGCGTTTCAAAGATAAATGTTCCTCGTGCCGTGATCTGCAGGAGCAGATCTTGAAGTGGGAGAGCGGCGAGCTGAAATGCATCACACGGCATATGATTATGGAGCGTGATATGCTTAACAAGACCCCTTGGGCACACTACACTTCATCAGAACTCGATCAGGAAACTGGATATCTTGGGCACAAAATGTCTCGCGCACCGACTATCTACCAAGCTAAAAGGCAGAGGAGACCGTCGTTCTTCCAAAAAATAAAAGCTTGCATTGCCCGTGGAGGCAAGTCATCAGCTCGAGCTCCAGATTTGCCGACTACCTACAACGATGGTCATCAGTATTCGGCTCGCTCCTCTGCATATTTGGCGTCTTCTACATACTACGATCCCGAAAAAGACGACAAAGAAATGCGTGTCTTCACAGACGTCTCGGTACCAGCTATTTCCAGCGTTCGTGGACCTCTCCGCAAAGAGTCAGATGAGCCAAAGCGCTATACCGCATACGCACAGTCTGAGGATGATGAAGACTACTCTCTTCAAAACGAGATGGACATCGCCCACGCGATGGCGAGTTTAGAATCTAGAGAGTACAAGGACGCCAATGCCATCCTCAACCGCCAATCTGCAACAGGCTCTGAGACTCGACGCGCTCTGGGATTCGTCGATACTAAAGACCAACAGATGAAGGTCGCACTTCATCCCAGCCTGTACTCCGAGGTCGACAAATCTCTATATGAACCACCAGATGCTAATACCACTTCGCAAGCTGGGGAGTACCAGCCGTTCAGCTGGCGCAAGAAAGGCCGTAAACCGCCAGACCTGGGAGACTAGCAAGAGAAACCCCAATAGTACCTGAACAACAAATCAACCAACCAGTAAGCGTAAGAGCACGTAGCTAAGGGCCTATATCGGTCGGATGGGCTGTAAGCAGATGTACTTGTAGTCTCAAGAGGACGACGGGCGCGCGACCGACGTTGTCAAATCTGGAACTATCAAAAGATGAGCGAGAGATTGCTTAAATTCCAGCAGGTTTTGGTTTCCAGCTGCTGAAATAGAACACGTAATGCAACTCAATACTATATCTATCGCCTTCAGCCTCTTCTCGGTGTATATTTCGTATAGCGGCAAGAGAATAGGAAATGCCGTCTTCATGCATCGTCTGCAGTGTCTCGGAATAGACTTGCATGGCGTGGTTCGGCTTCGATATGGCTGTCACCACTCGCCGGTTTGCCCACGGTGCGTATCATGTAAAGTTCTGAAATGCATTTGCGATCATAGGTCAGCTTATAGAATGCTGCAAAATATGTGATGCAAGTCGTGTCTGTAGTCTCAATAGTGGCGTCGCTGGCGGTACCTTTTGTTGATGCAGGCACCAGGCGTGGGCGCGCAACGCCGCATGCCTCCTTCCCGACCACCGGTACCCCTCATCTGGCAGCCGGACCGCCTGAGCTATTGCATCTACTCTCCAAGTCGGTGCACACAATCGCTGGCCGCAAAGATTATAACAAACAGACAGCAATCAAGATGCGCTTTTGCGTCAGCGTTCGATTCAGCGCCTGAGCGGTCAGGCAGGAAGTGCGAACGATTATGGACAGCGCGCTAATCTTCCCGCCGCTTCTTCCCCGGTGCCAGTCGCTTCTGCCATCAAGCACACGACCAACTCCATCATGAGCATCTATGATTCCATCGGCACGACTCTGTCTTTTCTGAGTCTGATATGGATCCCGGCTACGCTGCTCTGCTGCCTGCCATGGGTCCAGAAACGTTAGAAAACACTTGCTGAGTGAACATTAGTAGGTCAACGCTAACAATGCCAGAAATGCTCTATCTCCATAACTTCACATTCTTCCCCGGAAAATGGTTGACGCAGCCTGAAAGAGCAGGATTCCTGAGTATGTCGAGTCTCCTAGGTCTTCATGACAAAACTGTGCGCCATATAGTTCTTTGGGCTTATGTGATCAGAAAACCAGGTCATTCCCTTTCGCATTACCTCGAAGGACGGAGAGCGGCTCTTCGCATGGCTTATAGCTCCCTTGGGTATCTACGCTAAGAATGCCGACGCCTTCATCCAAGAGAAGACAGGCATTGACGTAGAGCAAACGGTTGCCTGGAATGCGCTGCGCAACGACCCGGAAGCCAGACTACTCATATACTTCCATGGGAATTCTGCCACGTTAGCACAGGAGCGCCGCACGATAGAGTATCGATCCTACTCTGCTGGAGCGTCGGAGAAGATGTTTGTTCTAGCATTCGACTATCGCGGTTTTGGCATCTCGACAGGTGAGCCCTCGGAATCTGGTCTACTGAACGATGCAGAGGCTGTGATTGACTGGGCTTTGAAGACTTGCCTGATACCTCCCGAGCGAATCGTACTTCTGGGACACTCACTAGGCACGGCTGTCGTATCAGGCATTGCACACCGTTACGCAACCAGTCTCGGCATAGAGTTCGCTGGCCTCATTCTGTGCGCAGCCTTTACGAATGCTGGAAACGCATTTTCGTCATATTCAATCGGTGGCGTTGTGCCTGTTCTTGCGCCTGTGAAGGTGTTCCCTGCCTTCCAAGCCTGGTTTGCCCGTAGGATGGTAGACACCTGGCGAAGCGACGATCGACTGGCAACAATGGCGCGTAAGTTGACGAAGCACCCAAACTGTTGCGGAGCCATGTCGTGGTTTATACGACGATCAAATTTGCTCAATCCCGTCTGATCCGATACTGATGAATCGAATAGGTACCTGCTCGAGGTTCAAGCTGGTCCTTGTTCATGCCGAGAGTGACCAGACCATGCCGTGGCACGAAACGGAAGCGCTCTTCCAATCAACACTTCGGGCCGCCAAAGACGCGAGTCCGAACGAAGACAGCCTCAAGAGTCTTGAGGTGGTCGATTTGGGCGAAGCCGGACGACAAGAGGTTTGGCAGAGCAATTCGCGCAGCATTTCGAAAACGATTGCTAAGCACGGCGGTACGTACTCGTCTTGAGGAGTTGATCCCTGAGTGTCGGCGCTTGCAGATTGCGCGTTTCGCCTATTGTCAGATGGGATCGGCTGCCCCACATCCGTCTAACGCAGACGATGCACATCTGCACCCTTCATTTCCTGGCTTTAACCACGCAATGAAGCGCAACGCAGAGAACCTGAGGCCAGCGGCAGTGCGCCTTCAGGTTCATGGCGATTTCGCACCATGCAGACGTTTACCCCACACGTAGTGATCTGGGCCGGCTCAGCCTGACATCCATGCGGTCATCGCCGCGCCTTCCGGCCTCGCTAGTTGGAAACAGGGCTAACGCTTCATACTAGGACACAACACGTCAATGACATGGTCGCCTGTAGCGCTCACCATCCTCCAGGTTTTTGGGCTTGCGGCTGAGACGGCACGAGTGTAGCTTTCTGAAGATATCATTAGGTGTGGCCCCTGGAGATCAGGCCCAGTCTCAGGATCCTGGTCGCTTCAGCAGAGGCTGGGTAGATCTGAGTAGCTCAAGAATGTCGATTAATCATTCAGTCGTCAACAAGGCACCAAGCGCAAGGACTGAGAAGTAACAGCATCTGTGAAGAAACAGACTACTGGGAAGTCGGCTTCGCACCAAGAGTGTAGCGCATGTCTAATCACTCTAGTGTATGAGAACGCGCAACCGCCAGGAGTTCCGACTTCTCGGCATGGCGGCCATGTGCGTCAGTCGATTCTCCACAACCCCCATGACGTCTCCACGTGTGGCTCATCCAGACCCGCATACAAAGCGCTTCACCGGCAACTGTCATCCTTCGTTTCAGCACCTGTTCGTTGTTCCAGACACTCTTCACGTACGACTTTCGCTACACAACGCTCCGTAACCCGTCCATTCCTGTCGCTCTCACCTCACCTCTTGACACCTTTCGTTTGTGACCTGTTCTTTGCATTGAATAAAAACACAACTCTATCTACCTCGTCACCAGGTCGGACATCGAACACTCTACCAAACAGAAAGACTACTACAAATATGCCTGCTATCCACCATCTACAGGCGCGTTTCCTAGAAGATTCGAACGGCAACGGCGGAATCTCACCGACAGCTATTGCCCTCATCGTGTGCCTCGGAATTGTACCATGCATCATCTTGATATGGGCAGTCTGCTACCTCTTCTGGGCCTATCCATATGACCGCAACTGCTGCTGCATCAAGCGAAAGCGCCGCTCGGAACCGCAAAGCGTACTGAACCAAGCGCCAATGAGCGAGGAGACGTTATTCGAAAAGCAGGGTATGGCACCTCCACAAAGACCTTTCTCTGTGCAGACCAGGACCGAATCGGGGAGCTCAAGCAACAATGGGCGCCTGCACAAGCAGCAGAGGCCTGGCAGTGGAGTCGACACCCGGGGCGCGCGCATGAGCCAGCAAAGCGTTATGAGTGCGAACACTATGACGTACGCCCAAGAGCCTCAGCGATTCGTATGAGGATCGAGCGATGAACCACGACATGAACGAACCTTTTCAACAGCGCATATGCGCACCGAGATGGCCACGACCGGCACCCGGCATCGGCACCGGCGCCTCCGCTGTGGCTGCGGTCATATCCCGCCTGTGAAGGCATTGCTGGTATCCCACCGCCAGGGAAAGATGGCGGGCCATCCAAAGACCAACCAGCACACTCAGGGCCAAAGATTATTACACGTCCACGAGGGACATCTCAAGCTTAGCACGGCAGCTACAGTAGTAGCGCTGCAACACGCTCTGCCCTTTGCGGTGAGCAGCTGGAGAGGATGAAGAATTCGCTGAGCTAAGAAGCCCAGTAACAGATCGAAATCTGCTGGACTATCCTAGTTAGGACTGTACCTATTTGTTTGCATGCATGCGGGACATTTGCATTTGGGCAGGAGTTTATAGCATTGTACTTTAGACGACGTTACGACATATCACATGTAATGGAATTAATCGACTACACTATTCTACCTTGCATATCACAGGATCCAAACCATGTGAGCCTGATGGCGGTGTGGTGGGTCTCGTGCAGTTGATAGGCCGAAGGGGTCTCACACGGAACCTGAGGCTCGATTAACCCTCGCAGTGGGGTAGTGGGCAGGCATATCAGTCGCGACTTCCCAAGCAGAAGCCGGAGGAGGATCACAAGTACCTTTGACTGAACTCAAGTGGCATCCCCTAATTCGCCGTACCGACACACTGAGCCATTTGAGAGTCGATAAGAAACGGAGACGGCCAGATTACTTGTCCGAGGATTGCGACAAACGTCGGCGTTCTTATCTCCGCGTCGCCATCGCGTTTCCGCCACCGTAACTCGTCCAGAGGCTACGTCAAGATACTGTACCAAAACAAATCCGTCGCAGGCAGCGCCCCAAGGGTGCTCTGCGACACGCCGCAAATACCGCCACCATTCCACCCTCAATCTACTTCTCGCGTTCCTATTTCCTGTCTTCACACGCATCGTTACTTTCTGCGCGCCTGCGAATGCTACGAAGTTACCTAGCCAAACCCAGCGCCCGAAGCGTCATACATAAGAGCGCGGGATTCGGCGGCGCGAGCTACATCAGTCTGAGCCTGAGCACACCTATCAGAATCGACAACAAAGCGAATTCGACCATGGCAGGGCAGGACGGCGAAGAGGCCAGACAGGGAGGTCAGCAGGCTATGCTGGCGAGTCAACGCGCAAAAGAGCAGGGAGAGGCGCAGGGGAGGTTCTCCAAGTGGTTCCCTCTTTCCGCCAAAGCGGGTTTCGATCAGTGGTGGGCGGGTCTGTCGCCTATGGCGTAAGTAGTGACTCTGCATGATTTGTATGTGAGACGTATACTGATTGCGCATGCGAACCCTAGAACAGAGCATCGTGTCCTCTCCTACATTCCACATCTCCAGAGTCCACCCACACATACCCAAACGGGCACCGCTCCTGCCTCAGCCGTTCCGTCCACAACAGACCTCGATGCGCCACCAAAACACACCGAAGATCACACAACAACGAATACCACCAACGACCCTTACGGACCACGAAGATGGAACTCACAAATGGTGGAATTGAGTGGTAAGGATCGTGCGCTGAATGAATTCTCCGTAGAGCGACTGGGTGAGGATGTGGAGAACAACTTGGTCATGCTGCATGGCTACGGTGCTGGATTGGGTTTCTTCTACCGCAACTTCGAGTCGTTGTCCCGCGCTGAAGGCTGGAAAGTCTTTGCGCTGGACCTTCTCGGTATGGGCCGGAGCAGTCGACCAACCTTCAAAATCAATGCCAAGGACAAGGAGGGAAAAATCGCAGAGACCGAATCCTGGTTCGTAGATGCGCTCGAGGAGTGGCGGATAAAGAGGGGGTTAGATCGCTTCACGTTGCTAGGACACAGCTTAGGTGGGTATCTGGCTGTTGCCTATGCACTGAAGTATCCGGGTCATCTCAACAAGCTGATACTTGCGTCTCCGGTCGGTATCCCTGAAGACCCGTACGCGGTTGACGAAGAGATGCCCGATCCGCAAGATTCGACGATGGCGAATGAGTTTACTCAGGATGCGGCTGACACGAACCGGAATGGTGTACAGCCATCGACAGCGGATAATAACAATTTTATGAACCAACGGAGTAAGAATGGTACGTATCATCTTGAACAGATCTGTGGAACCGGACTGACTCTTTGATAGAGGGCAATACCAAAGAGCCCAAACAACCGCCGAAAAGACGATTGCCCTGGTGGCTGTACTCTCTCTGGGAGGCCAACATGGTCTCGCCCTTCACCTTTGTACGTTGGTCAGGGCCTCTCGGCCCACGTCTGGTTTCGGGCTGGACGTCACGCCGCTTCTCGCAACTGCCGGAAGAGGAGGCTCAGGCTCTGCACGACTACAGCTATGCTCTTTTCCGCCAACGGGGTAGTTCCGAGTATGCGCTGTCGTACCTGCTTGCACCTGGTGCATTCGCTCGAAGTCCGATGATTCGGAGAATTCAAGGCGTTGGTCGACAATACCTACAAGCGCACGACAGACCCACGGTGGATGGCGATACTGCAGCCAATCCTACCACTCAGCGTGAGACGAGCTTCCCAGTCATCTTCATGTACGGAGAGAACGATTGGATGGACGTCGCTGGTGGTTTCGCCGCTGAAGAGAAGATGAAGCAGGAGCGGGAACGGATACTCGTGAAGGCATCTGCAGACGAGAAGAAGAATGATCATGGTGTAGGCAAAGTTATCATTATCAACAAGGCCGGCCATCATGTGTATCTGGACGGATGGGAGCAATTCAACCGCGTCATGTTGGAAGAAATGAACGAAGTCCGACAAAGAGAGCAGGCAAAGAGGCGTGCATAGATGTCCAAGCATTAGATGGATAGCATTGTCTGGGCGTTTGGGTTTGTAAAGCGTTCGATTCCGAACATGTTGGATCCACGACCATAATTAGTATAGAGCCTCTTCAACCACAGGCTTCCTTGAACTCATACACGTTCTCAACCCCCCATGATCAAAGCCGTGCTTCCTTGCCGTGGATGGTACCCCTCACTTCCGAAAGACGATCTCACATGAGCCCCTGCATACTTCACCCCCGCCCCGTTCCGTACACATTGCTCACTACTGCAGGGTCAAAGACGTGTCAGCCATCGTGGTGAAGGATAGCCAGCACGGCCTTCCTATAGCATGCTAGCAGTGTGGGGTGTAAACAGGTATGCCAGCAATCCATGTCTTCACCGCCCCGGCTAAGCGAGCAGGTGCATCATCGGAGTGCCTGACCGACTCGCGCCGGATGCACAGCATCTGATATAGGCACGAGGGCCCCTCGTACGCGTTGCGCATTCTCTTTCACGTGCACGCAACCGTTTGGTGGCGGTAGAGAGAAGGATAGCAGCCAAGGACAAGATCCTACAGCAACACTCGCACCATCGCATCGCCAGCGTCGCATTCACATGTCATTTCTACCGACACCCGCACGGCATCCCCAGACAGAGGCGTGATGGCGCCGCAAACACTCGACCAGATAGTCAAGGGCGCACCGGCGCCGAGCACGAGCTTGCACAGGGTGGCCGAGAGCGTCGAGCGAGACCCGCCGCCATATTCAGCGTCCATCCTCGCCGACCCGCCCCACGATGCCAACGGCCGCCTGCCCACCATCAAGACCCCGCGGCCGCCTGTTCTCAGCGACCCGACGTCGCTCCTGCCCTCGTCGCCGCCGCAGATCTACCTGAACCTGCTCATCCTCGAAGCCAGCCTGCGCAGCCAGTACCTCACCCTCCGCGCCCGGCGGCGGCAGAACACTTTCGTCCTCACACTGCTCGCCGTATGGATAGGCTTCTGCTTCTACCTCTTGTGGCTGCGGCCGCGAGAGGATGGCAAGGGAATTGGCGGGTCACAATACTGGCTCGTTGATATGCTGCAGAAGGTTGGCTTCATCACAGGCGTCGTCACGGCTCTGCTCTTCTGGGCGACTGGCCAATGGGAAAGAGGGGTACGCTGGCCGCGCCGCTGGATCGGGGTCGCGAACCGAGGCCTTAGGGGCATGAATGCGAAGATTGTCGTAATCCGAGGACCCTGGTGGAGGGAGCTGGTGGAATGGGCACATTTCATTGTGCCCTTCTCTGGCGGGCTGTGGGGAGGCGAGCAGGGAGGCAGTTCATACCACTTCATCAACACTGCGCAGGAGAACAAGCACGCCTTGGACGGCGGCCGACCCCGCCATCGCATAACGGAAGACGGCAAGGAATACGCCGAAGAAGACATTGCGCCTGGAGGCGACTACATCAAGCTACTCCTGCTCCCGAAGCCTTTCACGCCCGACTTCCGGCAAGAATGGGAGGTTTACAGAAACGAGTACTGGGCCACCGAAAACGAGCGACGAGCTGAGCTACGGAAACGCGTCCGAGCTAGACAACGCGAGATAGCAAGAGAAGAAGGCGGCTGGCTGTGGTGGACCGGCTGGCGGGGATGGAAGCGCGCTCGCGGCATCAGTGGCCGGAGTGCAGACGTGGAAAAGAGCGGACACCACCACGGCCACAGCCACAGTCTCTCGCACACCGGGTCTCGGAAACGACGACTAAGCACCTTGCAAGCCGCCAGAGGAAGAGACGGATCGCATTCGAGAAGCTCGTCACGCAGCACAACGCCCACGCCAGACGTAGACATGGACGGTCGTCTCCGCCCGATGGAAGGTCATGAGCGCCGGTGGAGCAACGCGTCGAATAGCACAACTACAAGTCGCAAGTCTTCTCTCCGCTCCAGCACAACCATCACACAGGGCAACGCCCAGTCGGCACGCCAGCCACCGCAAAGACCTGCTGTCAGCTCTCGACCCAGTACGCCTAATGAGGGTAACCTGCCTTGGCAGAGTAAGAGAGCTAGTATGCTAAGCAACGCCTCAAGCATGAGTGAAATGGAAGAAGACGGTGGGTATGAGGCTGCCACGGAAGGGAGGGCAGACATACGACCAACGCCGAAGAGGAGGACTAGTAGGGAAAACGGTGGCAGTGGAAGGGCGGAAAGCGCCTAAACGACTGTTGAAGTGTTACGCATCTACGTTCTGGCCATGTTTTATGATACTCTGGTTTTTAGTCGGCGGTTTCTCGTTCCAGTTCAGCGAGCATTTTGTCTTGGAGAGGGTATATAGTAAGATAAGGAAGAACCGCATACAGAAGAGACATCTATTGTATTTAGCATAGTCACGTCTCATCTTCTCAGAGCACGACAAATGGGGTCTTTTGGAACGCCAGTATAGCGTGATGCGGGTCGGCCGCGAAACTATCCTTCACGTCTGAAAGCCAAAGTACGTTCGCCTTCCTATCCAAAAGGCCTATCCTACATTGCTGGGATCTCCGGTAACCAGAACATGAACGTCGCCCCTGACATCTCTCTTGATCAAAAAGACAAAGTGCGAGCAGGCTGTGGACTCATTCGTCCGAGCTACTGCCTCTGCCTCGACCTCCACGATAGTCGTCCCGACTGCCACCCCTTCCATCCCTTCCCTTGCCTCTACCTCTGCCTCGGTCTCTTCCTCTTGCAATGCTGTCCTCGTCGCCGATACCTGCCCACTGATGTCCGTCATTCGCGGAGAGTGCCTTATTGGTGCTAGCCGGCTGCTTCTTCTTGGCATCTGCCGTAGGAAGTATTTCATGACGTACTTGAGGCCTGGTAGCTAGATCATGCTCTGGCTCTGGCGGGACTTGCGCCATGCGATCCGGGTGAATGAGGGATGCTCGTGGCCGTGGTTCTCGACGCTCTCTGGAGGTGTCGCGCGTAACGAGACTCTGCGGTGAAGTATCGTCCATGCCTTGTGCTTCGGCGACTTGCGCTTTGCGCCAATAGGAGCGCTTTCGGTATCGGTCTTGGAAGGGAGGTATGGAATCTTTTCGTTTGCGGCTGCTGTAGCCTGGCTCACGGTAGTGTTGTCCCTCTTCTCGGCGCTTGCTTCCATGCGTGTCATCACGTCTATGGTGGGTAACATCTCGGAGGTCAACTCGGGAGTCTTGCGGAGGGGTGAGCCGACCAGTTTGATCGAAGTTCCGCTCGTGATCTGCTTCATCATGGGAAAAAACTGACGGCTTTCGCGGATTACGCTCATGGCTCGACTCCCTCCAATGAACATCTTCATCACCACTGACGTCGCCCCACTTCTTCCGCTTATTTCGCTTCTGTGCGTGAGGTCGTTCCCGTGAGCGTTTTCTATATGCTTCATCTTCTAGATTTTTATCGTCGAATGGAGCCACGGCATCGTCATTGGCCTTTTGTTGTATGTTGCCTTTGTCAATGTCGTCGAAGTTGGCGGCCCTTCTCGATGGGTGGACGTTTTCTTCTACGTGAGCAGCTGACAGAGCATGTGATGCCTCTTCTGAGCGCTGGCGGAATCTGTCCCAATACCCTCCTCTGCGCTCACTGCACCCACTATTCCTACTATCATCAAGTGCGGCTGGAGCACTGTACCAGTCATCAGCACTGCCGATGAAGTCCTATTAGTAATACTTAGCTTCGTCTCTATCGTACGCAAAAGAGTGCGCGAAGAACAGAAGCCGCAAAATCCACACGCAAAAATCCATGTTTATACTCAACGCACTCTTCCAACTCTTGCCCTGTCTCTCTCCCTCTCATCTGCCCTAGGGTCGTTCGGCACCTCTACCTCATACTCCTCTTCTTCGACCTTGTGGAACTTCTCAACCTCGGCGCGCTCACCGTGCGCACGAGCTGCGTCCAACATGAATCTGACCGTGCCGTTCTGACCACGAATACCGATTGCAGACTTGGGTGCTTGATCCACGCCAGGCGAGAGTGCGACGGGAGTAGCTGGGGTAAGTGGACTTGTAGGATCGATGCCATTGCGAGGTTTGGCCCCGTTGGCTGTACCTTCTGCTTCGGCGGCTCGCTCAGACTTGTACTGAGAGTAACGTGGGATGTGCGCTGCTGAAGCCTCCTGGTTAAGCCCAATGCGGATGTTGATAAAGTGTTCGAGTGTGTAGGATGGTCCAACTGAAGTCGCGCTGCGGTGATGGGTGTAGAGGTCGAGCATATCAAGGAGCGTTTCCATGACCTCCGCCCGGCTGGTAGCCCACTTGTGGTATCGCACAGGTCCTGCATCCACGAACTTGGCGGTATTCTTGCCGTGTAACCGTGCTGCAAGCTCTAAGCATGCAATAGCCAAGGTTGGCGTAGACTGCTTCAGCGGTGCAAACGTCCTGTATGAATCGATGCTCAGGTTCCAAGTCGTCTTGGCCTCGTCTTTCGCATCGAATCGCAGAGCTCTAGCAAGCTTTACCATGACCTTTTGGGGGTATCGGTTGCGGAAATCGAAGCCGGCGCTTTCGAGCATGAGTCGTTCGAGACCGATGATAAGCTTGGAGTGGTTTTCGAAGCGCTGTTGGGGCATTAGCTTTAAACTCGCAATCAGTCTCGCTCACAAGAGGTGCATACCGGATCATCGCTACTTAGGCTCTCACCAGGCCCGACCTTGAGATTCCAATGGGCGCAAAGAATCTCTCTACTCTTCTTTAACGTATCCTCAATCTTGCAGGCTGTGAAGAGTGCAGCAGCTGCCGCGTCCGCCCAGTTGTATTCATTGTCCGCGTGCAGCAGTCTGAACTTGTGGTAGTAGATGACGGCTGTGTTGAAGGTACGGATAGGCAGTTGCAGTGCGCGCCGAACTTGGTCTATCCAGGCAACGCCTTGCAGGCGGACGGCATCTTCCTTGGCATCGCTCATGTGAATCTCCGCGAGACATTTCTGCATGCGCGACTGCAGGATGTAGGGCTTCGCGATCTCGATATAGGACGGATGCGGTCCGACGCGCTCAGGATCGCGCTCCGAGGGAGAGGTGGTGGGCGCCATGACGTGCGCTTTTGTTCGGGATCTGTGCTGGATGTCTTGCGTCGTTGCAACCGTGGGCATCGGGGTGTTGGTGAAGACAGCTCAACTGTTCGCAATCGGCACAGTATTGCCTTCTTTGTCGCGCTATTATGATGCGTTCCTGGCGACGCAACGCGACTACGAAAGGGTCCTAGCGCTGGGCAGATGTTGTTGCGGGCGTGCAGGCGGTGGAAGCACGAAGACTATCGGCATGTGGAGTGGACTTCGAGGGTCATGGTCATAGCTCTAGTCCCTGCCCGCGGTAGATATGTGGACCGGTTGAACTTGTAATCTACCCAGCACGTTTTACAACAGCACGCGAAGATTGTTCTTTACTTCATACATTCTCCATACCATTATTGCTGTCCTATAAAAGACCGTCGCCTCCCCAGCCTATCCCCTCCTCGTCCCAGTATTAATTCATCCCAGCTTACACTGTACTCATGAAGCCAACGGGCTACTTCTCAAGAAGCGCCAAGGGCCGTAATCATTAATGTCTAAAGATGCAAGACCAGAGTATAAGTGTACCTCTGCCTTGGACGAACCAAATTTTCAACATAGAAATCTACGGGCGCAAATGCAAGAAAAGATCGCTCAATGTGCGCATCACGTAGCTGAATAGAATATCGACTCTTTATGCCGCTGTTCGGTCCTTGAATGTAAGAAGGCAGTCATCCTGTGAGAAATTAGAAAAGATTCCGGAGAAGGTGAATGTTACGCAATGCGACTTACCATAGGGAAAATAGTGGCAAACACCTTGATCACCTCGCTCTGATCGGTGACCTTGTGGTCCCAGTCCAGCAACATACTCGCCTTGCCAATCATCAACATGAGGTTGGCTTGCGCGTATGTCTGGCCCAGGCAGTAGTGGGGACCTGTGCCGAAAACGAGCCAATTCTTGGTTTGTTGATCAGCGTTGCCGGTAATCCATCGCTCGGGCTCGAACGAGTCTGGGTTGGGGTATGCTTCAGGGTCGTGAAGTGCCGGGTAGGTGGTAGGAATGACCATGGAGCCCTTGGGAACGGTGTATTCAGGTGTTACAGGGAAGTCCTTCTTAGCCAAGTAAGGAACCATGATGACTGGGGGACGGTAGCGGAGAGTCTCCTTGACGACAGCGCGGGTCCATTGCAGCTTCTCGATGGCGTCAAGCGAAAGGGTACCGTGGACATCGCCGTTTCTAGCCTTGATGTTCTCCTCACGGATCTTGTCGAGGTACTCCGGGCGGTCAGCCATGATCTGGAAGAGCCATGTGGCGGCAGACGAGGTAGCGTCCTGGGAAGCGAAGAGGAAGGTGAAGATGGTCATGGAGATCTCAAGATCGCTGAACCAGCGGATGACAGTCGCGGGCTTCTCAGCGTCATCGACCTTCTCGCCAGCTTCAACCCTTTTGCGGTACTTCTCGGACTGGATCATATTGTCTACCCAGAAGTCGAGAATGCACTCCTTCTTGCCACCAGCAGCCATGCGGACCTTGCTCTTTGCGGCACACTTGGAGAACTCATCCAGAACCATGTCAGCGCACTTCTTTCCGTACCAGGTCTTGGTGAAGGGGATAATGATAGGGAAGTTGACAAGTTCGAGCGCAGCGGTGATCAGGTAGTAGTCGTCGGCGATCTTCTTGACGGCCTCGTCAGAGCAGTAGTGACCAACGAAGGTACGGCAGCTCAACGCAGTGATCATGAGGCGGAACTCTTGCATCCAGGGAATGTGCTCGCCCTTGTTCTCTACTTGCGAAAGCTCCACAAAGCGCTTGAAGTATGTGTTGTAGACTTCCTCCTGACCCGGTAGGTACTGTTCGAGTGCTTGACGAGTAAACAAGCTGTTGAGACCTTTGCGGTAGTCGACGTGGGCACGGCCGTCGAGGAAGACCCAGTTCTCGGGGCGAAGGAGCTTCTGCGCGACATCGACGACACAGGGCTTAACGAAGGCGGGGGAGTTGAAGATCTTGCGGGCCATGTCGCGGGTAGAGGCAATGACGACGAATCTGAGGAGCGGTCAGCATAGGAAAGAGCTGGGAGCAGATGCAAGGGTAGCGTACTTGTGAAAGACGGATACGCAGCTGAGAGGACCGGACATCCATTTTTCGTGGTACTTCTTGAAGTCGGGGTTGACAGACTCGAGGAATGGACCGATGAAGGGTATTTTCCACGACGGACCGACGATTGAGCCCTTGTTCCAGATGTACTTGACTGCGCGAGGGTCAGCAATGTCCGGCGCAAACATAACACATGTAATGCCTACACTGGTCGTACGCCACCGCCGTTACGATAAGTGTCAAAGCGAGCTTCCAGGCATTGAAGCCGGAGAAGACGGAGGATAGGAGACCGCTGGTATCGAATTGCTGCAGGACATGCGCAACTTTTGCATCCGCCGTGGGCGAGACGAAACTCGCGTTGACCGCCATGTCGAAGTCGAAGAATTAGGATCGCGCTGCGCTGTGTTGTGTACGGGTGGAGGCGCGAGGGTCGCGGAGGGGAGGACGCAGGGAAGACAAGGGGAGTCAATCGACGCTGTATTATATTCCCGCGCGAGGACGAAGCCGAAAAGAGAATCTCTGATTGTTTAATTGCAGGGCTTGGCGCGAGCGGTGGCCACTGCAAAAGGAGCCATGTCAATCACATCGACTTTCGGACTCTAGTGCGTTATAGGCCTGGCGCTGCCCGGCGATTCGGATTTAGCACATCCGGGCGCGCGACGAGTGGATGCCCATGGATGATGCTGCCGTATAGAGGGCGGCATCTCTGGTCGGCGGATACGGCCATACGACGCATGCGTGTCGTCGGCACATGCAGTAACGTTGTCGGAGACTAAGCCTAAGTCGTGCTTTGTCTTAGAAATCCACTGTAGGTCTCAGATCTCGAGATCTAGGGACCGCCCCATACATTCCTTGCCCTGGTTTTCAGGCACGCGGCCAATCGGCACGTTCGCCCGCACCGCCGTAAGCACTGCATTCAGCGCAAGCGTGTACATCGCATGTCCAGCACGCCACCTGTGAAGTATGCCCATTTCATCGTCATAATATTCGAGTGGACCAATGATATGCTAACAAGATCAGTGTTCCCAATGTCACGGTAGGGAAGGTCGCTGCAACGTCAGACAACAACAACAACAAGGCCATACCTAGTCTGGCAGTAGTAGTCGTCATCTATGAACATGAAAGCGCCGATAGCATTGATTGCACTTCAGACAAGGAAAATACCGAACAGGTCTGAAGACTGCACTGGAACAGAAAGGCTAGATTAGAAGATCTAGCGTTAGTGTAGGCTCTAGGGTGTTCACTTTTCTCCACTCCCTCTAGCCCCACCTGCGGTCAAGAGGCACCGCATTGATGGAACTGGGCCAATATCTGCCTTCTGTGACGGGGAGCGTGGCCCGGGTAGCTGAAATCGAGTCCATGCCCCATCGCTCGCGAAGCATATGGTCTAACTCAATAGCGGGATAGCCAAACGAAATGTCGTTCGCATCTATTCCTGGGATTGCAAGGTAAAATTGCGCTACCCAGGCGCGTTCGTCCTGATGAACGGCTTTTTCCTGTATTATAGTTAGTTCAGTGTTGAATATCCAGCCTCACGTAGTCGAATGTTATACTTACTTGCTCCCATTGCTTTTGTGTCAACCCGAATATCCCTGTGATATCACGCGGAAAAGCCGACATGACTGGGTCGTGATGCGTGACCTTGACAGAGATGTTGTCACAGTCATACTTCATGATGTAAACCCAGTTCCTAATGGATTGCAGGAAATTCACGTAGTTGCATTGAGCGCCCCACCCAAGCTCGTCATCTTGGAAATCTGGGAGCTCAGTCATGACGACAAACTCGATATTGATATCGTGCTTGGAGCGCTCCCTGAGAAATTGCCCGAGACCTTCTAAGTTTTGCTCAGTGAAGCGTAGGAAGCGTCGTTCGTACGAGTACTTATCGAGACCTGAGAAGTGATCTCTTTGCATGTCTTCATCGAACTGCTCGAATTTGACGCGGACCTGGAGATTTCTGATGTGGTTCCTGGGGTACAACAGTGGTTTTGTCTGAACGTCCTCCGGTACATCCCAGGGGGTACCATCGTAGTCGTATCCCACTATGTTTTGGCCAGAGTGTTTCTCGGAAAAGCTGTATATAGCTCGTTCAACGCTGCATACTGAAAATGTATTGAGCGCGTAGTATATCTTCTGTATCTCATACGCAGCTTCCGCACCAACGTATCTGGGGTCCAGAAAATGGCTGGATGGAAGTGGCATATCCTTTGGTGGCTTGTGTGTATGTACTTCTTTGACTCGGCCGTCAGGGAGGACAGTGGTGTCATTGTCCTCGACCAAACTCAGTTCATCAACTCGATGGGTCAACTTCAATTTCGCGATGCGCTCTGTGAGTTCCAGGCCCAATTGCACGTCGTTGCTACCATCGGCTTCCGCCAATTTCACATCGACGTCCGAAGTGTCACCGGTGAGAGCACGATAAGGAGCTGGTGATGGCCACCTGTGTGAAATCCGTGGCTGCGCGTAGTTGTCGTAATGTAGTCTCTGTAATGGATCGTGAAAAGGCTTGTCATATTTACGGAAATGGTAGTATGAGCCAACGGGAATCGGACGATCAGGCTCGACGCAGAGGAACTCGTACACCAAGTCGCGTAGCTCCACGGGGAGCTTTTGATGCATCAGATTCACGAGTCGCAGGCAGTCCTTCATTGCATAGTAGCATAGATACTTCTGATACACAACATCATTGGCACGTGCTGCCTTGTTGGTCTGTTGAAGCTCGAGCTTCTTTTCAGTAATCCTGCAGGAACGTCAGCTACTCGAATGAATGGTGCGAGTCGTTGCGCAAGTCTACCATGGTTGTGCAGACGTCATGGACGCAGTTGTTTCCGGCACTTACAGATCGTGTTCGAATTGCGATTGCACGGCCATGCGACGCACGACCGCTTGTAGCTGTTCGAGCTCCTTTGGATCATCCATCTTGCATGCGAACGGAGGAAATTTGAAGTCTGAGGCGCGTAGCGTGAAGCTCATCAGTGCCCTAGTGCGGAGTGCGACCAGTTGCCCCCACATTTAGCGCGTCACGCCCATTGGCCAGCCCGAAACGCGTCGCGTAGTCACGCCGTTCGCATTCATTCGTCTCCAGAACGTCACCTCGGCATGGGTTGACATGGCCACCATCAAGGCCATCGAGGGCCGCTCTGTGCATCAGATCCAGTCAGGCCAGGTCATTGTTGGTCTGGAGTCGGTCTGCAAAGAGCTTGTCGAGAACAGCATCGATGCAGGCGCCACATCGGTTGGTATGTCTTCGCCCCACGATCTCTGGTTGACATGAGGTGACTGATGGTGAACAGAGGTGCGCTTCAAGAACTATGGCCTGGATGCGATAGAAGTACAAGACAACGGCTCTGGCATCTCCCCAGACGACTACGAAACCATCGCACTCAAGCACTATACGTCCAAACTCGCTACCTACGATGACCTCTCATCGCTACAGACATTCGGCTTCCGCGGTGAGGCCTTGTCATCGCTGTGCGCGCTATCCAACTTTTACATCATCACGGCCCGGCCTTCCGACGGCCCAAAGGGTACAAAGCTGGAGTTCGAGCAGTCGGGCAAGTTGAAGGGGACGTCGGTGGTAGCAGCCAAGCAGGGTACGACGGTAGTGGTCGAGACACTGTTCCATAACCTACCTGTACGGCGGAAGGAGCTCGAGAAGAACATCAAGCGGGAGTACAACAAAGTGCTGCAGCTGCTCAACGCATATGCTTGCATAAGCGTAGGCGTCAAGTTCTCGGTGAGCAATCAGATACCGAAAGGGTGAGTGCAGATCCAATACCCATCCACCCATCCATCGTGCTGACTCGGCCAAGAAAGAAGACGGTGGCTTTCTCGACCAACGCGAATGCGAGTACGCGAGACAACATCTCCAATGTCTACGGCGCAAAGACGATTGCTGCCCTGATTCCTCTAAGCCTTGAATTTGTCATGGACCCTTCGAGCCGACCAGGTGCCACACAAAGCGCAAAGAATCGGAGCACACAAGAGGACTTGGGTTCAAAAAGAGTCAAGATAGTTGGCCACATTTCCCGCCCTGTTGTAGGTGAAGGTCGCCAGACACCAGACCGACAGATGTTCTTTGTGAACTCGCGGCCTTGTACTCTGCCACAAGTTGCTAAGGCCATCAATGAGGTCTACAAATCCTATAACATCACACAGTCGGCTTTTGTATTTGCCGACATCCAGTTGGACACGAATGCCTACGATGTCAATGTGAGTCCAGACAAGCGGACCATTATGCTCCACGACCAGACTACGCTATTGGAGAACCTCAAGGACGCTCTCCTAGAGCTATTTGAGGGCCATGATCAGAGTGTACCTCAAGCTCAACTCTTGGGCAGGAAAACACCCGCATCCGCCTTCAAGCCGCCAACGATACAACCTCGTGAAAGCACAACGTCGGCGTTTGCGGGTGACCGGAGTGAATCGGAAGATGCTGTTGAGCTTCCTCAAAGGACCCCAAAGAGGGGTGAAATGTCATCTCCTCAAGACACGCCCGATATAAATGTCCGTCCAGGCTTCGTAAAGGCAAGTCTCATTGAGCGATTCGCTGGTCGCGACTCTGAAGACCGAACGATCCGTCCAATGGTAAGATCTAGAAGAGCCAGCTCTCCCGAGAATAGTGAGCTACCTGAAGAGCCCATGTCGCACGCGCATGTACCTCGACGCAGTCCTTCGCCCCAGAGAGAAGACAAGATCGAGCTAGCGCGCTCAAGGTCGCAGTCACCGTTGTTCGAGCCAGAAGACGAAGCGGCTGGGGTTCCTGTCAGGCTTTCCCAACCTTCCAAGATCGTCCAAGATTTCAATGCCCGCATAGCATCCCAGAGTCCTCGCAATCAAGAGCCAGACACCTCGTCAAAGCATCCAGAACCCACTGATGACGGTGGCGATACACAACAGCCAATTCCGGCGATAGTACAAACGCCGCAGAAGTCGTGGTCACAAAGTACCATCCAGAATGCCTTTGATCGTATGCGTCCAATGCGGACGCCAATCCAACAAGCTACTATAACTGTTGGTGACACGACGACAATTTCCACAATCGGTACGGGGAGTCGATCGATGGCTGCCAAACGCTCTAGGATACACACACCGAAGTTCTCTCTTTCTGGCAAGCCGCTGAATCAGACGCCAAAGAGGAGTTTATTCCAGAAGGGTCTAAGCGGCTTTGCCGCACCAGGCACCCAAGCGGAAAGCAGTGAGGAGGACGAGGAGGACGAGGATGATGAGGAGGACGAGACTGAAGTCGCGCAAGACAGTCTTATGTCTGATGCACCAATACGCTCTCCTTCTCCGCATAAGCGTTTGCCGTCTCGAGGCTTTGAGGAACCGCAAACCGATGATGTAGCTGCCTCATCCAGCGCTCCACCGCCGCGCGCAACAGTCGTTTCCGAAGAAGCTCCAGAAGAAGAATCCTCATCTGATGGTGAAGCCCAGCCTCAAGCTAAAGCTGAGGCCGAGATCACAGATGATGATGAGTATATAGAAGATTCCGAAAAGAAAGAGAGAGAAGAAGCGAAGATTGCGCAGCTCATTGCTGACGCTGAAGAAGCTGCAGCCCGGCCGACTGAAATGAACCTGAAGCGCGCCAACAAACTGTTCAAGGTCACTCAGAAGAAGTATTGGACCATCAATCTTGAACGTGTCATCGAGACAGATGTGGATGCCATTGCTCGGCATCTGCAAAATGTGCAGGCATCCATCGACGCGTCGATGGCAGAGATCAGTGAGGCGACTGCGCTTCCGGCAAGCACCCAGTTGAACCAAGAAGACCCAGAAGAACGTCTCAGCCTTACAGTAACAAAAGCTGACTTCAATGAAATGCGCATCATTGGTCAGTTCAATTTAGGCTTCATCATCGCTGTGAGACCGCCTACATCTACATCACCCACATCAGACCTCTTCATCATCGACCAGCATGCGAGTGACGAGAAGTACAACTTTGAGCGTCTTGCTGCCACGACAACACTAGTGCCACAGCGGCTAGTCCACCCACATCCTCTCGAGCTGACTGCCGTGGAGAAGGAGGTCATCCGCGAGAACAAACCCTCACTTACCGCAAATGGCTTTGTTGTCGATCTAGACGCGGAGGATGACAACTGCGCAGGTAATCACGCGCAGCTGATCTCATTACCAATGTCAAAAGAAGTTACCTTTACACCCACAGATCTAGAGGAACTCCTAGCACTCATCATAGAAAGCCCACAGTCTTCCTCCATGTCCACATCGTCGCACATACCGCGTCCCACCAAGGTCAGGAAATTGCTCGCAAGTCGAGCGTGCAGAAGTTCGGTGATGATCGGTAAGACCCTTCAGCCGCCACGCATGAGGAAGATTGTTCGACACATGGGCAGTATGGACAAGCCTTGGTCTTGTCCTCATGGTCGGCCTACTATGCGTCATCTCTTCGGTCTGGAGAAGTGGCAGGGTTGGACGGAGGGGGACGGCGTGACGGGCGTTGATGTCCAGGGTGAGAAGACTGATTGGAACGCGTATCTGAGGGATAGCAAGAGATGATGAAAAGGAAGAATGGAGATGGCATGCTGCAGAAGGACCAGAATACCCAGGTATTATTACGCAATTTGCTCTACATCAGCGTTGTTATCAATGACGCTGGTGCATAGCACTGCCCTGAGTACCTACACTTGAGGTTGAATATCACTAGGATAGATGGAAGTAGCATCCCGCTTGCAATCGCGGATGTTTGGAATACACGTAGACGCCTCGGTCTCTTACCCGATTCAAGTGTTTGCTCACAAAAGTTCGGCTGCTGGTGTCGTCGTTTGGCTAGTAATCCCCATCGCTTTCTGTACTAGGCATATGTCTTCTTCCTACTCCTGCGTTTTTCTTCACACGTATACTCTCCACATTTCCTTTTCTCACGCTCTCAGAAAACTTTGTCAAAACTGCTCAGCGCTCTCGTCTTTCCTGAACATCCTGCTCGCTTGTCTCAAAACGTCGTCTTGCATCCAACCATGGCGGAAAGTTCTACCTGGCTAATCGCAGCCTTTCTCGCTCTATCCCTTTATCTAGACATCATCTTAGCGCGAATCGATTTCGTATATGCATTGTATGGCAAAGATATGTGATAGTGTTTGCTTCCCGAACTGAGAGACGTGAAGATGTTGGTGATGATGATGTGTAGCCCAGATGGCGTCTGCCGCTTAAAATGCGTTTGCGCGTTTGCCAGCACGGCTTCTCGCCAGCGAGGCAGCTTGCTGTAAGAGATACTTCAAATCATTTGAAATATTACACGACACTCGTATTCTCTTCTGTCTTCCATGGCATCTTCCTGGGATTTAAGTATCGTATCTTCATCGCTACAGCCATGACGACACCAGACAGCAACTACGATGCCTCAGCCTCCGACTTCACATGGCCCAACGCCAAAGCGCTCTGGCTCATGATCATCATCGGCGCGGGTCTAATCGTCCTTTGCATCATCTACAAAGTTTGCATAAAAGTACATCAACGACGGGTCCAGCGAGCTAGTGAACATGAATTCGCCGATTTGATACAAGGGTCGACAAGAGTCGAGCTTGAAGGTGGTGCGATAAGATCGCAGAGCCCGTCACGAGCGGTAACGAGGAGAAGTAGTGAAGTCTCGGCTTTACCGCGGTATGAGCGGTTCGATGAGGAGGAAGTGTGTGATAAGGATGCACGGATTGAGAAGAGGGGGCGGTACAGTTATGTGTTGGGTGAGCAGTGGCCTGGGAAGAGACAATAGTGGAGGCTAAAAAGACGGGATGTGAATGGATGATGGGACTACCGCTTTGCGACATTAGAAGGGGCAATGCGCTGGCTGTGGTGGTGACGGTATGAAAGCAGCAAAGTCTTACTCACCTAAAGTGCCGAAATCCCCAAACCCCCTCATTTGGCGCTATATTCTCTTCAAACAGTGATTCTGACGCATAAAGATCAGGATGCGCAACTATCACGCTGGACCCAGAAGGACAGATTCTCAGTCAGACTTGTACTACGATTATAGAACGACGCGACCGAGACCGACACAGACAGCAGAGAATGCGCATCCAGGGGTTGCATATTACGCATAGATATAGTAGCGGCGATGGTGGTCTGTGATAGTAACGGGAATGCTGTTGGTAGATGTGAGCAAAAGACGGCTACGTAGCGGTAAGAAATGGCGGCTCTGGGAAAAGTTGAAAACTGGAAATACTGGAACACTGCGAAGTGAGTAGACCTACGTAATTTGGAAGCCGTTGCGAAGTATACTTTTCGATTTGGAATAGATCTCATACCCCTGATCCTGATTCTGAGTTGGCTTTTCTGCTGTCAGCATCATCATAACAACGCGGAATACACACGTGTACTCACAATATATACGTGACCCATTCAATGATATATCTACATCTAATTGAATAGCATTCATGCCCGCATAACTGCAAGATGGAGATTGAAAGCATCGCAATTATCTGCCTCGTTATTCTTGTCGTCCTCATCATCCAAATCATAGTCAGTCTGCGACTGCTTTTGCAGCTCCACCACCATGTGCACGCAAGAGATGAGGAACATGATATGCAGAGCAACCCCGTCAGACCCGGTTCTGTGCCCATCCAAGAGAATGCACGACCGCCATCGCGTAACGATGCGGAGGGTCTTACTGTACCAGGACCAGCGTATCCATCCAGCTCAAGATACAGTGTTCGGACAGACATCAGCGACTCGTCATCTCATTATGCGGCCTACAACTCGACCAAGAATATAGAGCGGCAGGCATCGCACAGTGACATGAAATATGAATGTGGGAACCCCTTTGCAGATGACGCGTTGAGCAAAACGAAGAAGAAAAAGGATCTATGTAAAGATTATGGAGTGAGAGACCGTGAGACCGTTGACGGAGTACTGGTAAGAGAAACGAACGCCGAAGCGGATCGATGTAGAACCGGGGGATAGCCGCATCTGGCGAGCTGACACATCCACATGATCCGAAGAGCAAGCCGGGATACGTATATATAGTCGACCGGCATGTCATTTCACTAGCTTTCTCAACAGCTTTAGTCGATCGTTCAACCAATCGACTCCTACTCACTTTACCTTTAGTCATGACAGGTAGAATCCAAAACCCGAAATACCAAGCTCCAAACATGCCCGCATACTTTCCCTAATTCGCGCTAGGCGTTCTAGTTGGCATCCTTATCGCAGCACTATGCTGTGCCATGTATGGCTGTGGTATGTTTCTTGCACGAGATTGAAGAAGTCTCAGGAGAGCGCCTTCAGAAGGCTCGTCGATCTATTATGCTGATGACGAAAGCGAGCTGATTGGCAGTGACGCTTCATTGACACAGCATGTGTCGATCGAGCCAAATTATACAGCGACGACACCTGTCAGGTGGTCGGATGCCGGACACGGAACCGAGAGATGATGAGATCCCTACGGTTTGCGTGTCAAGGCGTCGATTTGCGCGGTGACAACAAGTTGGCGGTCAGAGGATCAGACCGTTGCGTTGGCATCGCATGTATGCAACCACGACGCTGGCGTTTGATCAGACGTCGAACGGGAAGCAAACCGATTGCATGGTCTTCAAAGACAGACAGTGTAGCTATCAAACGATTAGTGAAAATCAACCGCTGAAGATTTACAACTCCGATCCCACCAGGTCATCAACTCGCGTATAATCACCCTCCAACCTCTTGTTCAAGCAGACGATCCCATCTCACTTGAAAAGCCATAAAGATAAAAGCTGAGCCTAGCGTAGCCGTTGGTGTATACATGGTGATGGTCACCAGCTGCGTACTCAAAATACCCACAGTCCCACTAGCGACATCGATAGACAAGGAATCTTTAGTAAGCGGAACTGTCGAGTGCTGGAAGAGCTCAAGTGAAGGCTCAAAAACGAAATCTATGGATTTCCCCAGGTCGACGAAAATCCTAGCATGTCGGACGCGGAATATTTTGGATGGACGGCAGCGTACTGAAATGGCATATGCAAGATTCTTTGAAATGTGTATTACTATCTTAAATATCAGTACCTGAAATCATCCTTGAAATGTGTCTACACATCCTGAGGTCCCATGTCAAACAGCAAGAACTCAGCGGGCTTGTCGCCCACACTCTCAATCTCGATCTTGCCAGGCCCGCTCACTCCCTCAATATACGCGCCATCACCCTCCCCAAACACCGTATCGCCAATCTTGACCTGCGCGCCACCCTGCTTAGGCTGCGACCGTCCACCCATAACAACATGCGCAAAGAGCTTCCTCGGCCCCTCGGCAACAAGCTCATGCACCACCTTCTTACCCGGCGACAAAATCGACGCATCCATGCTAAGATCAGCCTGCAGCCCAATAGCACCCTTGCTCTTCTCCAACCTGTCCGTAGACTCCATTATCCTAACCAGCTTATCCGCCTTCTCCTCGTCGGTAAACTTCTTCGTTTCGTAATGGGGCTTAAGACCGCGCTTGTTGGGCTTGGCCCAAATCTGGAGGAAATGGACTTCGGAGTCGGTGTTGCGGTTGTATTCAGAGTGGCGGATGCCCGTGCCGGCGGAGGTGAATTGGACTTCGCCGCGCTTGAGGTTTTCGAGGTTGCCCATGCTGTCTTTGTGTTCGAGGACGCCGTTGACGATGTAGCTGAAGATGAGGAATTCGGCGTGGCTATGTGTTCCTGTTTGGTAGTGTTAGCAAGGGATAGGGTGGGCGTAGGATGTGCATAGGGAGCGAGAGATGGTCTGTACGTACCGAAACCGGTGCCCGCCTTTACTCTGTCTTCGTTGATGACCCTCAGCGGGCCGAAGCTCTCGTGTCTAGGGTCATAGTACGACGCGAAGGAGAAAGTATGGTATGTGTATAGCCAATCGTGATCGGCATGTCCGCGTTGCGACCAACCGCGCTTGGTGAGCTTCATCGAAGTTGGACCTGCGGTCGACATTGCGCGTGTGGTGGGCTTGGTAAGGACAGCAGGGAACCAGATACTGCGGAAAGTGCTTGAGAAAGCCAGGATGATTGCGAGAAGACCAACGACTACGGTAAGTGTCTTTGTGGTTGTCGAATACGAAGTATATGTTGTACTAGAGCGATGTTCACCAGGTGTGTCTGTCATCACGAAAGGAAGAATCCTGGCATCGAAAGCGTCGAGGCCTCTTTATAGCTGTTAGTAGGGGTAGGGTTAGTTCACGCATCATGTCGAAGCTTCATTGACTTCGCGCATCGCATTTGCAATGAGTGACTAAGGCACGGTCAGGTTAGTAACTGCGTCTTGTGGGGAAAAGAGAAGACGCTTGCTGACCAGGCGGATTACCGATGGATGACGAAATCACCCCTGCTTCTTTCTCAGCTAGCCCTCATTGGACGCTTGCCGAAGGCGTTGCGGAACAGGTCCGGTCACGACCAAGCGATTACGATTCGCGCGTTGTTTACCTCCTACTGGTGCTACAGTTTTGATTAGACGTACCGGTACGAGAAAGAGCTTGTGTTGCGAATTACCAACTTTGCTGGTGGTTGTGCAGAATTGCAGACATAATCACGGATCGGCATCTACCCGTGAACCACCATCATGGCATTGACCAACTTCAACCCAGATGCCTTCTTCGAGACCTGGACAGAAGAAGAATACTCCCCGCGGTGCAACAACAAGCCCCTAGCACAGTGTTTAGGAGAATCCTTCGGCATCCCCCCAACCGATAAATACATCTACCGCGCCCAAGCCGAAACAACCCTCCACGCCACCCAAAGAGCCATCGAAGCGAAGAGGGCCCACGGTCTCCATGGATGGTACCACGATGACTCCGGAAAACCCTTTGACCCACCCCAATACCCAACTGCTGAGGAAATTCACGCCTACACCGTCCTCTTCTCCCCTCAACACAACCTCCCCACAGCCCTGAACAACTTTACCAAATCCGCAAAAGCCGACACTCTACGCAAACGCATAGGAAACCACCTAACCAGCCGCTTACTCAACAAATCAACCCAGAGCCTGCTTCCAGCGAAAAGAGATCCCAAAAAGCCCGCTCGCCAGCACAAAAACCCCTACCTCGATCTCTGGACCTACTCCTGTGAAGAACTAGAATGGGCCGGCCCCTTACCCTCAACAACACATACCCGAATCTCACATCACATCCTCCCAATCTTTTACCACCACTTCGGCTGCGTCGTCCCGTCTTACGCCGCTTTACACGTCTTGGCTAAACTGGCTCAGCCGGCGCGGCCAGCGAAGGAGAATGTACTACCTATCCTGGATATAGGGAGCGGAAATGGGTATTGGACGTACATGCTCCGTAACTTCCCTGTTTCGCATATTGGTACGGAGAAGGGACTTGATGTCCGGGCTATTGATAATCAGGTTAGTGAGTATCGTGTGACGTGGGTTAAGGATACGATTATTGTGGATGGGAAGGAGTATCTCAAACGGCATGATGGCGGGAAGGGGTGCGTATTATTACTCGTCTACCCGCAAGCGACAGGGGGGTTTACGGGGCCGCTGCTCAAGGCGTTCGCAGGAGATAGGATTGTGGTTGCGGGAACGCAGAATGGGAATGGGTTTACGGGGTTTCAGGATATGATAGTGGACGAGTGGGTAGAGAAGAATCTGAAGGCGTTTGAGTTGGTGCTGAGGATGCCGTTGCCGAGTTTTGCGGGCAAGGACGAGGCGCTGTTTGTGTTTGAGAGGAGGAAGTAAGAGGGGTGGGATGCGGAAGGGAGGGCATAGAGGTCACGGACGCAAGGATAGGGATTGTATCATACAGCATCTTATAGCTGTTCATATTCATCATTCATATCGTAGGACATGCCAGTACCTATCGTCGCTTTATTTTCCCATATCTACCACTTGGCCTCCTTCTTCGCCAAGAATGTGTTCAGAATAGCGACAAGCTTCTCCAACGCCGCGAGCCACTTCTCCAGCTCAGCCTGGACCTTGCTCTCGTCATCGCCCAACTTTCCGTAGAAGTCCTTACGGTAGGGTGTAGCGCTCATGGCAGCACTGAAGATGGGCTTGACCATGAAGGAGTGGTGGGGCTTGAGTGTGTTGCCGTAGGCATCGCGGAAGGAGTCGGCGAGCTCCTTGGAGGGGTTCGAGATGTTGTGACGGAGGGCTTGGGCAGTGAAGTCGAGGCCACTATGAAAGGTTAGTAACATGATATAGGAGTTGCAAAAGGATAGCTTACCGGTTCAGCCACACGAGACCTTCGGTAGCAGTGTGCTTCTTCTCCTTGAGCTCATTCAGGGCCAGTTCTTGGAGTGATTCTGACTGGGCGGGTGCTGCGAGCTGTCTGTCGCGGATTTTCTGCCTTGGGTTAGTACAGCTGTTTCTGCAGCATCAATTCCAGTCCTCACCTTGATGTTGCCGCTCATGTCATTCTTGACCGGCTTGAATGCCACCGAGCCCAAGACATCGAACAGGATAGTCGTGCTCTCAGCCGCCTCTAGGAACTCCGTCGTCGAGATAGCATTGTCCTTGGACTCGTCAACAGGCACGTCTACGAAGCTCTTCTTGACCGTGTCGAAGAAGGTTCCACCGGGAGGGTATGCAGCTGCCATTGTGGGGTATTGTGGAGTTTTGTTGAAGTGAGAGAAAAAGCAAGTGAGGTTGAGATGCGAGGAAGGCGGGAAGATGTTTGTTATGGCAAAGGTGGTCTCGGCCCAAGCGGTGAGCTCTGGTACGTTCGACACGCGTGGCTCTGGTGGGGCATGCGGCTGCAGTGAGCTAGCGCGGGGAAGGCGCGACGCACAGGGTCTCGAGAGGGGAACTGCGAGCGGCTAGCTCACGTTGCACATGGGCGCTGCATGTGTCTTGGGGAGCGGCGTCGGAATGTAGAATTATACCCGGAAGTAGTTTGTGCTGGGCGGGGAAAGAATGCCCGGTAGTCGTGACCTGCATGCGGTATAAGACATCATGAGCTTGCTATCGTCGTCAGATCGCGAGAGAACACCACAACCTGCAGGGCAATATATCGCCATCCCGATCTCTATCAATCGGACCTTCTGATCCTTGCCCTGACTTAACTCCGAACCTACAGCAACTATAACCACTAAGATGCCATCACATATCCACTCAGTAACCAACATACACCGTATAGCCTGCATCCCCGGCGATGGCATCGGGGTTGACATAACAGAAGCCGCCATCCAAGTCCTCAACGTCCTCTCCAAAACCATTGGCGGCTTCGAGTTCGACTTCAAAACCTTTGACTGGAGCAGTAAAAACTATCTGGAGCGAGGATGGTACATGCCACCCGATGGTCTCGAGCAACTAAAAGCCTATGATGCGATCTACTTTGGTGCCGTCGGTTGGCCCAACGTGCCAGACCATATATCGCTCTGGTCACTCATCTTGCCAATCCGAAAGTCCCTGAACCAATACGTCAATGTCCGACCTACGCGCATCCTCCCTGGCACCACATCCCCTCTATCAAATTGCAAACCCGGCGATCTAGACTGGATGATTATCCGCGAGAACAGCGAGGGCGAGTACTCTGGCCAAGGCGGTACATCTCACGAAGACAGCCCGCACACCATCGCCACCGAAGTGAGCATCTTCACACGCGTGGGCATCGAGCGCGTAATGCGGTATGCATTCGAGACCGCGCGCTCACGACCACGCAAGAAGCTCACCATGGTGACCAAGAGCAACGCACAGCGCCACGGCATGGTTCTTTGGGACAAAGTCTTCTACGAAGTCGCAAAAGAGTACGAAGACGTTGAGATAGACAAGATGCTCGTGGACGCCATGACGGTGCGCATGACACTGCATCCCTCCTCGCTCGACACCATTGTTGCGACAAATCTCCACGCGGATATCTTGTCTGACCTTGCGGCTGCGCTCAGTGGCTCGATTGGCATTGCGCCGTCGTCGAATCTCGATCCTACGAGGAAGAACCCGAGTATGTTTGAGCCTATTCATGGGTCTGCACCGGATATCGCGGGGAAGGGAATTGCGAATCCCGTGGGTGCGTTTTGGAGTGCGGCGGAGATGGTACGGTGGGTCGGGGAGGAAAAGGCGGCGGATGGGCTTATGAAGGCGATTGAGAATGTTACGGAGAGGGGGGTTAAGACGAAGGATCTGGGTGGGAGTGAGAATACGAAGGGTGTCACCGATGCGGTTTGTGCGGAGATTGAGACGCTTTTTAAGAGGGACTGAATAGGGTAGATATACATGTACATACCCACTACTACCACATCGCTTCTTACCATCTTGATATACCAAGGTATCAACCAGATTCATCACCCATCCAAAAACACCGCAGGAACCTCACTCCTCCCCTCAACAACCCGGCTCCTACACCCCTTCTCACCCCTCACCCTCTCATCCCCCACCTCCCTCAACCCCCACCAGTCCCTCCAAATCCTCACCGCTTTCCCCTGAATCAGCGCTTTGCTAATCGGCCCAAAATCATTACTATCCAAACTCTTCCGCCAGTTATCCCCTTCAATCCACACATGTCCATACGGCACAACAACCTTACCCACCTCATCCTCATCTCTAGCTGCAATGCTAGCCTCGTCGTGGTCAGGTAGTCCGTCCGGTACACCTTTCAACCTATTCTTGTAAGACTGCGGATCAAGCGCATACCCCCGTGTAGGATATACAGTGTCTCCTTCAACAGCCACAACGCGTTTTATCCCCATTTCCCCCGGTTTATGCGGTTTCCAGAACGTTACTACATCTCCTCTTTTCACGCCCCAGATATCCTCTCGCTCCCCTTCCTTCACATTCCCTTTTTTACTACTACTTCGCTCCTGATATGGTCGCACGATGACGTAATCTTCTCGGCCTGTCTCGTGTGCGCCGGGACTGAGTGTGGGTGCCATGGAGGAGCCGCGCACGTGCTGGATTTCAATGAAGTGGTCGCGGATCCAGAGGAGCGCGCAGGTGGCTACAATACCGTTTGTGCCCCATTTTAGGTAGCGGCCGCCGGTGCGGGCGCGTGGGGTTTCATGCCATCGGGGTGGTGGTGGTGGGGGAGGTGCGGTGCGAGATGGTGTTGCTGGGGTGGGCTTTGATGGGAGTGGAGTGCGCGGGGCGGGGTTGGCGGGTCTACTCGGTATAGAGGGCTTCGCGAATGATTTCGGTGGAGCAGGTTTCGCAGCAAGGCGGATGGGTGGTTTAGGTGGCATTGGGTAAATTGGCGTTGTGATGGGGCCTTGTTCAAGGTAACGCGATGTTGCTCGGCAATACTTGCCCGCGTTGCGCCATGGGACTTTGAAGGAATCGACGTGCCGCCGTTTCTCTGCCGCGAGACATCATTCTCGTAGATGCTTTGTTCATGACGACTTCACACACCTACAATGTTGCAGACTAGAGTAAGAACACAGACTGCAGCACTTCACACAAGTCATGTCCTAAAAGATTCTGATGATAACGTGCAAGTTCAAGAGGTATATCCAGCTAGGTGGCAGCTATAGTACAAGGACTAGTACATATCCACAATATGCAATTGCTACCATTCGGTCATTCAATGCTCGTCAAATCCATAACCTAATCTACTTCAGGGCCTTGATGACGGCGTCGGCGTACTCGAAGGTCTTGGCCTTGCCGCCAAGGTCACCGGTGATGGTCTGTAATATGATTAGCATGTATTTAGATCCAAAGACAATGTCTGATGCTTACCTTGCCCTCAGCAAGGACTTTGAAGATGGCCTGCTCAATGTTGGCGGCCTCCTGGGTGAGACCCATGTGTCGCAGCATCATGATGGAGCTGAGAAGAAGCGCGGTAGGGTTAGCGAGCTGCTTGCCAGCAATGTCGGGGGCGGATCCGTGGACAGCCTCGAAGATGGAGCAGTTGTCACCGATGTTGCCGGAAGGAGTAAGACCGAGACCACCGATGAGACCAGCGCACATGTCGGAGAGAATGTCTCCGTACAAGTTGGGCATGACGAGGACCTTGTCGTTGTAGGGAACAGGGTCGGTGACCATCTTCAAGCAGGTGTTGTCCAGCAACTCAGCGTCGAACTCAATGTCGGGGAACTCCTTGGAGATCTCGCGGGCGGTGCTGAGGAAGAGACCGTCGGACATCTTCATGATGGTGGCCTTGTGCACAGCGCGGACCTTCTTCCTGCCAATGTCGCGGGCGTGCTGGAAGGCGTATCGCAGAACGCGCTCAGAGGCCTCGCGGGTGATGAGCTTGATGCTCTGGACAACGCCATCGACTACAATGTGCTCGATACCAGAGTATTCTCCCTCGGTGTTCTCACGGATCAGGACAGTGTCGACGTCGTCGTAGGGGGTCTTGTAGCCGGCGATGGATCTGCAGGGGCGGACGTTGGCGAAGAGGTTGAAGGTACGGCGGAGAGTAAGGTTGAGCGAGACGTGGCCCTTGCCGATGGGCGTTGCGAGGGGGCCCTTGAGGGCGACCAAGTTCTTCTTGACGCTGGCGATGGACTCGTCGGGGATGACTGTCTTGCCGTCCTCGTTCAGGCGCGGGGTGACATCGACCGACTCCCACTTGATTGGGACGTTGGCGGCCGAGTAGATGTCCTTGACCGACTGCGCAATCTCGGGGCCGATACCATCGCCCTCGATTAGAGTGACGGAGTACTTGCCGTCGCTGCCCTTCTTTCCGTGGAACTTGGCGACCTCGGAGGCGTATGTGCGGGCGGAGACCTATGTATGTTAGTATAGTCCAGATGCATTTTTTTTTTCGCTTCCTCTGTCTCTTTCCTCGCCAGGCGCAAGAATCGTATGTCCCGCGGGAAGCTCACCTGGGACAGCGCGGGCGCCCATCGTGCGCGGTTAGCCTGGCGCATGCATTGCCGCGCAGGGGCGGCGAAAGAGCGAGCAGCCAACATGTTGAGGGTATGTAATTGTTGTCACGACCCAATTGGAGCTACACTGTGGTTGTAGCAGGTCGTCGAGGTGGGTGGTCGGCGGCGGGAGGGTTGCGCAAAGCTCGGATACAGAAAAAGAAAGCTCCACCGGCCGCGGGATGTCTTCGTGCGCCAAACCGGTCCATTCCGCCTCCGTCATGGCATCCCACCCGCGCTCGCCCTGCATTCCCTCATGCACCCTCGGCTAACGTCAGAATGGACTGGCGATATTTTGGAGAGCCTCACTACTGATGTTCACTTGGTACAAAAGTATAACACCCGTGAACCTTCACATTAGTGTCACTCGGCGCAACGGAATGTCTCGAACCGAGTGCTTGTCACATGTCACGGCACAGCGAAACAATCGTATCCATGAATTACACCATGCACTACAATATCCTACACTCAATCTCAACAGCATGACCACATGATGGAGTAGTCCTACTTTATTTCCCATCTCACTATCTCCATCTTATCTACCCCTCCTAAAAACTCGTTCCGGCTCCCGAACCCTCTCATGCATTTCATATTCACTTGCTAGGCTTCTCGGCTCATCTTCCTCCTGGCACTTCCTACGAGTCAAACGACCGATACCAGTTGATAACGCACACAGCCAGAGCACGACAAAAATCATAATCGCAGCGGAAACCGCACCGAAGATGAAGAAGCCGAGCCAGATACGGTATTCAGCACTCGAAGTGTTTGGTGGATGCAAAAGACTGGGATAAACGGCGTTGCTGTTTTGTAGTCGAGCGGGATTAGTAGTGTTGGTAGCTGCGATGGTGAGGCCGCTAGAGTAAGAAACGGTGTACGGAGCCGCCATATTCGACTGAAAGTTGATCTGCGCTTAGATGTGGGGAGACTGCTACTCTGTTCGTGTGCTTTCTTAGCAGTGTGCTGTCATTTTGGGCAGGTAGAGCAACAGACTATAGGCTCTGCGTCGTTGGGCATTGTGCGCCAGGGATGCTGAGCCTTCACGATCTCATTAATTCGAGAGCCTACAATGTGTTGGAGTACACCCTGTGAAATGTCGCCGGTGATATGACTGAAATTCAGTGTCATCAAACCCAACACTGTGAGCTCACAGGCCTGACGACCAGTGATGGTCACCATATGGTAATGAGTCTTGTCTGTACAGCGCGATAAGAACTACGCTTTACAGTTGATCTCCACCGATCTTCCTAGGTCATCGTTCAACGCAACCATGAGCTGAAAGGCGACCAGACGATACAAGACAACACCACCCGCATCAACATTTCGACTTCAGTATGTCCCAAAACGGTACTATGGCCGCTTTTACTTGGCCTAATGCTGCGCATGGAACTACTTCATCAGACACGACGACGTCGCATTCGTCGCATTTGCCTCTACCTTCTGCATTCACACCAACTGCGAAGATTGTTAACGTTCCATATATAGCGAAACCCCCAACTGGGAAAAGTACTGGTGTTTCCTACAAAGCGAAGCCTCCTACACCGACTTTTACGGCATCGAAGGGAGACAGATTGCTCGCTTGGGATGCTTCTACAGTCGCATCGACTGCCGTAGATTCCGTCGTTTTCTATCTATCGGACGTTGCTGAATTGACTTCCACTGCCTCAGACGGAGGTGCGTTCTTCTCCTCCTCCGTGTCCACGACTGCTATTGCCTCCGCTACAATCACTTCAACAGCAGTAGACTCTGGTATCTTCTACTCGTTAGAAATTCCTACTTTTACTTCTACTGTCCCCGATGGAGCGACGTTCTTCTCTTCGGACGTTCCCGTCTCTAGCATCGGCTGCCATCAGTGCACAGCTTGTACACAGACGACGTCGAACGCCAGTGCTTACACCAATGCGTCTCCTTTCCCAAAAGCAGTTTCAAACAATCCTTGGAATCCATATATAGCACCGCCGATTGATGTGTCACCATCGTACGTCGATTACGGCACGGTGTCCACCCTGATGCCTAAAGCTACCGGAGTCGCTTTCGATCGCGGCACACCTTTCGAAATGACTGATCCAACAATGCCAATAGCAAATGCATCGTCTGATCTTCATTCAGCCTTCACCAAGCAAGACGGTCCCCGCTTCGCGAAAGACCCAGGCCACATCATCGGTGTCGTCATACTGGCCCTCGGTATCGTTCTCGTATGCTTCCTAGCGATCAAGTACTTTAAGAGTTTAATTCCCACGACCCACGATCTGGAAAAGGGAAACAGCCGCCGTCGCTATCCATATTATGAAGAAGTCGTCCGTGGACGACGACGCTACCGTGACGGATCACCTCAAAGCACCCGTCATGCTGACATACCAATTTCGGAGGGATATGGTATGGATCCGGTCGACCTTGCTCGCGCACAGAATTGGCAAGACGGCTTCGACGAAAAAGGTGCGTATGCGACGCGAGATGGTGTAGATCGAGGGACAGCCACTGATAACTTCCAGTCAGTTGCGACGCATGGAACTGGTGATAATACTGGATATCAGCTGCAATTACCCAGCTTTATACCAACGCGCAGCTCGAATCCAAAGTCTCGTCCTGTCACCGAGCTGCCGGCGCTCGCCCGTAATCCGGAGTATACAGCCGGTCAGCCAGTCTCGCCGCTGGGTGCAAACGGCCCACCACACGATTATAACCGCACGCGAGATTACAGCGACGTATCACCGCTACATTCGCCCACAATGCATCGCCAAAATCTCAGGTAGTCAGTCCGGTCGAATGGCGAAAATGTGGTGTGGTTGTTGAAGATCAAACAGGTACAGCTGTCAGACGCGTTTCCAGCTAGTGGAGTTTAGAGTTTCGCATAGGTATCCTGCAATTTTGCTTTTGTAATTCCGAGACTCGTTACTTGATACAGTGTAATTAGTTCTGCGCCGGCAACATCGTTGGTTTTCAAGGTTACTTTGGGGGTTTCATTTCTTTCATTTGCTGGGGCTGTGCAGTGGTGGTTTAACTATCGTGAAGATCCCGTCCCCACCTGCATTCTTACCTACGCATTCGTTCCTTACCTACACACTCTTTTGACAACCACACTCATTCGCTCGATCGCAACTTTCCAACTCGTGTAGTATACATACAGATCTCATCTTGTCACATCGCACGACATGCCTGTACTAAAGTTCTCACACCGTGCTGAGCCCATCAACGCCGAACAGCGCATGATCGGCCCCATTCCTTTACCATGGTTCATTCCCATGTGTGTCTTTGCGCCTTTCTTCCTCTCATTCATTTGCTGGGTATTCTACCAACAAACAGTGACGCGATACAAGAACAAGAAGCTTCTGGCAGCGCAACAAGAGCAGCAGCGCTTAGCTACTAAAGAGGTGGAGACGCAGATGCAACAGTTCATTGGGTCGAGCGTAAACAACGCGAACATTCGCGCACCACCAAGAGCAATGAGGCAGCCCGGATTCCGATGAGTGTTATCTGGAATTTCTCAACACGAGTATCATGGAATTGGTCGCAGGATGTGAGACATGATCACGTGTCATCCATTCATTTCGGCTCGGGCAGACCAGCAGTAAGTAGTCCACACTGTCAACGAACTCATAACATCGTAAACTTACGACTTTTTACCAGAACCCTCTAAACGACTGTCATGAAAGCACAATGCCTCACCAGTATTCACACAACATCGCCACTCGTTCTACAAAAGATCTTCCATACCCGCTCACAACCTTCCACCACTAAGCTCTATCTACATCATCCCATCTCACGATAGTCTCGAAGCCGGACTTCCAACTTACATCCAAATCTCAACGAACTGACGCAGTACCATGGCACCACTCAGCCTTTACATCTGTAGCGACGTCGCGCCATTAGCCACCTCGATGTACTCACACCCCGCTATGCCGCTTGTCACTCAGCTTTCTGCATTAGCGACCATCGTCACCCCGACGACGCCCTATACATCCAAGGCATCTCCGTCCTCCATCTCGGACATTGTACACGAGATCTCCAAAGCAGATGTCGCCGCTCAGCCTACCTCAACTCTGGACCTAAAGCTTAAATCTAGCTCCTCTGGAGCCGAGGGTGGTTTGTCAACAATGGCTGTAGTTGGCATTGTCGGTGGTATAATCCTGGCCATGATCATCGGGGTGTTTATCGTGGTGAAAGTGTGTCACCATTGAGTCATGAGTGGGTCATACAGGTGGGACGGTGTTTGGGAGGGAACGTAGAATGTAGAAGGGGAGATGTTGTTTGATGGTTTGATTATGACGTTGAGATGGGTCTACATACTTAGATGTTGTATAGATGTAAAGATGAGTTCATGCCTTCAAAAATCCGTGGTTCTAGTTCGCCTTCCACAAGCTGGTCGCTCGCGATGGGACGTGCAATCTTCTTCCGCCGAACTAGGATATATCGCCTGTACTCCAATCACATAGATTTGCGACGAAGTGATGTATTTAGTGGCGACAAGCAACATCAAAATGTTCTCTAATCGCTGCTCTTGTACCTCACTAATCATCTTCTTCGCCGCTGTCGCCTCGGCGCATCTTCAACTGCAACCCAACCTTCCATCTCGATATCGAGATTGTCCAGCTCAGCCGATAAGTCTTGTCACGGCCTCTTCGCCTTTCTGACTGGTTGGTTAATGGCATGGTCGGAGTCAGATAGGAAGCTGTCTCTTAGTCGCTTCGTGTCGCGACTAACGGAACGAATGGCTCGTTCTCTTTGGGGATCCCTTCCGCTAGAGGGCGAGGAAGGCGCTGGAGATGCTGAGCAGGGTGAATGAGGGTGCTACAATGCAAAATGAGGTACTTACTGCCGTCCTCATCATCCGAGTCCACGATGAAGCGTCGCTTTCGTTGCGAGGCTGCTGGATTGATATTGCTAGTATGTACCATGGTCTTGCGTTCGAACGTATTTGCACTCGGGAGACTATGTTCTTTAGCCAGAGCCTTCCTATATGCGGCTGTCAGATACTGAGTCCAGTCATTCCTACGCGTTCGACTTACTGCACTGCATATTCCACCTGCTCATACTCTATTTCAGGCTTGACCTCTCCATCACTCAATAGATCCACGATTGCTGGTACGCAAATACCTCCTGCTTTGCGGTTGACAAGATCGAGTTGCGCTGCAGCAGCGCGAAACGCGGCATTCGATGGGCGGCACCTTTTCTTCGGAAGACGTCTTGGTTTAGTGTACGAAAACCGAGGGCAGTCGACTGCCATTTCAAAAATCTGAAGTGGGAAGGATGGGAAGGATGATACACTGTCAATCTCACTTGGAGAGGCAAAGGGGCTGAGAGCGCGCTGCCAAAGGTGAGAGAACATGCTGTTCCTCTGTGTTGTTTGCACTCAAGCTGCTTTTGCTGTTTGTTGTCTTACCTATGAGACTCCAATGTCTCAGCGCCCGTTTGAAAGGTGACAGAAAGAGCGAACAGGCGAGGCACCGCATGAAGCCTCGCAGGACAAGGCGCCCATACCAAAAGACCAAGACAAACACTGGTACCAACTGTCAAAGGTACGGAAGTATGCATACTTTGTACTTCGGTAGGATGCGATAGCGTGTATAGACAAACCAAATACTGTGAGTAACCTGAGAACTGATTTAACTTAATTTTCACACACGCAAAACGCCAGATGCTAATCCGATCCCGTCTACATGCCTTTAGATCAAGTCAACCTTTCTTCAGATCTTCCAGCTCTAGCTCTTTTTCTCAGGAGTCTGGTGTTGTATGCAAAGCGCGGCTGCATATCTATATCCAGATCTAATGGATCCTCGCTATCTGACATCTCAACGTCGCTGGGTGCACGTTCACTGCGTACCTCAATACCAAGAAATTCGTCGGAGCCATTAGAGATATCCGAGTCGAGATTGTATTGGACCACGTTATCGGGGGCGATGAACTCGCGGTCGCTGCTGGTCTCTCTGGCGTGTGTGGGGTTCATTAAAGACGACTTCGTTCGTTTGGCGCTCGTGTTTGAGCAGTGTTTTGTTCCTGACTTTGCGTTTTTGGTAGACTTCGTATGATTGTAGAGGCTTCTCGACTTCGTAGCTTTTGGTCTTGATGTAATGGTGGCGGCAGACTCCGGCTGAGGCTCATCGTCGTCCCACTCAAATTCTGGATCGTTCGGGTCTATCTTCACCATAACTTCCCCGCCATATGCGTCCAAGGCTGCACGGTACTGCATGGGTGGAGCTTCGCTCATTCGTATAGCTTGTTTCTTTGCCAACGGTAGATCGCCTTCGCTGTCCATAATGAGGTGATAGAGATCCACAATAGGCAGTGCCGGTGCGATGGCCATCAGCTGCGCGACCTTACTCCTCAGACCAAAGTCGTCGGTATCTGAGAGACTCATATTGACATCCCCAGGTTTGCCCTCTTTTCGGCACTTATTGAGCGAGTGGGGTCGATATGTGCGTCGCGTAGCAGGTTTACGAATCGATGACGCTTCTTTTTCGCTAACCAAATCTCGTTGAAGTGTTTCTCCTGGTACTCCAACAAGTGATCGATCCTTCGTAGGCTTGATAGACGCGGGTGTGAAGCGTCGTAGAACGAAGCCTATGGGTGCATTGAACTTGTTGGGCGATGCGCCTGAGCTCCCACTTGTGCCTTCGTAGCGAAAGTCTCGTAGATTTGGCTCGGCGAGTGAAACATGCGTTCGAGGACGTTCAGAACTATCAGCATTAGCGTTCGTAGTGTGAGTGCCATTTGTCTTGACCTACCGTAGAGGTGTCCTTGTTGGCGCATCATCGTGGCTATCCAGTGTGATCGGTAACTCCTGTAAGACGCCCATTCGGATACATGGAATAGACTTGGAGCCAGATTTAGGTGCTTTGCGCACCGAAATTTGAGGTTTTCGCTTCACCCGACCGCGTTTCTTTTTGCCTGTCGCCGGACCCATGTTGATTTTTTTGATATTGCGCTGGAACCCCATATTATCCTTCTTCCGATGAGGGTAATCGAGCTTGCGCTGTCGAATGGCGTGATGTGGTTTGGAGGTATGGTCGAGGGAGGGAAGAGACCGGTGCGGACAAGAAGAGTTGAACCCCGAGATCTCTAGCAGCGTTGCAGTGTGGAATCGCGGCAGTCCATATCGCGCTTGCGTATCTTTGCTCCCTTTCAAGATATCCTGATAATGGCTGCTAAGGCCGTAAGGCAACGATATAGGCAAACAGATATCAATGGCAAAAGGTGATTCGAAATCGCAAGACTGAGTTTGGTATACTGGAGGTGAAGGAGAGGTTCAGGGAACGGTCTAGGGTCGGAGGCAGGTCCGTCAAACAAGCGGTATCCTTGCGCAAAGGAGTGAAAAAGGAGAGACGGTTGCCATCGTATGCTGGGCGTGGAGAGGAAGCTTGTTGGTGGGGTAGGCCCGCGACGAGGAAGGCACGACCTGATCAGCTACGCGGACGACAATCACCTAGTTACTAACTGCTCCTGTGCCGCGGTCGTGGTAAGGTAATAAGCAGTATTTCCTGCCCTAAAACTGGCATCGCAAACCCTGCAATAATGGCATCTCCAACCACATTCGCAATATGCGCACCCAACGTCGCTATGAACACTGTTGTCGCCGTGGCACTCACAACACTGTCATCACTAACACGGACGAGCGTCTGCCATCATCACGCTTGATTGAGTTGCGCGGTTAAATAAGGAAGGAAGACGAGACACAAGAAGCGATAACAAAGATACCAATCATGTTATCGAGCTGAAGATTCGGCGAGTAGCCCCGCCACGCCACCTGCTACCCATTGGAGGCAGCACAGCCTTGCGCGCTGATGCTTCTCAATATGATACCAGTCACGAAGTCAAGCCCAGTGGCAAACATTGGAGATAATGTCAGAGAGCAAGGTGATGTATAAGAGTGCAAGGAATACTGAATCCCAAGCATGGAAGTGAACGATACGATCATGAGACGCTGAATGACGATGCAGCGCATTCCCAAGAGAAACCCCGCTCACCGGAGGGAGACCTGACCACTGAGCAAGAGGAGCTTACTTGGGTGACTGTAACATTGTAGACATTCTTGCAGGGCATGGCCCCGTATGTGGCATCAAGGTAGGCACATTGAGAGAGCTGAAGTGTCTGGCACTGATGATCGGTCGCGCCCAAGAGTGATGGGTGGGTCCGGCGCTGAGTCAGCAAGCGCCGCTACCGTACCGCGCGCCCTTAGAACCGCGCCCGCTGATGTTTACAGCATTCTATCATTGCATCTCCTTCCGTATCATACTTGACTCCATCGCGCGCTCGGTATCTGCCATTTCATAGGGCGTACGTACGCCTCCAGTCTCAATAATCGTCAACACGCGACGCGGTGACATTAGGCTGCACTAACCGCGGAGACAATACGAGCAGCCACAATACTGCAGTCATTATATTGTGCAGCTACACCATGTCCAGTAGTATCACAAATGGCGCGGTCCTACCCAGACCGGTGATGATATTTGTACTAGGATGGTGAGACGGCACTCAGCAGCCAATTAAGGACGCGACGTGTGGTCAAGCACGGCTGAGGTCTGGGGGCCGAAATGGAATTCCTGTTCTTGGGATCTCGGAGGTGACGATAAAGCGGGCGCATGCCCAGCCCAAACTTTATGGTATAATTGCTCCGGAATTGACTTCGACTATTTGTAGGAGAGGCGTACACTCCCAGACATAGCAACAGACCTGCTGGCTCCCGAGAAGCTATAGCTTCGCTGCTTCTCAGACCCCTCGAAGAATTCTTGTGGAAACTGCAACATGAGGTTTGGGCGTGGGCGGGACAGTCCGGAACCCACAGATCCGGTCTTCGACGAGGATCAAGATCTCAGCGAAGTTTGGCCACAGGTCGTGCGGCAGTATGAGGACACCACCAAGAAGAAGCTGAATATCACCACCACGTTCAAGAGCTTCCAGCTGCAGATTGACGCAGACATCAAAGAGTCAACAACGAAAAGCCACCAACATGCTCGGACTGTTCTGAACAATGTCGGTACCTGTCTCGAGAAGTTTGGGAGCATTGTCGCACAAGGGGCAAGTGTGGTCTTCGGACCAACTGCTCAATGCTGGAATGCGATAAGCTTCGTAATTCAAGCAGCACGCGGCTTCAGCGACATGATGGACGGGTTCGTCACTCTTATGGAACGCTCATCCGCCTTCTTACGACGCCTCGTCTACTTTCTGGAGCAAGAGGCCGGCAAAGATGGAACCTATTTGCCGCGCCCTCTTCGTAAGTCAGCGTACGAGATTTTATCCCAGTTTTTGGGTGTGCTTCGTTCTTCCTACAAGTTAGCTACCAGCACAAGAGAGCGAATGAAGTCTATGGCCGGAATCATTCTCTTCAACTCGAACGATGCGGTCGCAGAGTCACTCCAGCTTATGGAAAATCATATCCAGGAGTTCACCAGAGCCGAGGCCGATGTCATACTAGTAGGAGTTCGAGGGCTTGCAAAGCATCTCGTCAAATCTGACGAGGAAAGAGCCCGCTACCAGACTGAAATACTTGAATACCTCCAAGCCACATACAAAGTCGGTGATCAGGTTCTGAGCGTTACTCAGCAGATGAAGACTACTTTAGACGGTCGAGCCAATAAGGACCAACAGAAAGAGAATTTGGTAAAGATAGCAAACAGTCTGGGACTGAAGAAGCCTGGGGACTGGGAGACTTGGACCAAGCGGCATAGCGAGCTCTGCAAAACGCACGTAGAAGGGACAGGAGAATGGCTCAGTCAAGACGAGCCTGCATTCAGCCAATGGGCTGATCTGGAACAACACGACAAAAGGGTCCTTTTCCTGAAGGCCGACTCCGGTTTCGGCAAGACACATCTCTTCAATCACGTTGTTTCTCATCTCGAAAAGAAATGTCGGTCTGCACGCGGACCAAATCAGGCTTTCATCGCTTACTATTACTACGGAGATGATAAAGATGACTCTCTCGAACGGTGCATTGGATCCATCATATATCAGTTTGCAGCTGCAGATGTTGGATATGCTCAAGCTGTAGCAGAGGAATGCGCGCGACTCGCAAGCATTGCGCGAGCTGAAGATCGATGGAATAATCTTGTTTCGGGATTACAGCGTGCCATGAAAGGGACTTATTTCATATGTATGGACGGTTTTGATAGTCGTGGCCAGCTCGACACTGCAGAGGTAATGATGTCAACTATCGCGGGCCAAGCTGCGTCTTCAGCCGAGTCGAATGGGGTTTCCCTACGTCTCTTCGTATCCGGAAACGAGGACGCGCTTTCTGAGGTCTCGCAAGGAGTCAAAGGTGTCGGTACCATTGTTCTCGGGAGACGCAGAGACTCTGCCCAAACCATGGAACGAGCTGGCTACATACCAGATATAGCTCCAGACTCGCTGCCAAACGCAAGCGATCTGAGAGCTGTCACAAGCGCCAGGATCGAGGAGGTTTGCAAGACTAAACCCGGTCTGAAGGCCCTTCTTAGCGACGCGAACATCGAGCTTTTGCTTGAAGGCATACGCGGAAACTACAGGAACTTGGAGGCCAAGATAACAGAGATCAACGCCTGCGACACTAAAGGAAAAGTCCAAGAAGTCATCAACAACACAAGTGCCGACATGAACGCCGTCCAGAGAAACAGAATCAAGACGCTGGACGCTCTTTTGACTTCACGTCAGGCTCAGGTGCTTAATTCTCTTCTTGTGTGGGTTGCAGGCTGTAGCTACCCACCAAAGATCAGGGTTCTTGAGAGCGTTCTCTTCTTTATCTTTGGCGAGGAGTTTCTCCTCACAGATCAGATTGCTACTACCTACTCGCCTGTGCTCATGATTGATAAAGAGGGTAGGGTTGGATTCAAGGACGGCCTTAAGGATATCCTGTCCGCGAGTGCTCCCTCGGGAGCTGAATCTGCAATGTCTCAGTTGCATGCTGAAGCGATCACTAGTGCCGAAGTCGAACTTTGTCGCCGGTTCATACGAAAAGCTTGTGATGCAACAGATTACGCCAGATTTAGGTTCGATGATTTCTTTCAGGCCATGGCACAAAAGGTACATATTCACCTCGATGACGACAACACCGTAAATGTAACCATAATCAGCTTGTGCATCGATGTTCTGTTCGACAGTCGAAAGGTCGGAAGCCTCGAAGCAATGCGCGATTATGCTTCATTATGGTTTTATGAGTATCTTAAGAGCTTGGTCAAGGCGCTTGATGAGTTTGAGCCAGAAAGGAAGTTCATGACTGACATTGGAGGCAAGCTGGTTGACTTGTTCTACGATCCCAAAATGATCGATATGTGGTTCTCCAAGAAGAATTTGACGTGGTTGAAGTACGACTATCTGTATTCAGAAGAGTTCCTTGACCCCATCATGGCATTGCTGAAGAATTCGCAAGTGGCCAAAGGCTATGCAAAGGATGCAGAGAAGAGCGAGTGGGCCAGATCTGTAATTTCCGACACCGCGAGCAAATACTCCGTTCTAGAGCGCATCGCAGCGCGGTTGGCGACCCATTGGTTTAGTTGTTCGACTGGAACAACAGACAGAGATTACCTTTGGATTTCATGGGGTATTGTAGCCAAGGTGAGTTTTTCTTGACAATGCTAGGAGGTTGTCTGACACCGATGAACAGATATCCAAACCGGAGAAACCTTTCGAAGAATGGAAGCCGCCCTCGAATACAGAGGTTGACGAGTACATCGTCTGGGTAAAGAAGCAAAAGGACATCAACGTCGACAGCGCTGTCTGGGACTACCGCGTAGGAGCTACAAACGTCGTCTTCGAGCATTACAAAGAAGCCATTGCTGCGTTGGAGAAAGCTGAAAAGCACTCTCAGACGAATTGGGGTCTCTTTTTCAGTCTGGCAGAGGCCCATGAAAACGAAAAGAACCATCGTACAGCACTTGGGTATGTACAGAGCTTCAAATCGCTTAGCGAAAAGTTCCTTGAGACAGATGATTCGTACAAGGAAGCCTACTGGCTTTTGCTCAAGGTGGAAGGGAATTGCTATCGAGAGTGTCATGAGTACAACATGGCCGTGCAATCTTTCCGCGATCTTCTGAGCCAGGATATCAGTGAAGCATCCGGTATGAGCTGGCTTCACTTGCACGCTCTTTCGGGACTCTTCACAACCTGGACCGATACGAAGAGTCCTCAATCTATCATCGATCTCATTCGCAGCTGGAAAGATGCGACAGCCGAAAATCGTGGCCCGACCTACTGGCTACGAAGAGCATCACATGAACATGCCCTCCATACATGTATCATTGTGGCCGCAAAGCGTGTCGGGGTCGTGGAAGAGATCATCGCTCTGTATCAGGAGGCCATCGATTACAAACCGCTGGATGATCCTACTGTGGACGAGTCGGGGATAGACATCTCTGCTGAAGCAACCAAACAACTGCAGTACTTCCAAGCTGTCCTCAGATTCCACGGGAGCAAGTCCCGTAAAGATCAACACCAGAGCATACAATGCTGGGAAGACATTGTTCTCCAATCCGACGAGAACCCAGGGTCGTATATGACAGCATGGAATGCGACCCGCAAGCTAGCTCCGACTCTTCTTGACGTGGCAGTTGCTGAACTCGTGGAAGCTCCTTCGAGCTCTTCTAATGATTTCGCGAGCCGATTGGAGAAGCTCGTCAACCAAAACACGACGATCATCTGTAACCTGCGTCAAGGTTATTTCGACCCTGGCCTCTGTTTAGCAAGATTATACTGCATCAAACAGAACCATACTTCAGCTTTCACACAGGCGCGGGCTCGACTTTGCAGTGTCTTTGACAAGTGGCCTGAAGCTACTGATGATGCTTCACTTACTATTCGGTTCTCGAACTTGGCTCAAACATTGAATGTCCTTGACAAAGATGCTGATGCTGTTGCAGCGTGGCAGGCGATCGGGCCGTACCAACCGTCGAACGCGACGGATGCGAAAGCAGACGCGCAAAGTACCGGAGAGCTTCCACAGCCCAACTCTGAACCATCCAACACAAATGGTATGTCTGCGACTTCTGACAAGAACTCGAAAGACGGTGCAGCAGCATCCCCACCAACCACGACTGCGAACAAGGCGTACCTCACAGGATATGGTTGCGACGGAGCCTGTGGGACAGAATGGACAGACATGTTAGCCGACTGTTGGGTGTGCAAGCACTGTCTCTGCGTTCAGCTTTGCCAAGGATGCTACAAGAAACTTCTCGAAGACGACCTGCACCCTCTCGTTTGTAACAAGGATCACAAGATGCTCTTTCTACCGCCGTTCGACTGGGAGGCATGGCGTATTTGTCCAGCAGACATGATGGTTGTGGACAAGCAGCTCGTACCTCGAAAGGACTGGGTAGACAGGATTCGCAAAGAGTACAACGTGCAACAGGAAGAGATCGATTTCGTCAAGACGGAGAAGGCCAGGGAACTGAAAGCTGCCAGTGTTATTGCCGTGCGATGGCGCAACAGGTTGCAGAGGATCAGGGCCAGCAGGCCAACAGCGCCTACTCTCCGCCGAGCCAGGACGGTGGCATAGGTTATTGGTGCAATGCTCATTACGAGACAGCGCGACATTGGGTTGAGAGTAGAATGGGCGTTCGGCGGTGTGTCGATCAAGATTGATTATAATCCAGGATCAGTTCATGTCATTGCTAAGAATACACGATAGTTATTGGACATAGCACAGGCGCTCGTCTCTTCTTCTTCTTCTTCTTCTTCTTGTATTGCTCGAGCGCCTCACGACCTCCTTGTGCTTTCCACCCCTCCTCCACCCACTCTATAAAGCTTGGATGGCCATATTTTCTCGCCTCGGCGAGTGCAGCATCCGGATCCGCGCCTCAATCGAGTAGGAACTATGTCAGTTCGCGTGCATCTTTATCTGGTCTGCCAACGCAAACGATGTATTTTAGTGGCGTCCCCACTTCTCCTTGCAATCATTATGTGTCGCGCGGAAAGTCTAGCTTGTTCTTATCCCAGCCCACGGTATCAACTAGATGGCGCACCATCGCCATACGTTGAACATAACGTGCCTTGCTCTGCCATTGCGTTTTGTCGTCTTTCTTGGGGTCGTCCGACCCATCATGACCCAACGCCGCCATGAGCACCGCCCTATGCAGTGTACAGGGTCCCAAGGGAGCCCTTTCAGAGCGCAATGACTCAAGCGTTGCGATGTCGCCCCTCTCTGCGGCCTCTTGGAGTATGGGCCTCTTGTGCGGTGGTTCCCTCGGCGTAGCAAGTCTTGCACCATGCTTTACGCACCATACAAGCTTTTCGCGGTCATGGATACAAGACCACATGAATTGACTCTGGTAAGATAGAGCTTCTCCTGCTCAGTTTGTGTCCCAGCCACAAGCAAGCAGGAAATTGAGAGTTGTAGTTGGAACCTCTTTACCATAAATGTTAATGTGCTTGATGCTGACGCCGTGTTTAATAAGATAGCGAAGAGCCGGTATCGAGTTCTTCTTTATCGCAGAGACTACGAGTGGATGATTGTCGCGTTCCTTCGTATTACCTTGGGCGTTGACCCTGACCTGCTCGAATAGCTCTAGTTCGTGGTTGTCGATAGTGGTATCAAAAAAGAGTCTGCTTCCCAGTATTCACATCCTCCGCCTGATGCATCTTGGGTTTGCGCGTTTGGCAATATGATAGAGACTTGCACACTCTCAATTGCTGCTAGGCGTCTTTGAAGTTGTCTCCCTAGATTGACAAAGCGTCGGGTGCAAAAATGCCAAAAAAAAAGAGGATGCGCCGGCAAAAACATACAACAGCGGGGATTCGCTAGTGGTCACCCACCTAACTACTAATCCGCCGGTACAATGCTTGTATATGGCTGAGCGGACGGGAAGCCTAATTTTCATTGTCCTATGGTCGTATGTACAATATTGGGCATTCAAAATGTATATAATCGCGTTGTGCAAGGCTGGCTTCGATAGAACGAAATCTTAGGTTGTAGACGACAACAAGGGTCACGGATAGTGTACTAGTTTGCACCGGGCCATGTTGCTGGTATGGAGTAACCAGTGGCGTACTATTGCGGGGAAGAGCGCTTGAACGGGGTATACTGCCGTCGTCGTTTTGGGGTGTAGGTATGGGAGGGACCGACTAGCAAGTGAAGAGAACGACAAGGCTGACTAGATGCTACACGTTAGCATGCATGATGCAGGATATGCTGTTAATGCGTCCAGTCGTCCCAAGACCTCTATCGCTACGAATGTTGCCGTTGCGCAGTCTTGCGCGCCGATGTGTGCTTCCTATGCGAAGGTGCTGAGTAATGGGCTGCTTAGCGCGTCATTCACGCGTCTCAACCAAGGGAAGCCTCCCACCGAAGTCGTCCACATCCATATCCAGAACCACTAGTCGTGCTTCATGGTACTACTCAAGGTGCTGCTTTAGCATGTTAAGAGTTGTCGCTCTTGGCCATAAGTTTGCCCAGGTGATAGGAGACATGAATGTGAGTGAACCCCTCAGCACTCAGGCATCCCTCTTGAATCGAGAGCACACGCCATGTGAATCATACTAAAAAAGTGGACAATGGCAGACCTCGAACTTCGTATTAACGAACTACTACCATGGCCGAGCTCTCGAGAGAAGATCTGCCGCCTTCAGATAGCCCACACCTCGTCATCCGGCACCCTACAGCAGAAGAGTGCACCACAATCTCCACCAATACCTCCATCGAGTGGAAAGACTCGCTTTCACTCGCACAATACTTAAACGAAGGTCAATGGCTTGCCACAGTCCCTTTAGCCCGGGATGGAGGAATGACAACATGGATCTTGGTCCACCAGGATAAAGCTCCAGGCGAACGTCAAATACTATGCTCTTGCGAGAGCTTCTCCAAACGCTCACTCACGAGCAATAACAACGGTACTATGAGCGAGAACATTGTGCATGGTGTGGCCAGTGTCTTCTGTCCGAGCGAGTACCGCGGTCGAGGGTATGCGGCACGCATGATGCGTGAGCTATCGCGGATTCTGTACACCTGGCAGACAGAAGGACACCAATGTGTAGGAAGTACGCTGTATTCCGACATAGGCAAGGATTTCTATGCGAAACTGGGCTGGCTACCCAACTCCACGAATTCGCACATCGAGCTACAACCCAGCGTCATCGTGCGGCCTTCGCTTGCTACACCAGTCATTGAGGATGAGCTGGATGCTTTGTGCAAGCGGGACGAGGAACTGGTACGGTTCCGCATGTCATTACCCACGCGAGAGGCGAAAAGTCGCTTTACGATCATCCCAGATCTTGATCATATGCTCTGGCACATGTCCAAAGAAGAGTTCGCTACTAAACACCTCTTTGGCAAGATACCCGGTTCGAAAGGAGCGATAGCTGGCCCGCCAGGCAGCCAAGTCTGGGCGCTTTGGACGCACCGATACTACAGTCACCCCGATGCCAGCACGCCACGGAACGTTCTATACATACTTCGGCTAGTGATGGAGGTGGATGAGACCGCAACAAGGCTATCTTCTGATGCAACGAAACGACCTGAGCCTGCCATGTACGAGCAGCAGACAGTATATCTTCGCGCGGTTCTGCAGGCAGCTCAGGCTGAAGCCAAAGAATGGAAACTTGATGTCGTCAAGCTATGGGACCCTACACCCTTGGTCCTAGAGATGCTGACTCAAAGTGGTCTAGAGTACGAGGTCGCCGAACGGGAGAATAACAGTATCGCTAGCCTACTTTGGTACGATTCAAACGGTGATATCAGCGACGAGATACCGCTGTGGCTGAACAACGAGCATTACGCGTGGCAATGACAGTTGGAAGGCCTGGTGCCCATGGCATTTAAGTGTTACATGTAGTGCCGATCGCACTGCGCAATGTACTCTCTGATCCATGCCCCGACAAGGCCGCCGTAATCGTCGTCTCGGCTTCCATATCGTGGGACGAGCCGATGGATAGACAAGCCTGCGAAGCTGAATCGCTCTGGAGGCTAGGCTAGTGTATTTGCTGGGTACGCACCGGACGGGTCATGCTGTTCGCTTCATTGCTATAATCACACTACAATTTACGCTGTTCCATCCACCGGTGTTAAACTATGTTGCAGCGCCATATTGAGAAGACTGCGCGCCAGACGGATTCTCATCGACCTCAGACCTGTGGTGCAGTCTTGTCATTGGTATACCGCTATCCGCTGCTGACTCATGCTTCGACCCCTCTCTTCTATCGATTCCGAGAACTGCGGGCTTAGACGTATCGCTCAAATGATGCGCACGGAGAAAGAGGTTGGCGATGAACGATAGGCCTGCCGCCACCACGAACTATAGCTGTTAGCAGATGCATCAGTAAAGAAGCGCAAGAGCTTACCATGATCCAGACGGATCTTAAAGAGCGAAAGTATGCATCCTTTACGAGCAATTGTTGAGGATTGGGCAAAGTCTTGATTACCTCGACATTCGCTGACGCCTGGTCGCCGCCGAACATGCTCGCCAGGTCTTCACCAATCTTGTCTGCAAGTTCATGGCTAGCAGCATCGATCCGATTCTGGAACTAGAAGTAGGTGTAAGAAGTCAGTGTTTGTCCAGCATGCAATATGTAGATTGACGCCACGTACAATCACGCCCCCAACAACGACCGCCACAGTCGTCGCCAGCGACCGCAAAAACGTCATAGTCGCTTGTATAACCGCCGTATCCACTACCGTCATTGCAGCCTGCGCAGCGATGAGTGGCGGTTCGATATTCATGCCCACTCCGATGCCTGTGATGACTTGGAAGATGATGAGTTTCGTCAGACTCTCTCCAACCCTAACGCTAATGAGAAGGCCGGTACCAAGACATAGCAAGCCATGTGCAACGTATGTGATCGGAAGATATGTCCCTGTCTTCTGAATGTATGCGCCTGTGCATGCGGCGGACAAAGAGCATGCCACGATAAGCGGTATGAGATAGACGCCGGAGACGAGAGCGTTGGCGCCTAACACAGACTGAGAGTATAGAGGTAAGTAGTACGATAGACCGATGAGGATGTAAAAGTTACAAGCCCATACAAAGTATGCAGCGACAGTCGAGCGCTTTGTAAAAAGACGCAGTGGGATGACGGGATGTTTGGCGAACTTCCACTCATTAACGAGGAAGACGCCGATAGTCACGAGTCCAAAGACTATGAGGCATACGACTGTTGCTGAAGACCAAGGGAACGTGACGCTACCAAAGTCCAGTCCGAGCAAGATCATCAATGCGGCGCCAACGATCAGGATACTCCCCACCCAATCGATAGCCTTCAGACCCGCAAAGACAGGCGTGTGCGGCGAGGGAAGGTTCAAGAAGAAGACTAGTACGACCAATACCACTGCTCCAATTGGCAAATTGATCCAAAAGCACCATCGCCAGCTCGCCTTTGTCGTAAAGCTACCTCCGATGACTGGCCCGATAGCACTGCCAACCGCCCACACAAGGGACGTTATGGCAAGGTACAGCCCTCGATCGCGCAGGGAAAAGGTATCGCAAATGATGATGTTGACTGTCGTGCCCATACCAGAGGACCCGAGGCCCTGCAATGCACGACCTGCGATGAGAGAATGCATGGACGGCGCAAGAGCGCAGAGTAGACTTCCCCCGAGGAATATGGTCAGCGCAATCAAGAGGATGGGCTTGCGGCCCCATATGTCTGCTAATGAACCCCAGACTGGCGTACTAGCTGTACTCGCTAGGATGAAGGCGCTGCCTATCCAGACATAACCCGTGGTCGAGTGCAAGCGTTGCACTATGGTAGGGATGGCGGGTGTGATAACTGTGAGGTCGAGGGCGGATAGGAACACGGAGAGACAGAGTGGTAGCATGATCAATGCGATGGCCGCTGCTGAGAGTTTGTTGGTAGTATTCTCTGATTCTGTGGCGATCGTAGGTGGTAGTGTCGTCGCCACACTGTCCGGGAGCACGTCGCTTGCTGATGTTTCCGGGTTGCGGATGGACTTGCGGTCTGCGAGCACCGCTTGAGGTAGATCCTGCGACGCCATCGCTGTCGCAACATCGTTACAACTCAATCTTCGGCGTGGCGCCTCAAGAACATCGTCTGGCGAAAGTACGCTCTCCACGGCCTCTGTCCTACTAAGTCCAACAACTGGCGTCGGCGTGGTCTCCTGGTTGGAACCGTAAGTCCGCGCAGCCTGAGTAATCTGGCTGTTGCTCTGCCGTGTCGCAGACGATAGCTGCATGTTCGTTCGTCGTGATATCGCTGCTGCTTGCTCAGAACGGGTTTTTGATTGTCGCGTATGACGGTCAAACGACAGCCATAGCGCAAAGCTGTTTGCAGTAAGGGAGTCGTGCAGCGACATCTAGCTTGTGGTCATCGACCCTGCAGAATCTGGTTTTTATTGCTGAATAGATTGCTCAGGATCTGGCAGGACAGACTTTGTGCCAGCCGTAACGTCGCCCGCTTGCTTTTGAAAGTAAGCTGACGAGCTTCCGCAGGATCCATGATTCGGATGTGGCACGGACTTGGATCATGTGACTTCATCCTCAGCGTTGAAAGGTCCTCGCTCTCCCACGTCGCGCCTGGAGGTATTCCACACACAATAGCCATCCTTCCTGCACGCGCTCACCCAGAGCTCTCATGGTAAACGAACAACCATCATGTGCGAGTTTGATCCAAATGATCGTTCCGCTTCCTCGATATCACGACTTACCTCGTGCTTATCTTTGGCTTCTATCGCGAAGCCTTGGAATGGAAGCCGCGCAATCAGCAAACCCTACCGCGACTGCTTCATTCGGCTTTCCACACACTCCCGGGCGCTCTTTATCATGGTCTGGCGTATAACGCAGTATTTGCAGGCAACAGCGTCGCGTCGCTCGCCTGCATGGTATGGCGTTTGATCTCGGGGGCCGGTACTTGGGTGGTGTATGTATATCGTGTATGACTGGTCAGTGTGCCATCAAGTTCATCATCCGAAAAGACGTGTATCTACTACTTATTGGCAGCCTTGTAACGCCACTCAGCCTTGCGCCGACCGTAACTCACAAGGCTGCGCTACTTCGGTACTTATAAGTCCCTCGCGCTCGCTCATGCCGACGAACCCGCAAGTCAACGCGATTCATCATTGAGGCATCTACTATGGGCCCATACCAGTACCGGCCACTCGATGAGACCAAAGGAGATCTTCGCCTGCTCAGGTTGCAGCCTGCGTCTTGGGGAGAGGTCATCGAACTTCACATACAGCACGTTCCTTTGTGCGAAAGTCTGAAGATTGGTACGATGCCAAGCGCTTTAACGCGTGTACTGGCAACTTTGCCCCCCGGTTGGACAGCATACGAAACTCTGGAGGGCCGTTATCTATTCGAGAATACTGTCGACGACTACTGTTCTTGGACCCACCCAGATGATAGCATCCCGAGAAGCACGTACACTCGCAACCGGAACAACATCAACCTGAAGTATGCATTCGAGGCACTGTCCTACACGTGGGGAAACGACACCGAGACCACGCCGATACACATTGTCGACGTTGCCCTTGGAACAAACGGAGATCTTCTTGTCCGTCCGAACCTTGCAACGGCGCTGCAACACCTCCGCTACACTGACAGGGAAAGAACGCTCTGGATAGATGCAATCTGCATTGACCAAAGTAATCTACAAGAGCGGGGTAGCCAGGTGAAGCGCATGGACCAGATTTATCGATTCGCGAAGCAAGTGAACGTCTGGCTGGGGCCTGAGTCAAAAGAAGAGAACAGCGGGCGAGCTATGGAAATGCTTGGCTACATCGGAGCTCAGGTCGAGTATTCCAAGGATCAAAGCTATCTAGAAGCCCCATCTGCTAAAGAGAAGGGATGGTTTAGCCCCGATGTGGAGATACCGCTCACAGATGAGGAAGCTACTGCTATTCGGACTCTACTCGAGCGACCATGGTTCTCTAGGCTTTGGATTACACAAGAGGTTCAGCTAGCGAACGAGTCAGCTCGACTTTATTGCGGGCATTATTCAATCTCCTGGTATCACTTTCGCCGAGCGGCGCTCGCTTCGGACGTTAAACAGAACCTCAACGCCCTTTTACCTCTACCACTACTTGCTAAAGTCAGCAACCTAGTCTTCTATAACAGAAGTACGCCTTCACTCAAGATGCTCTGGGCGACGCGACGCGCTCAGTGCTTTGACAGTCGCGACAGGATCTATGCCGTTCTAGGGCTCTTAGAGCCGCGCTTCTCCTTGCTAGTGAACCCCGATTACAGCATCACTCCAGCGGTGACGTATCAGAGAGCTTGCCAAACTTGGCTTGAGGCATATGATAGGCTAAGCTTCCTTGAGTTCTGCGACATGCCAAAAGGTGGCTGCAATGGGCCATCGTGGGTGCCAGATTGGTCGAAACAACTACAGCGAGAACCAATGACCTTCGGCCGTTTCGCCTCGGGCCAGAGCTGTGCTGGAGGTGCGCGAATCATCGACGACAAAATTCTTGAGGTCATTGGGGTGCACTGCGGAGCGATCTCATGGGTAGAGGAGGTAGAACAACGAGAAGGGCCAGGAACGTGGGAATATTGGAGGCGCATTTCGAAAGAGCTAATACGGTTTGACGAGAAATTTGACGACTCGAGTGATGCCGAGCTCGATGCTTTCGTCGCTACTCTATGCGGAAATCGCGTTCGTGAGATGGACCCATCCCATATCTATTGGCCAACCGTATCTCAATGCAGAAAAACCTTGAAATCAGCGGATGGGGGAGGGTTGAGAAGGACGGAAACTGGCTTTGACGCTTTTCAAAGTAGTGTACAAGACTTCACCCATGGGCGACGCCTCTTCAAGAGCCAGGACTACATCGGATTCGGCTCCCAATCGATAGCAAAAGGTAAGATGCGTCCAGTGGAAGATGATTGAAGACCCAACTAATGGAGAAAGGCGATATCATTGCGGTATTCTTGGGTTTCGACGCACCAGTGGTCCTCCGTCCCAAGGCGAACGGTCACCATATAATTGTCGGAGAAGCTTATGTACATGGTTTGATGAACGGTGAAGCGATCCTTGGGCCACTTCCATGTGGCTGGCGAGCACAAGCCGATCGCAGCCATCAAGGCGTCATGGTCCAAAACTTCACGAAAGGCTCGGATGACGCCGTTGTTGAGGACCCACGCCTAGGACCGTTGTCGGCAGAGTTTGAATGGCGTGACCAGACTGCTCTTTCCGAATACGATCCGCGATTGTTTCCCAAGGCTCTGAAGTATCGAGGTGTCGATATCCGGACCTTTCACCTCTGTTGAGCATTCATGACCTATACGCGCGACCCAAGATGTCTAAATAATGTTGAGGACATGATTGCCATGGTGACGCAGTCAACGCTGTTGGAGGTAGAGCTTTACAGAAAGCAAGCCTTTCATACAGAGTCGTAACCATCCATTATGCTGTACTCGTCTTGAGGTTGGTGGTTGTGCGGTAAGTCAGAAGCGACAGCCCCAACGGACACAACAACGCGATGATCATTAAAGCATTGCCGCTAGAGACAGAGCATCAAGTACTAACCCACTTGGTACCCATTTTGATACTTGTGTAGAAGGTACTGCATATCCGCAATAGCCCTAAATCACGTCAGTGAGTGTGCACTACTAGTGAATTGACAGCGTAGAGAAGGTTGCGGTCTTCGTAGTCACACTCTGGTGCTGTGGTAGGAAAGAATGTATGGTACTCTTGCATCCACTCTCGACCGAGATTGTAGCGAGGAGTGGCCATGCTACCGGTGTCGTCTTTGTATTACAAACTACCGTATCAGAATCGATCTAGATGCTCTCTTATGCTGCCACTTACGCTCATTATGACTCCAAAAGACCGCTGAGTCAAAGTACACGGGCTCACCAGTAACCGCATTGGTACCTATGTTGCTACACCAGATATCGCCATGAAGCGCAACCGGTCTTAGTCTGCGTCCATGACTTTCGAGAGACCGAAGCAGTCGCGGAATGACCTTCTCCTTGAGACCAAGCACCAACTTCTCGATCTCTTCGCTCGGGCCCTGCCATGCTCACACCGTTCAACGAAGGACTGAAACCGCCGGCTGTACAGCTCTTTCCATGTTTTACTCCACGCTATGTCCTTGTACATACTGCCTTCGTGCGTCATGACGTGGCATCCAAATTCCTTGGGCGCTTTCGGGTCCAGCATGCTGTCGAGATGTAGCTTGGCCAACGAGTCAGAGAGTTTGCGGATGTCAGGGAGATCTGCGGTCATCTATATGAACTCAGCTAGGTAGAAGTGTTTGTTGGGGTCTGATTTGTATGTGCCCCAAGCGATGGGGGAGGCATGCCTCCTAAGCAACGAACGAAATCAGCTTTTTGTCAATATGCGGTTGGCGAAAGTACATGCTAGATGTGTATGATAGCAGGGTTTTGGAACCACAGTACTCTCCTTTTAGCATGCTCATGCTCAGTTCGCCACTGGCGGTCTTCAGGAAATATGTTTGCTGAGTGCCATCGGATAGTTGGGCATCGGCACGTGCAGTCTGTATCCAGAAACTGGCACCATGTAGTCTTGCTGCAATTGTTTTGCACCCGTGGGGTAGTTCTTATTGATGGTCAGTCTGCATCCTACATTAGACTGCGTTCAAGAGCCGGCTCACTCTCAACGACGGCTTCGTCTACTTCGATAGCTTGACCGGTTTTCTGTGTCGCTGGCTCTGGTGTCCAGGTAACTTCTGTCATGCTTCGAGAATGCTTGAGTAGTGCTTGCTTGTCTTGCTCGAAAAAGGCATCAGCTGGGTGGGTTCGGCTTCTCAAGAAGTCCAAGTGATCAGGTAAATTGAGGATGCGACTTGAACACCTGCATTAGAATATGCTAGACTAGAGTCACCAGTGACAGCGTAATAGTGGGATAGCAATTCATACACACGAGCGACGAGTCTCACGTAGCTAAGCACGGTCACCAACATCCTCACTGTCCACTTTTCGTCCTCTGCTGCTCCGCAGCCGCTGAGTCTGCCGTCCACAATTTGATCAAAGGCGATCCTTTGCCTTTGCTTCCTCATGCCAACATCAAGGAGTGAGGGTGCATAGTGGGGCGACCAGTAAGCGCAAAAAAAAGGAGCTCGAAATTGCGGTATGTGCGCATTAGAAAGCATTGGCTAAGCCTGAGGTTCGTCTTCGTCCCATCCATCACCTGATCGATTGCCATCCAGGTAGTCGACTACATTCTTTTTGCTTTCTGTGATATCTAACGGGTCGCCTCCATCTCTGAAATGGTTGACCTGCTCCCAAACCTGATAAGCCTTGCAGCGCACACGCATGTGCAATGCCTGGCCTCTATGATTGAGGGCAATCAGCAGTATCCATCCCTCTTCGCATGCCTCGCGGTCTGCGACCACGACAAGTAAGCTTTGTTGCAATTCTGTGTGATCGTCCTCCTCCATTATCTCACGCTCACTACTTCCTTCTATCGCGTCGGGACATCGCATTAGGGCGCTTAAGATAAAAGAGGGTATGCCATCCATCAGCTCGACTTCATCGTCTGCGTCCCCTGCCGCCACTCCATATGCGGCATCGTTGTCGTCGAAGATGAAAGGCCCAAACATAGCCGCATCAAATTCGTAATGGTGCTGATAAGGATGCAAGGCTGTCCGCCATAAGCGAAGATATGCCTCGTCGGCACCTGCACGAGTGACAATGTCTTCACCCGATCCTTCCCCGAGACGTGCTTCATTGCCATACCATGTTCGAATCCATATAGCACTAGCAGCAGTATCCCACTCGCCTGAGTCTGTCACCTTGCGACGCTTCTCAAAGACCGATAAGTTTGAAGGAATATATTGAGGAAGAGGTATATCGTCACATCGCTCGCGGTAAAGCTGGTGAAATGCGCGTTAGTGATTGAATCTGGGAGGTAACCTCAGAGTGGGACAGGTAGATCCTACCGAACGACCACGCTCGCCGAGGTTAATCCAGGCTCTAATAAGGTTCTGTTCTTGCGCGTCCTGGTGTAGAGATGATTCTGGGTCCCATTTCTCCTTTTGCTCTACGTCAGCCGCATTCGATAGAGCTTGGTCGCGCTCGCTGTGCTGACTAGGACGCGTAGAGTGCAGTCCGACGTACTAGGAGGAAATGATCAGAAGGTTCCCAGCCGAACGAGGGTTCTAATGACTGAGAACTGGCCATGACGTTCGATGTCGTCGAGTTGAAGTAGAACGCATAGGGTCGCGATATGAGAAGGGACAAACAGGCAGCAGTCTCGGCTGCTGCTCTTGGCGTGTACAGTGGGTCTCTCATTGGTTCAGATGATGATCCTTCGAAGGTTGCGAACCGATCTTGATGTGAGCGTGTGAAGTTACTTTGTGATCCTGTTCCTGGTGTCTGTGACAAGATACTTGATCGGAGGTCGCGGCAACAAGTACATTGCAAGCTTTCGCTTTTTGGAGATACCATCAGACGACCGCTTCGACGTAGGGTTTGCGCGTGGCATTGCTTTCCTCCAGATTCGCTTGAGTGAGATGGTGGTCTGCGAGGAGGCAGGGTCGACGATCGCGTCAAACGATGTTTTGTCCCTGATCATGGGTGGCATGGTGTAGTAGGATGCGATTAATGTGTACGTTGGTGGGGCGAAAATGTAGAACTAGAAATGAAATGTCTCTGATTGCTAGCGAATATATGATGTTGATGTTTGGGACTTGGAGCGATGAACCACAGGTCTGTCTTGCAGAGGATGAGGGGCTGTCACATCTGTGCCGAGGGTACCAATGAGTCGATTTGTATATGTACTCTCCGGATCGTTTACCGATATGTTAAAGCCAAATTGCAGGCTCAGATTAGCAGAACTTTGCCGTCGCCGGAAACAGCGGTTCTGCGGCAAGGAGAGCATCCCCTGTTTAACGAGCCTACTTTAGCACGGGGAGCTATGGTAAAAAGGCAACGTCACATATGCTTAGCGCGGCGGTGTCGTGAGTGAGCGGAATTACCGTCTGCGCAGCCATCGTGGGCAACGACAGGACTTGACATTACCATGATGCGGTCTTGGAGGAGCAGATTTCGGATGTTGAGTTGATGGGTGTTGAATGCAGGCCCGAAGTGACGGCGGTGATCTGGGCCTAGGCAATGCGGAAGCTACCCCGGGCGGGCCAACGACGTACGTCAGGGCAGAAGCCACCCCAGCCATTCTTGATGTCTCCACTCCAGCACGTCTACACGGACGGTACACCTCACCACGACACCTCACAGCCCTCACCGCATCGCGACACGTACTATCCCCCATAAAGGCCATCGCGCATCCATGAGCGCTATCTCCGCGCTGCATGTGGCAGACTCTGCGACAATACCATCGTGATTTCGCCATTCCGGGTTCTAAACGGTCACGGATGGCTTCTGGCAGCATTGGCGACGTGCCTGCCGCGACTTTTGCTGAGTACGTAGACGATCCTTTCTTCGACCACGGTGACGAGGCGGGTGCATCGCAATCGCAGACATCGTCGGAAAAGGAGGATGATTTCATGGAGAATGCGCCGCCTGCCGATGCATCGCAATTGGAGCTGGCGCAAAGACCCGAAGCGCCGTCGCGATGCATCGCAGTGCGCCCGGCTCTCACCCACCGTCTCTACTCTCATCGCCTCCATGTGCGGGCCAAAGCTAAGCTACAACGCGATAGACTTCTCTCCGGCCCCATGATCGACATCTACGTAGGCGAGTCCAAGCGCCACTGGTCGCTGCATCGCAATCTGCTATGCCACCACTCCGAAACCCTCGAGAACGAGCTGCTAGGCGATGCCGACGGCCACACTAGGAAAGATCGCCTCGATCTTCCTGATTACAACCCTGCTGGCTTCGAGCTGCTGGTAAAGTGGCTATACCAGGGCAGCCTCGACGATGTCTCTGACATGGCCGACGCCAACCAGAAGTATGAGTATGCTGTGAGCTGTCACAGACTATATCTGCTTTGCGATCGCTTTGACATGCTTCAATTGAAGAACGTCGCGATGGACCAGTACCGAAAAGGCTTGAATGAGGCCGAGCTGGTACCTGACGCTGACGAGATTGATGACATTTATCGCAAGAGCCCGACAGGGTCGCCCTTCCGCAGGCTCATGACGCGCATCGCCGCCCGTCAGATTATGGATCCTGGCAGTGAGCGCGACGTTGAGACCTATCGCGAGTGCTTCGAAAACAACCCCGACTTCGCCATCGATCTAGTCAAGGCAATCAGGTCAGGCACTGGCGGCATGCTGTTCGACGATCCAACCGACGAGGGTCATGAGTGCGACTACCATGACCACGAAGCTGGCCCGAACTGCCACACAAAGGGCAAAGGCAAAGGGAAGCAAGGTGTGTGACTCCGACCTCTCCCAAGCCCTGTTTCAACACCCTATCAGCCATCTCATTGCTGTCTCAAAATGCGTAATAACGTCCATTAACCAGCAAAGAAGAAAGCCGGCCTGTCATCCGCCAGATCAGTCCCCTACATAAGCTCCGACCAGCACAACCGCCCTCCCCGCCCTCTTCCCCCGAAGACGCCTCGCCCGCCTCATCCCCTGCAAGCTCGCCCACAAGAAGGAAGCGCCGGTCCTCTCCGCCGTCGCCTGACAAGTCCGGCGAGCTCGACGGTTGGCACATCAACGGAGATGGCAGTCGCCAGTCAAGCACCCAATCTCGACGCGATTCGCGAGAGGGAGAAGGACAGGGAAAAGCTGCGCAAAGTGACGCCGCCGGAGAGAAGACGCCTGGAGCGAGCTCAAAGCAGTGGAACGGAGATACAGAGGTCACGCCCAGCCCTAGAAGAGCGCCGCCAAAGCTCCGACGACGCGTCTCACCCACACCAGAATAGTCAGCTCGAAGACGAGAGCTTGAGGGAACTTGAGGGAGGACCAGTACAACCGCCACAACGATCACCGACGCGTCGAGGCATCTGGGAGTGGGCGAAACTAGGGACAGGCAGGTTGAATGTTATCGGACGCATACCACATCCAGAATGGAAGGGCCCAACAGTGTTACACGAAGCTGTCGCAAATGGCAATTCGCGAATAACTACCATTCATGAGACCCATGACGATTTCAGTATCCCCTCGACAACGGCTACCGAGACGAACAATCTGCAAGAATACAACCAAGCAATGGCAGCTAAACTCGAAGGCTTTGGCTTCCCACACGCCCACATCATAACGTCGCCATCGTTCTCGCAGACCAAGCGCTCTTCTGATGACCTCGTTGCTGCATCATCTACCGCCAGCACGCCAGCGAATCTGAATCTTATCCTAGAGGGTGGGACGAATGGCGAGCGCGTTACACCGCAGGCCTCGAAAGATAGCCCACCGTTGACACCAGACACCCCGACACCGCAACAGCGCAGAAAAGACTCGACGATCGAGACTGAGAGCACACCGACGAAGGTCAGCTCCGACAGCGTGCTGAGAGAGATCGCTGATCAATCCCCGAATGGCGTCAAGAAGGCCTCTACTCCCACTCCTACTCCTGACCGCATCCCCAAGTATCGGATTGCGCTTTCTTCGAATTTCCTTTCACCAGCTCGCAGTAGTCCGAGTTCGGCATCTTAGTTCTTTACGATTAAAAGCGATACCCTGTACTTACATATAATTTTACGATTTGCGAATCTTATAATACAAACGTATGTCCACAAACACTACTTGCCGCGCATGCACCGAACACAGCCCCGTATCAGCCTTGCGGAGGCGATGCGCGCCCTACGGCTGTTATCGTCTTGGCATATGCACCTCGCCCTCGATTTAGCAGGTTCATCAAAACTACTTCCAAAGCCTCCGATGGCAAGATATCCCGGAAGACCATCGTCTCTTGACGTCACTAATTACTTCCGCCTCTTCGCGATCTGCCGATAACCCTCTCATCGTCATTGTCGCTGTCGCAAGGTTGGAGCTGGTCACGAATGCAGAGCTATGCCTAAGCACTCACAACTCTTTGAGACAGAGGATTACCGTTATGCGTCCTTGGAAGCAGAGCACAGTATACGTAAGTTCAAAGGGGCGACAGACTTCCAGCGATCTGCATCCAACATCGGCAATACATATCATTTCCGCACCAATTCTGCCACATACGACCACAGGTAAAGGAGTATACTGGATCCCGTTTGCTCTCCACACGTCAAACCTTTGACCGGCGAATTAGTAGCTGGGTGGGTGACCACTGGCGAATAATCGCTGTTGTATGTTTTTGCACTTTTTTTTTGCGAATACTGCTACCTTATACATGATTCAGTGTAGACTCCTGCAAGGTGGCTTTGGGCAGACTGTATTCCAGGGCTGTCACCACAACTGATGGGACGCAATCCCTTTTTGGTAATGCTTGAGTACCCTTGCCGTCTCGTGGTCTTCACATGTCGATTTTGTAGTTAAGTACAGACATAGTGGCTATCAAGGTGTTCAAAAGTCGTCACGGCGCGCTTTGAAGCTCACTGTGTCAAGTATTGCTGTCCAAACTTCGATGATGCCTTTCACGTGGGATGGTGCTGCGTCGCGAGTCGGGCCTTCTTCATCTACTAGCTTTTAATGTAGCGCGTCACGGCGCACGTGCAGACGCGTCACGGAATTATCAACTGCCTCATTCATCCGGTCGCATGATACCAAATGACAGTATCATTCCATCAGGACCCAAATTGTTTCAGTCGCGCCCTGTTCTTGCTTGCCTCCGATTCCACCCCCACGTCCGCAACGCTGCGACTGCGAGCATGCCGAGTACGCCATCGACGAGCCCAATCGAGGTGAACACCCAGTCGTCTCCTATGGCTTCTTTGAATGGCTGGACAAAAAGCATAGACTGACGGCTAATGGGTTGTAACCGTATCGTTGACCGCGGATCAGTGATATGGAAGCCTGGATACAGTACCACACAGCGTATGAAGAAGCTGCTGACCAGAGGATCAGGAACGTGTCAGCGTAGAAAATGAGACGTACTGAGGAGAATGGATTCGGAAAGCTTCGTACACCTTTGCCACTATTTCCGGTGTATACGTTCCTGAAGACCTTTGTGTCGACTTGTCTTTCTTGTCTTCGACTTCGCCTAATGATAGACCACCATGTATTCCACACGCCACGAGGAACTACTTCTCCATTACCAACGAGTTTGCTTCCAGATTCAGGCATATTCCATCCGATTAGCATCAGAGAAGATGCGTCAAACATGACAAGCGTCCAGAAAGCCCACTGTGTCTGCCCTGTAGCTAATACGATACCGCCCCCGATTACAGCCCAAAACATGGTCCGAAGTTCGGACCAAGGATCTTGCCTCGCTCAGCAGGCAAAGAGATATCAGCGACGACCGCATAAGCCAGAGATATCACTGCCAAACCTCCAACGCTTTGCAGAGACGGAAGGACTAGTAGCGCAGTGTAGCTATTCTCGTTGAGAGCCAGGCCCAGGCTTGCTGCAATGTATATCGCAAAGGTGATCAAGAACACTGGGCGGCGGCCAAGCCTATCCGAGAATGGGCCGCAGAAAGCTGGTGAGATGGCCTGGAAGACGAGATAGAGCGCGATGGTCAAATCGATCGCGGGTATGGACGCATTATACTGCCTGCTTAGGCTCTCGATCAGGGGCAGGTAGATCGTAGCCGTCAATGAGGAAGTGAGAGTTAAGTAGCCGAGAAGGTAGGTGAAGTAAGTGCGCTGATGGCTCGTGAAGACGGTGAAAGGTGGCACTGGAACTGCATCCGCTTCGCCTATTTCGACGCGTATTTTGCCTGTCGTTATGCTGAGATTCAAGGCCGGGAAGTGGTGATGTCGTCGGTTAGAGTGCCTGGTCGCTAGGCTCATGCACTCACGTGGCACTGTGATAAGCAAGGGTTAAGCTCGCTGTTGGATGTTCCACCAACGATGACTCCCGTGTTGGAACTCGTCACAGCTTGTACACTTAAACTACTGGTTCTCACTTCTTTTCATTGCTGGCTATCACGGGTTTCGCATGCGAATTGTTGTTCGGGTGATGGCTGATATGAAGGCTGTGAGCATCAAAACCGCTGTGCCCCGCACGGTGATCTCATACGTTAATCCCAGCCTTGCAGCATGTGATTTGACTGGGCGTTTGACCTCGTCTGCGTTACTAATAGCGGTATCAGTACTTCCTCCTGGGTCTAAGATCGAGGATATTCTACCTCATGGCTTTCCAAACTGAAACCAGACTGCTCGAATTCTTACACTCAACAACACCGATGAAAAAATTTCATATTTCCTGAAGGTCAGTAAGCTGATGCGTATCCATCTTTGCTAGGCTTAACAGCCGGCCAGGTCTCCTGTGGTGATGTTGGAAAGGGTATGATGCTTGGGGAGTTTACTTCAATGTAAGCTCTTTACAAAGCTGCGCCAGATCTGGTCCCGCAATCGAATGGTTGAGGTAGTTACGCATACGATACTAATACCTTCTTCTTCATGTGCGCATTTCGCGAGACGACTGAAGGAGTACCTGATGAAGCATCAACCGCAGGTGGCAGCAGTGGAGGACCTCGGAGTAGATTAGGTAAAGCGCTCCAACGCATGAGCGACTTCACTGGCCGAATCGCTCGCCTGCACATAAACGCACTTTCCCGAACTGGAAGATTTGGCCTTCCCGTCACGACCTAGGGGGGCAGACTTCCTCAAAACATCCCCTTATGCGATACTTAGGAAGAGAGCTTTACCCGCGGTATACAGCGAATGTTCGAACTCGAAGAAGTACAGCATGGCCATGATAAAAAAAACTGTGCAGCTGCGCACATTGATTATAGACAAGGCGATACCGCCATTGTTGCGGCCTCTAGAGACCGACGGAAAGAGCGTTTCAGCCTGCTTGGTGTATGGCGATCTTTGGGATGGCAATACTGGGGTTGACAGAGAGCAGGCTTCACACGACAACTTACGACTCCCTTCCTAGCTACCCTCCCCACGCCCAACCACCTCTCACCAAGGCACCTCTCACCAAAGAAGACCGCTTATGCCGTCCCCTGCCCCGGCACCGCAGCCACATCCACGAGCGTACTCACTGCGCAACACCGACCTTCGCTCGCCCGGCGCCTGACCTTCCGCGCTCGCACACCACATCTCGCCATGCAGAACGACCTTCGCCAGTCATGCCCGCCATTCTTCCGTGACGCTGCATCGCACGAAGCCCCATACGTTCGATTGGCGGTCCGCCCCAACCCAGACACTGCGCTTCCCATAAGCGACCTGCCTCCCCCGGTGCCGACGGCCCTGAGCGGCTTTCCAAGCGTACCTGCATACGTAGGTACGAGCCTTATTCGTCATACCCAATATATATGCTAACGGTGTGTCAGCACCAGTGAAGCAGATGCTCCTCGCCGACATCTGGCGCAATGGTGACGCAGGGAGCAACAACGACCCAACGGGCCTCGGTCTTGAGTATGAATGGAGGCATCACTAGAGAGTCTGGACGACCGCACACGCAGGCGAGGCATGGCTCGTTGTCAAACATACAAAATCCAGCTACAGGTGGACGGACCCCACGGCTCTGATTGAGCCATCAAAAGCCTCAGCGCAAGCTGCTGTCCAGTGGTTAAAAGAGCAACTCCCAGCTCAGGCGTCAGAGCCGCAGGGCCGCTCTGTTCAGGGTACGTCGTTCATGCTGGGCGGCAGCTCTCTGCTGTCATTCTGGAACAACTTGCGCGAAGATCGCGGCGCCTCGTTTTGGCCCAACTCCACCTTTGCCGTGGTCCCCGTCGATGAAAATAGTCCTCAGCACCGCTTCCTGACCGGCACGTGTCCTTTGTCTCTGGCTGAATTGTCTATGGATGTACCTCATAACATGTGTTGCACCCGCGCAGCCGAGCGTGAGACATATATGCCCCATACAGAGCGAATGTGCATCATACATGTCACACGCTTGAAGTGGACATTGGACATCAACGCGATTAATGCTGCATTGCTGTTGAACACCGCCCCACCTCGCGCGCCTCACAACACGCAGACAGCTTGGTGCCGCGCCATCGCAGACCGCATGGAACGGTCACATTGGTCACATCAGACTTGCTTTTGAGAAATGATACCATCATAATTGTTCAAACACCTTCGTGACTTTGCTTGTCTGGCGCGTCAACTCACAATTGCCACCCAAGTGATCATAAAGTATAAGACCTCGAACGTACCCTCTCCGAATTCGAATCATCGGTCTGATCCACGGCGAGTAGATTCGGACTCGCTGCCGCCCCACCTGCTCCAAAAACCATGCGTGCCAGGCTAGGAATCAAGTGACGCGACCCGCTGCTTACCATATCGGAGTTCCATCAAAGGAAGGAAGAACGTAGTGGCAGATGCGCCGTCAAGACGACACGAGCGCCTGGCTGCGATGGCTGCGGACCCTCAATGAGCCTGGAGGAAGACGCGGAAGAAGTCATCGACAAGCAAGTTGCAACTTGGCGCCCGTTCCTAGGGCGACAGGAATGCCCGTGATTGGGGCGCAACATCGGAGCCACTCGAGCCAACAACTCCGAATCTTTCCGCCGGCGATCCATCAATGAGGCTAATGATATACTTCTCTGCGTACTGGAAGTTGAAGTTTAAGATTTCTGCACCGAGCCTACGCAAGCGTGGATATCTGTCCCCGGCAACACTGGGTGCTGAAGTCAAAGCTTGGAAAAAGATGCCCGAGCATCCTACCACCTTTAACGAAGGCATCGAGAGCCTCAAAGATTTCCGTAAAGTAACACGTTATTGTAAAGGTAGCAGGGACGTAGGCGAACTGCTCTTTACAGCTCTACTACAAGGCCTTAGTATTAAGGCCCGTATAATCGTCAGTTTGTAGCCTGCTAGCTTTAGGTTCAGTCAGGCGGAAGAAGGAAAACCAAAGAACCTCAAAAAGGTAAAGTACGCTAACAAGAAGCCTGTCGTAACGCCTGCGAAGACGACGCCGGCCAAAGGCAAGCTGCCCTCACGTCCGGCGAGACGGGAGTCGAAAGCCGCACCTAAGGACAATCTGTCGAACGACAGCGACCTCAGTAATGTCGTCTCTATCTCATCGGACACAGAGAACGACAAGCCCATAAAGAAGTCACTAAAATCGCGCAACTACAACGACAAGCTTCCATACCCAACATACTGGACCGAAGCGATATCCAACCTCGCACACACGCCAATCTCTGTGTCTCCCCTACATCGCGTTCTTATCGCAAGCACTTCGTTACTAGATAAGCTCTAAGACTTCTACGCCCGTAGCGCAGCAGCAGACAAAGCTAAACAAGTCCTCGCATATCTTATCGCCTTTTTATTAGACAGCACAGCTAAAGACGTCACTATCCACTATCTGCTAAAACACTAGTAGCTAGGTCGCACAAAAGGATTTAGGATGCCTACTAAGAGGATACCAATCTATAATAAGCGTAGCAAAGTCAAGCGATAGAAAGTATAGAACTATTAGAAGTTAGTTCTTTAGCCCTACCCACAACCTCACCATAAGCGACAGCTATAGAACAAGGTAGAAGAGAAAGGCAACCTTGTGCTTATGTATCTAGATAAGAGAAAAGAGATAGACAACGAAGGTAGAAAGAAGTCTTTACAAGGCTACAAGTCTTCTTCTAAGTACGTGCTTAAGCAACACTTAAGGCGTAAAGAGGCGCTTAAGACATGCGCAATGTTACAGGAGGTTAGCGAGCAGGAATAATAGGTGCACGTGATTAGTATATTCACTACGTATCGCTAATAGTATAGAGTTAGGCTAAGACAAGAATATAGCTTAAAGAGCTTATAGCAGAGCGCGTTTATATAAGGATTTTAGTATTATAGATTTTAGATCTACTAGTAAGGCACCTAAAATCTATATAGCTAATTAGAGCGTAGTATAACTCTTAGCGCTTCTTACTAGCTAGCGCTATAATAGTACTTCTCTTCTTAGGTAGAGCTCTAACAACGCAGTTAATAGAGCTTGTGTAGATAATAGTAATAGAAGTTTCTTATAATCTTCTAGGCGTTCTTAATATAGTTAGCTAGCACTTTAGTAGACTTATTATAGCTAGCCTATTTTACTATATATTTTAGTTAGAGGCGGCCTCTATAGCTGCGGTAGTTCTAGTAGAAGTCTAGAATATTCTTAACTTTCTATTCTTTAACTTCTTTAACTTAAATAGAAGAAGGTAGGTCTTAACGCTGCCTAGGTAATAGGTTTGTAGTAGCTAGGTAGAGAAGACTAATGTAAAATATAAAGTAGATTTTTATAGAAGTAGGTAGCTATAATAGGCTAATGCCTAGTATATTATGCCTTAATAGAATCTTAGGTAAATGTGCAAGGCGCATAGATTACGTTTAGAGAATTAGACTAAAGGTTATTCTAGTAGCTTACTAATAGTTCTTTAGACTAAGCTGTTTATAGTTTCTTCTTTATTAATTATAACTTTAGTATACCTATGCAATAGCTCTCTAAGCGTAGCCTCTTACATTTTATAATTAATTCTAATTAATAGAGCCTTGCTACAAGACTCTATTAATATAACACACGTTAAGCTTCTTAACTACCTCTTTATTACGTGTAAGTAGGTTAATCTATTATATAGAATTAGTGTTACTCTATTACCTAAAAGGCTTTTAGATAATAACTAGATAATCTACTATAAAGTAGTAAGTTTATTAGAGTAACTCTTTATAGAAAGTAGTTACTAGAGGTTAACGCGTTGCAATAAACTAGTAAAGCAAGTAGTAGCTAGCTAGAAGTAAGTCTTAATAGAAAGCTTTATAAATACCTTAATAGTACTAAGGTGTAAGTTCTACTAGCTATAAAAAATACTATAAAATAGTAAGTAGTAGTAGTTAAAAAGCTCTATAATCTCTTTAAAGGCTAAAGAGGTAGGTCTAGCCTACTATAGTATATAAAGAACTATCTAAAGGCTAGTTAGCGCTATAAGAAAGATAGCTATACCGCGTCTACTACGTAAGTTCTATTAGTTCTCTATTAAATAGAGTATAGGTGTAAAGGTTGTTCTAAGATAACCTAAGAGTTAGTTCTTAGAAATAAGTAAGTGCGTAGAACAGTTAGGTGTACTAGCATAATTAGTAGATTAATATAATAGTACAAGAGTGTAATAGCACGTTTAGTAGAATAATATAGTATTATAAGAGGTTAAGAAAGAAGTATAATTCTTAGATTAAATACTAGAGTTTTGTATAAAGTTAAATACACTAAACTATAAGAGTATAGTGTCTAAGCTATATACTTAATAAAAGTTATAGTATTCTATAAGTTCTATGTTTATTCTATGTTGTCTTATGCGTAGTATATTATAATACGTTGTAATATATTATAAAACGCACGTAACTTATTCTATAAAGAATTTCTACTAAGCCTTGTAAGACTACGTAACTGCTGCAGAGTAGCGTTATCTATTAGTAGATAAAGAGTAGGCCTTTATCTAGGTTGTCTAGAGTCTCTCTATACTACTATCTTTTATATATAGTTAAGTGCCTTTCTATTCTTAAGTTTGTAACACTATTCTCTTCTTCTCTTATTTATGTTCTTATGAATTAGCCTAATAGTTTTCTATAGCACTGCTTATTATTACACTACTAGTAATCGCATAAATAGTACTAGAAAACTTACTATAGTTGCTTATTAATACTACACGAAGAAGAACTTAGAGTGTTAGATATTATCTTTAAATAAGGCGTGTAGAAATTGTTATAAAAATAGAATTAAAGAGTGTGTACTAGTAGACGTTTCTCTTCTAGACTATTTAAAGTTAGACTAGAAGTTAGCTTAGTTAGAGTAATAGAAGTCTAAGGCTAACGCGGCTAAGTTAGCAGCGCTTAATACGTTATTAGCAGCGCGCGCAAAGAAAGATTGTTTTTGTAAGTAGTAAAAGGTGCTAGCGCAGCGTAAGTAGAAATTAATAGATAAGTTAAGAAGATTTATAGAGAAGATTAAGTCTTTAGAAGTAGTAGAGAAGCTTAACTAAGAGGTTAGCCTTTTAGAGAAAGAGCTAATGCCTAGTACTTTAGCGTTAGATTAGAGCGCCTTCTCTTCTTCTTATCTAGAAGAAGATTCTACTTTTAATAACTTTCTTGTAGAGTTGTATAGTACTTCTGTAGGTAGAGTTAGTAGTTTGTAAGGTTTGTATCTAGCTTCTATATATTATTGCTTTTATTATATTCTAACTATTTAACTAGGTATTCTTTTCTATTGTTATTAGTTCTATTGTTATGGGCGGAAAGAGGCCTGCTAACGAGTATGCATTTGCTCCTATGTACAGAAGAAGAAAGATAAGAGAAGAAAGGTTCTTCTTACGCGTACAACTCGCCTCTTATAGGCCTTATGCTTTACTGCTTTAGTCGGCGCTAAGTCGTACGTCATGTGACTAGAGCAGTCTGCTTAATATGGCGTAGCCTCTTACAATACCCCCCTCCTAAGAATTGTACGTGACGCGTTGTTGTGAGAGAGTGTTTGCGACATGACGTCAGAGTCTGTAGTAAATCCGACTTCCGTACGTGTATATTGATCGTTGTTTGACCGCTCCAACAGTGAATGGGGCCTCTTGTACGGATCTGGCCATCGTCGTTTGACCGCTTCTCGTGGTGAGAGAGGGTTTTGGCGCCCTCTCCTGGGTATATAAGGCTGGCGTCCCTCTCTTAACTGTTTCCTTTCTTATACTAACTTCTCTGCTTCTTGTCAAGACCTCTCGTGCGATATCTCAACAATGGCTGCTCCTGCTCGTGGTATCTGGGCCGCCAATGGTTCCAACCACCTTGCTTTCGCCACTGGCGGTCAGGCCAATAGCTCGTACGCCAACGCTGCGACCGACCTCCAGAACATTGCCCATCGCCTGCTCACTCGCAACTATCCCAACGCTGCGATTGCGGTTGTCAACGTACAAGGCGGTATCAACATGAACGACTACTCTGTCTGGTATATCCTTGACAGGGAGGTTGCTAATGAGCTTCGTCGTGTGCTTGCGATGGCCTCCGTACGTTTCTCTTAACTCCTCTTTTACCTTGCTAACCTTCTGACAGGCTCCTATCCGCCGTGTCGCCGAGTTCTTCCTCCGTCCTGCCCAGAACTCACCGTACGACGCCTATTGGGGTCCAGGCAACAGCGAGTACTCCCCTATCGTCGCTCGCAGCACTATCCATGCTCGCCAAATCCTTACTGGACGCGACTCGTACGTCAAGGCTTTCGTCATCCATACCCGTGGTGTCCTCAACCCTGCCGGCTGCTCCAACAACTGCGCCCATGCCGTACGTGGTGCTAGGGCCTTCACTGCCTTCGCTGGTTGTGTCTCCATTCCTGGAGAGTGGAATGGTGCCTGTTCCAACTGCGTCTGGACTGAGCATGGTGCGCGCTGTGGTCTTGTTGGTCAAGGAGCGCCTAATGGCGGAGGAGGAGCTCTTCCTGGTCCTCGTCCTCGTACGGGTGGTCGGGCGATTCGTGCTCCCTCTGCTGAGGAGGAGTTCGTTGATGCGGACGACTAAGTTTTCGCTGCTGGCGGTTCTGTCTTCTCTGAAGAGAACCAGAGGGCGACCGTACGGCTTGTGTACGAGTCAGCCAGGACTGTAGGGCAGCGGTGTTAGCCAGATTTCTTTCTGGTTCCCATGTAGCTTCTTGAAATCCAACCCATTTCACGAGATATTGCTTAGTTCCTCGACGTGTTCTCTCACTTGTGATGCTCTCTACCTGCCATTCGAGATGTTCCTCTTGTTCGTCTTTGTCTCGTACGACAACTGCTGCAGGGTTTAGATCGTTGGTCTGTTGTGAGGGTAGAGGATCAGTAGCAGCTGGTCTAATCTTATCTACATGGTAGGACTTGGTTTCCCATGGGACAGCTAGTTCTACCCAGTATGGGTCTCGTACGCGTGCCACTTGGTACTTCTCGCTCTTCCAGTCTAGCTTCTTGCTGGCTCTTGTGGTGCGTACGTCTCGTAGGTCGAGCCAAACCCAATC